TCAAATGGATTTGCAAATGTGCATGGCTCAATCTACAAATATGTCAGAAATGTTGATCCACAAGTGCATTTACAAATAATTTTATATTTGTATATAGTGTATATGTGATTAAAAACAACACATATACACTACCAGTCAAAAATTTGGACAAACCTACTCATAATAGTGAAGACATCAAAACTATGAAATAACACATATGGAATCATGTAGTAACCAAAAAAGTGTTAAACACATCAAAATATATTTTATATTTGAGATTCTTCAAATAGCCACCCTTTGCCTTGATGACAGCTTTGCACACTCTTGGCATTCTCTCAACCAGCTTCATGAGGTAGTCACCTGGAATGCATTTCAATTAACAGGTGTGCCTTCTTAAAAGTTCATTTGTGGAATTTCTTTCCTTCTTAACGCGTTTGAGCCAATCAGTTGTGTTGTGACAAGGTAGGGTTGGTATACAGAAGACAGCCCTATTTGGTAAAAGACCAAGTCCATATTATGGCAAGAACAGCTCAAATAAGCAAAGAGAAACGACAGTCCATCATTACTTTAAGAGATGAATGTCAGTCAATACGGAACATTTCAAGAACTTTCAAAGTTTCTTCAAGTGCAGTCGCAAAAACCGCCACAGGAATGGAAGACCCAGAGTTACCTCTGCTGCAGAGGATAAGTTCATTAGTTACCAGCCTCAGAAATTGCAGCCCAAATAAATGCTTCACAGAGTTCAAGTAACAGACACATCTCAACATCAACTGTTCAGAGGAGACTGTGTGAATCAGGCCTTCGTGGTCGAATTGCTGCAAAGAAACCACTACTAAAGGACACCAATAAGAAGAAGAGACTTGCAAAGGGCCAAGAAACACGAGCAATGGACATTAGACCGGTGGAAATTTGTCCTTTGGTCTGGAGTCCAAATTGGAGATTTTTGGTTCCAACCGCTGTGTCTTTGTGAGACGTGGTGTGGGTGAACGGATGATCTCTGCATGTGTATTTCCCACCGTAAAGCATGGAGGAGGAGGTGTTATGGTGTGGGGGTGCTTTGCTGGTGACACTGTCTGTGATTTATTTAGAATTCAAGGCACAGTTAACCAGCATGGCTACCACAGCATTCTGCAGCGATATGCCATCACATCTGGTTTGGGCTTAGTGGGACTATCATTTGTTTTTCAACAGGACAATGACCCAACAAACCTTCAGGTTGTATAAGGGCTTTTTTACCAAGAAGGAGAGTGATGGAGTGCTGCATCAGATGACCTGGCCTCCACAATCCCCCGACCTCAACCCAATTGAGATGGTTTGGGATGAGTCAGACCGCAGAGTGGAAGAAAAGCAGCCAACAAGTGCTCAGCATATGTGGGAACTCCTTCAAGACTGTTGGAAAAGCATTCCAGGTGAAGCTGGTTGAGAGAATCCCAAGAGTGTGCAAAGCTGTCATCAAGGCAAAGAAAGGGTGGCTGTTTGAAGAATCTCAAATATAAAATATATTTGTATTTGTTTAACACTTTTTTGGTTATTACATGAGTCCATATGTGTTATTTCATAGTTTTGATGTCTTCACCATTATTCTACAATTTAGAAAATAGTAAAAATAAAGAAAAACCCTGGAATGAGTAGGTTTGTCCAAACTTTTGACTGGCACTGTATATATATTTCTTGATGTGTAAAAAAATAAAAAAATAAAAAAATAAAAAGTGGATGCGCACCGGTGAACGCCATGTGGACGATGTTGCACTTTTGGCACCATTCATAAAAATTGAACTCGACGGATCCTGCGATGGCGATTTCAAGCAGGCTGTCACAACAATAATAAAAAAAATAACCTAGCTAAATTTGTGAAAAAGGGAACATTTTATTTATTGCTTTGATTCTGAGTTTTTATGAGTTTGTTTACATTGGTTCAGTGTTTACTTTCAATAGTAAAAACATGCACATTCTAGGTGTGCGCACGTATGTGAGTCGTGACGTATAGTCATAGTGTTTTTTGTCAAAAGCTACACTGACTGCGGATAGCTATCTAGCAAGATTTGTTGCGGCATCCTTGAAAATAATATATTGTTAGTAATTAGTTAGAAAAACTCATTCGCAATAGCCCATGCTATTGCAGAAAAGCACACAGACTACCATGGATCACATTTGGCATCCTCAACTGTGACTTGGACGTCTGCCATTGGAGTTAGCTAGTTAGCGAACAAGCTAGCTAGCTGGTCGGCTTGCTAATGCTAACTAGCTAGGTGGTGGGTCGTTTTTTATTGCTTGATACTGTGTGTGCCATTCGTCTTCCTTCTTTGGTAGTTTGTCTGTCATATTCTTTCAAACCCTTAACTCATAGTTAGCTACGGTTATCTGCGGCTAGTTGGCCTTTGCATAACCAGCTGATAGTTAGCTATTTGGAGTTGGCTATGTGCAAATGTCATAAGGTGACATGTTGTTTACAATTCTTGGCTTGAGTAAAGCTAATTCAAGTCAAATTGGACAGATTCCAGTGTAACGTCACGCTGCTTATTCAGCGAGTACAACTTCCTCCCAATTCGGCCCCTTACCTGGCACTAACTCGGGATCTCTGCTTTACTAGCACACGTGACCACCCTCCGAAAGCGACCCAGTCGGCGCCACGCGAAAAGCTAGCAATTTGCTGGCGCAAGTGGGGACACTTCAGGCTGCGGAGTAAGTTCTACACATCCCCATGTGCTACACCAGCTTAGTCAAATAAATGGAACGTTAGCTAGCAGTCTGAATCCAGCTGTGTTACAATACTCATACTTAAATTGAGTATGTAGCAGAGGTGGGACAAAGTCATTGTTATGCAAGTCACAAGTAAGTCTCAAGTCTTTGCCCTCGAGTCCCGAGTCAAGTCGAGTCAAAGATGAGGCAAGTCCCAAGTCGAGTCAAAAGTCAAAGCCATCAAGTCTCAAGTCGAGTCCAAAGTCCTACATTTTAGTTTCGAGTCATTTCAAGTCCTCTTAGCAAGTCTTTTCAAGTCATTACAAGTCCTCGTAGCAAGTCTTCTCGAGTCATAAGGCGCAAGTCCAAGTCAAGTCACGAGTCATTGATGTTAAAGTCCAAGTCGAGTTGCAAGTCTTTGTACATTTTGTCGAGTCGAGTCTGAAGTCATCAAATTCATGACTCGAGTCTGACTCGAGTCCAAGTCACATGACTCGAGTCCACACCTCTGGTATGTAGTATGCTTATTGGTCATAGTATGGATATAGTTAGTTTGCCAAATGTTCCCGGATGTCGTCCTACATTCGCCAAAATACGATTTATAAACTGTGTGGTTCGAGTCCTGAATGCTGATTGGCTGACAGCCGTAACCAGTTTCTAATAGCAATAAGGCACCTCGGGGGTTTGTGGTATATTTCAAATATACCACGGCTAAGGGCTGTATCCAGGCACTCCGCGTTGCGTCATGCTTAGCCATGGTATATAGGCCATATACCACACCCCCTCGTGCTTTATTGCTTAAGTATACAAGTATACTTATTTTTTTATTTATTTTTGTCATTTAACAGATGCTCTTATCCAGAGCGACTTACAGTTATTTTATGTAATTAATTTCATTATTCTTTTGGCCAAATTTCATATTCACAAATGTACATTTACAAACAAAACACCACATTTTCTTACATTACAAAAATAAATTGAACTATATTTTAAGACAATTAAATACTCTACCAACAAAAAAGCTGTTAGAATTATAAATGTGTATATGTCCCCGAGTGGCGCAGTGGTCTAAGGCACTGCATCGCAGTGCTAGCTGTGCCACTAGAGATCCTGGTTCGTATCCAGGCTCTGTCGTAGCCTGCCGTGACCGGGAGACCCATGGGGCGGCGCACAATTGGCCCAGCGTCGTCCAGGGTAGGGGAGGGAATGGCCGGCAGGGATGTAGCTCAGTTGGTAGAGCATGGTGTTTGCAACGCCAGGGTTGTGGGTTCGATTTCCACGGGGGGCCGGTATGAAAAATAAAAAATTAATAATGTATGCACTCACTAACTGGAAGTCGCTCTGGATAAGAGCGTCTGCTAAATGACTAAAATGTAAATGTAATGTCCCTTAAGGTCCTTGTGTAATGTGATATTTACCTCCTAGCCCAATTGTCCCATTTGTGTTCATGTAAAATAATAATAATAATAATTGTAAAAAATATTAAAAGGCTTTGGAGACAATTTCTGTGCTTTGAGGGCCCATGATGCAATTCTTCCGAAAATGGGTGTGGCTTCACAACATTTTCAGATTTTAAAGAAAATGGCTTTAACTACTTATGAAACATTTAAAGAAAATGTTGAGAAATTAAATTAAGTAATGACTTTTCAAATAAATTACGTTACATGTTATGTTGGCTGACAATTTGTTAGCTACGCTAGCCTTACGAACCGCATAGCATATAATTACAGCAGTTGCTTGTATGTACCGGTATGTTAGTTAGCTATCTAACGTTAGTTGACTACTAATGCATCGAACTTGCCAGTATATTAACTATATGCTATCTAACTAACTACCCAACGTTTATTGACTTGATTATTCACGTCATTCTTAGCTTAGCTAATTGGTATAGTCCGTTGTGCATTGTCAATGGACATTGTTAATTTAATCATAAGATGTCTAGCTAGTAATTTGTTATGCTAACAAGCTAGCAAGAAGTTGCATAGCAACAGCATCAACTTCCGGTAGACAGGCGAAGCGCTAGTACACTCAGGTCATGACACCAATGTGACGGACTGTATTTGATCCCAGGTCATCTGTGTGGACAGGGCAGTTATTTCTAGATTTCTAATAGGTCTAGCTAGTTATTTCATTGTTGTTCACTGTAATATATTACAGTAATGTATTTTGCCTGCACATTAAACAGCTGTGAACCTCAGTGGTCGAGGTCCCATATAATGTATCGTAATTTGTCGTCTTTGCACTTTGCCTCCAAACTATGTTCAATCACGCTTTTCTGTCTTTGTCTTTTTGCCAGATATTGCAGCACATTGAGATTCTAGGAAACTTGAGGCACTCTCGTCAAGTACAGTACCATGGCTCCCAAAGACATCATGATCAACTCCCATGCCAAATCCATCCTCAATGCCATGAATGTACTTCGTAAGAGCAACACACTCTGTGACATCACTTTGAGAGTGGAGAATACTGACTTTCCTGTGCACCGCATTGTCCTGGCAGCCTGCAGTGACTACTTCTGTGCCATGTTCACCAGTGAGGTAACTAAGCACAAGACTGGAGATAATGTAGAGGTGATTCCTCACAAAACCAGGCCAAAAAAAGGTTTTCAGGAAATCTAATCCTAAGAAGGGTCCTTTGGAAGAAGGATTGTTGACATTTGTGCTTAATTATTTCTCTATTATGCTTTTACATACAAATATATGTCAACAATCCTTCCTCCAAAGGACCATTCTACCATTCTATGGATTAAAGTTAATGAAAATCCCCCAAATCATGGTATTTTTTTGTTCCAGTGTCATCAGCATGAATAACTTTCTAAATACTTTTGCTGGTGGTTCTCTTTGTATGCAGAATGAGACAGGGAATAATTGTTTGACTGATTCCGAGGTTGACAATGCCCAAAATACTTTCTACATAACCCAGATAAGATTTGTGTAGGCTGAAATTAAACTGATATTCATTTCCTTAAGCAATATGTATTTCAGTGTCTATCGAAACTGCCATCTGGTTATTAATTCAATAAAAACTTGAACTAAATTGCATGGATCATATTCTCAACCACGAAAAAGCCATGAAAGTGCATAGCAGAAAGTCCAATCCTAATTATTTCTCTGCAGCTCAGTTGACCTAGTTTGTCTTTCCTTTAACATTTTTAGCTCTCTAAGAATCACCAGGTGAGCATTGCTCTTTTACTATCAAAGCTGACTATAATCCACAGCTGCCTACACATGTATGACAAATAGTAAACCATTTGTATTCATTTTTTGCAAGGAGTTGTGATCTATTCCCCTTTAGTCTCTTCTCACAGCCAGAAGTAAGCGTGCGGAGCATCCAGGGTCTGGCGAGAGAGACTACTAACTCTACTCATTTAAGCTGATGTGTCTGTCTTTGCTGTTGTGCTTTTGCAGCTGTCAGAGAAAGGGAAATCCTTCATAGACATTCAGGGGTTGACTGCATCCACCATGGAGATCCTGCTGGACTTTGTTTACACAGAGACAGTCCTGGTCACAGTGGAGAATGTCCAGGAACTGCTTCCTGCTGCCTGTCTGCTGCAGCTCAAAGGTAAGTTGAGAAGGCTAAAAATAATGAGAACCCTTGGACTATATGCACTATACTTTACATCCACTGTATTTACTCTGTGGAATAAACTACCTGTATGTCAGTTAAATCTAAATCTGCTCCTTTGTGAAAGGAAATGCACACCCATCAGCTCCCCTTATCAGGTTTGTGCAATATGATTGGCTAATGTGTTACTAATTTGATAATGTAGTTGAAACATGATGTTAATTTATGTCAACAAGTTTTTTAGCAAATTAAAGATCGCTCCGCCATTTCCAGGTTGCAAAAATTGTAATAGTTCGCCTCATTTCAGTTTATGTGACAAAAACAAGCAAGTATAGTGTAGAGAATCATTGTACCATCTAAACCGCTGTGAAATATAATTTCCATAACCAAAAATATTGTATTTTCAGCTGTTTGAAGCTAGTGTACAAAACCGAACGTGAAGAACGGGAAGCATAGAAATGGCACACATAGAACATATCTACCGCTTCTTAGACTTGCTTTTAATGAGAATGACAGATCTATAACACACATTTCTACGTGAATTTTGTCAGGTTGCCGAAAATGTTACATATTGCAGCTTTAAATACTTCCACATTATTTGACAAATGAACATACTGTACTTCTTTGTATTCCTCAGGAGTGAAAAGAGCATGTTGTGACTTTCTGGATAGTCAGCTTGATCCCACAAACTGCCTGGGCATTCGGGACTTTGCTGAGACCCACAATTGCCTTGACCTGATGCAGGCCGCTGAGCTCTTCTCTCAGAAGCACTTCCCTGAGGTGGTTCAACATGAGGAGTTTATGCTGCTCAGCCAGAACGAGGTTGAAAAACTAGTTAAATGCGATGAAATCCAGGTAAACAAAGGAGGATTTGGTGAGGTATTATACCTGTGTCCTAACGCTCTAATTGGGATAGTAATGTTGTTGTTACATTGTAGGCCTACATTAGGTAGCCTTTGTAAATGCATATTAATGGAGTTGAATGGTTTTTGTTATTACACTAGTGTAATAGGAAAAGTCCCTGTACCTCTTTTGTAATTACAACTCAATTTCTATGCAATTAAACTACAATTACTGACGTACTAAGTAACAACATGTTAATACAATGTTGTTACTAGTGTAATTATGATGATACTACAAAGCTATGAGAGAAACTTGATGTAAAGCGCTACGAAAGTGGAATAGTATTCTGAATTTGTTTGTGAGCACACAGTCATGCAGCCTCAGGTGCATGTCTGATCTCCATTCGGGGTCATCTTTGAATGCGTCGGGGACACTTTTCACAAGTGTCAAATTGTCCTTCAAAAACCTTAAGTGGAAAGGAAAGCTGCAAGTGTAGACCTGCAGTAATCTGCCCCCTGTGCAGATTTGCCTGGCTCTGAAATTATGGAGAAGACAATCTGATTTAAGTATGCTTTTGTGCTCTGGAAATTCCTGTCTTTAACCGCACAGCGCATATCTTTCTGTATGAAAACATAATTGTAACCATGGGACTTGATTTATAGTTTACCTATTAATTCAAAGTATTTTTGCTTGTCACGATTTTCGTGATCAAAATGTGTGTAATATACAGTGCATTCGGAAAGTATTCAGACCCCTTGACTTTTTCCACATTTTGTTACATTACAGCCTTATTCTAAAATTGGTCTACACACAATGCCCCATAATGACAAAGCAAAAACAGGTTTTTAATTTTTTATTAACCATTATTAATGGAAATATCACATTTACATATGTATTCAGACCCTTTACTCAGTACTTTGTTGAAGCACCTTTGGCAGCGATTACAGCCTCAAGTCTTCTTGGGTATGACGCTACAAGCTTGGCACACCTGTATTTGGGGAGTTTCTCCCATTCTTCTCTGCAGATCCTCTCAAGCACTGTCAGGTTGGGTGGGGAGCGTTGCTGCACAGCTATTTTCAGGTCTCTCCAGAGATGTTCGATCGGGTTCAAGTCGAAGCCACTCCTGCGTTGTCTTGGCTGTGTGCTTAGGGTCGTTGTCCTGTTGGAAGGTGAACCTTCACCCCAGTCTGAGGTCCTGAGCGCTCTGGAGCAGGTTTTCATCAAGGATCTCTCTGTACTTTGCTCCGTTCATCTTTGCCTCGATCCTGACTAATCTCCCAGTCCCTGCCGCTGAAAAACATCCCCACAGCATGATGCTGCCACCACCATGCTTCACCGTAGGGATGGTGCCAGGTTTCCTCCAGACGTGACGCTTGGCATTCAGGCCAAAGAGTTCAATCTTGGTTTCATCAGACAGAGAAAATCTTGTTTCTCATGGTCTGAGAGTCTTTACGCGCCTTTTGGCAAACTCCAAGCGGGCTGTCACGTGCCTTTTACTGAGGAGTGGCTTCCGTCTGGCCACTCTACCATAACAGCCTAATTGGTGGAGTGCTGCAGAGATGGTTGTCCTTCTGGAAGGTTCTCCCATCTCCACAGAGGAACTCTAGAGCTCTGTCAGAGTGACCATCGGGTTCTTGGTCACCTCCCTGACCAAGGCCCTTCTACCCAGATTGCTCAGTTTGGCCGGGCGGCCAGCTCTAGGAAGAGTCTTGGTGGTTCCAAACTTCTTCCATTTAAGAATGATGAAGACCACTGTGTTCTTGGGGACCTTCAATGCTGCATAAATGTTTTGCTACCCTTCCCCAGATCTGTGCCTCGACACAATCCTGTCTCGGAGCTCAACAGACAATTCCTTCGACCTCAAGGCTTGGTTTTTGCTCAGACGTGCACTGTCAACTGTGGGACCTTATATAGACAGGTGTGTGCCTTTCCAAATCATGTCCAATCAATTGAATTTACCACAGGTGGACTCCAATCAAGTTATAGAAACATCTCAAGGATGATCAATGGAAACAGGATGCACCTGAGCTCAATTTCGAGTCTCATTGCAAAGGGTCTTAATACTTATGTAAATAGCAAATGGTCTGAATACTTATGGAAATAAGCTATTTCTGTTTTTAATAAATTTGCAAACATTTCTAAAAACCTTTTTTCGCTTTGTCATTATGGGGTATTGTGTGTAGAACACTTTCCGAAGGCACTGTAGTTAGGATTTTGTACAAAAACTTTCACCTGACCGGTAGCTTAGCAAGTATGGAACATTCAGGGATGTGAGGGTATGAGGTCGAATCCCGTTGAAGGCATACTGTTTTGAAAATTGTTTTATGTGAAACCACACTTTCTGCATTGTTGTTCAAATATTTGTTATATGTACATTTACATTACATTTTAGTAATTTAGCAGACGCTCTTATCCAGAGCGACTTACAGTTAGTGAGTGCATACATTTTCATACTGCAATCAATGTAGTTAAGGTTCAATGAAGGGAGTCAGTGTTCCATCCATCATCACAGCTGGAGACTAATAACCGCATCTGAACCAAGGACAGGAGGCACCTTGGCATTTAAATGTAGTATAGTATAAGCTTCTGTCTTAAGCATCCTAAATAATGCCATAGATTCAGTTTTTGAAAAATAGTGAACTTGAAGGCAAAAAAGGGAAGCATGATATAAGGTGTGAACCTGGTATTCCAACTGATTATAGGCTACTAAAGCTAACGACTTACCGCTGCGCCACAGAGTTTTAATGAAAACAGTGGAGAGAAAATGGCTATCTGATAATCACATGCTGCTATTTATTGCTGATCAGCAGATGTCCCTAATGTGCATTGTGAACAGATAATGAAGCGCAGAGTAATTAACAGTTTTTCGGCACAATTTCAGAAAGCCTCAGTTTCCCTTCACTATTAATAACCAGAGTTAAACCAAAACCACGCCCATCATTATCATATTTCCCAGAATGCTCTATTGCGGGTTGATTTTTAGAATTGTTTCAATATCTATGTTTTGCATGTACATTGATTGATTAATTAATCTTATGCCACTCAAATATAAATAACATAAATGTTTCTAAACTTATCCAATCATGTTTGGTTTTGTTGTCAAGGTGTGTGGTTGTCAATACATATTGTCTCTATTTGCAGGTGGACTCAGAGGAGCCTGTATTTGAGGCAGTGTTGAATTGGGTTAAACACAATAGGAAAGAGAGGGAGACGTATTTATCAGAGATGCTGGAGCATGTGCGGATGCCTTTGCTCACTCCGCGCTATATCACAGACGTTATTGACTCAGAGGTGAGGCAGCTAGACCACACACTGTCACATGATGTAGGCAGTTTTCTTGTCTTAGCCCTCCCCATAATGGGTTTGTGTTAATACATCAACAGCCAGTTTCCTGTTAATAAATTAAGCCTAGTCCTGGCCTAAAATCCACTTTCAATGAAGATTCTCCATTGAGAATGATTTATAGTGTGAGTCCGGAAAACAGGCCTCAAGTGTTGAGCAGAGGAATAAACTTTTGTGGTGTTTTATGTGTTATTACTGTCTGGATAAAGTACTGTATATGTTGTGACGTGTTCCAGCCCCTCATTCGATGCAGTCTTCCCTGTCGAGACCTTGTGGATGAGGCCAAGAAATTTCACCTTAGACCTGAGCTGAGGAGTGAGATGCAGGGGCCACGCACCCAAGCCAGATTAGGTACAGTACTGTCCTCCCTTTTTTGGGGTGCTTTTCTTGTCCTAATAATAGGGATACAAGACAAGCTTAGTGGGAGTTGCCATCTTGTTATTGATGTGAAAAAGTGATTCACTGTTGCTCTTTCAAGGTGCCAAGGAGGTCCTGCTGGTTATTGGAGGATTCGGCAGCCAACAATCCCCTATAGATATTGTTGAGAAGTATGATCCTAAAACTCAGGAGTGGAGCTTTTTACCTGTAAGTGGCATTTATTTTATTACACATGTTGTCTCTATTCTCTGATCATGGTTAGCTTATCCCAAGCATATTTTTACAGAACATTGCTCGGAAAAGGCGTTATGTGGCTACCGTGTCCCTCAATGACCGCGTGTATGTGATTGGCGGCTACGATGGTCGATCACGGCTTAGCTCGGTGGAGTGCTTGGACTACACGGCAGACGAGGATGGTGTCTGGTACAACGTCGCCACTATGAATGTACGGCGTGGCCTTGCCGGGGCGACAACACTCGGAGGTAGAGGATCTTCTCTGATTGACAGTCCTCATTGTCATGGGGTTTACAAAAACAAATAGCACTGAAGTGAGTGACTGTCCTCAGGTGTTACAAAACCTGTAAGTGTTTTCTAATGCAGACATTCAAAAAGTTGTTGGAACATTTCCTAACATATCTTTTCTCACTTTTCTGCCAACAGATATGATCTATGTTGCTGGAGGCTTTGACGGTAGTCGCCGTCACACCAGCATGGAACGATATGACCCCAATATTGACCAGTGGAGCATGCTGGGGGACATGCAGACAGCCAGGGAAGGAGCTGGCCTGGTGGTGGCTAGTGGACTCATATACTGTCTAGGTGGGTATTAAAGATGTTTGATTTAAGTTTGTAATGGTGTTGGTGTATAAATATTTAAAATATCACCTGTTTTTCCCCTGACCTTAGTAAGGATATACAGTGGGGAAAAAAAGTATTTAGTCAGCCACCAATTGTGCAAGTTCTCCCACTTAAAAAGATGAGAGAGGCCTGTAATTTTCATCATAGGTACACGTCAACTATGACAGACAAAATGAGGAAAGAAAATCCAGAAAATCACATTGTAGGATTTTTTATGAATTTATTTGCAAATTATGGTGGAAAATAAGTATTTGGTCAATAACAAAAGTTTCTCAATACTTTGTTATATACCCTTTGTTGGCAATGACACAGGTCAAACATTTTCTGTAAGTCTTCACAAGGTTTTCACACACTGTTGCTGGTATTTTGGCCCATTCCTCCATGCAGATCTCCTCTAGAGCAGTGATGTTTTGGGGCTGTCGCTGGGCAACACGGACTTTCAACTCCCTCCAAAGATTTTCTATGGGGTTGAGATCTGGAGACTGGCTAGGCCACTCCAGGACCTTGAAATGCTTCTTGCGAAGCCACTCCTTCGTTGCCCGGGCGGTGTGTTTGGGATCATTGTCATGCTGAAAGACCCAGCCACGTTTCATCTTCAATGCCCTTGCTGATGGAAGGAGGTTTTCACTCAAAATCACACGATACATGGCCCCATTCATTCTTTCCTTTACACGGATCAGTCGTTCTGGTCCCTTTGCAGAAAAACAGCCCCAAAGCATGATGTTTCCACCCCCATGCTTCACAGTAGGTATGGTGTTCTTTGGATGCAACTCAGCATTCTTTGTCCTCCAAACACGACAAGTTCTATTTTGGTTTCATCTGACCATATGACATATGACATTCTCCCAATCCTCTTCTGGATCATCCAAATGCACTCTAGTAAACTTCAGACGGGCCTGGACATGTACTGGCTTAAGCAGGGGGACACGTCTGGCACTGCAGGATTTGTGTCCCTGGCGGCGTAGTGTGTTACTGATGGTAGGCTTTGTTACTTTGGTCCCAGCTCTCTGCAGGTCATTCACTAGGTCCCCCCGTGTGGTTCTGGGATTTTTGCTCACCGTTCTTGTGATCATTTTGACCCCACGGGGTGAGATTTTGCGTGGAGCCCCAGATCGAGGGAGATTATCAGTGGTCTTGTATGTCTTCCATTTCCTAATAATTGCTCCCACAGTTGATTTCTTCAAACCAAGCTGCTTACCTATTGCAGATTCAGTCTTCCCAGCCTGGTGCAGGTCTACAATTTTGTTTCTGGTGTCCTTTGACAGCTCTTTGGTCTTGGCCATAGTGGAGTTTGGAGTGTGACTGTTTGAGGTTGTGGACAGGTGTCTTTTATACTGATAACAAGTTCAAACAGGTGACATTAATACAGGTAACGAGTGGAGGACAGAGGAGCCTCTTAAAGAAGAAGTTACAGGTCTGTGAGAGCCAGAAATCTTGCTTGTTTGTAGGTGACCAAATACTTATTTTCCACCATAATTTGCAAATAAATTCATAAAAAATCCTACAATGTGATTTTCTCAATGTTTTTTCCTCAATTTGTCTGTCATAGTTGACGTGTACCTATGATGAAAATTACAGGCCTCTCTCATCTTTTTAAGTGGGAGAACTTGCACAATTGGTGGCTGACTAAATACTTTTTTTCCCCACTGTATGTCATTTGTTGCAGGTGGGTACGACGGATTGAATATCCTAAATTCAGTGGAACGGTATGACCCTCACACAGGACACTGGACGAATGTTACCCCCATGGCCACTAAACGCTCAGGTCAGTACTCCAGTAGGACAATATAATAGTATCAGGGCAGTATATAGATTATATACAGTATGGCTCTCTCTACATATGGCTATGGTTAGTATATCTGAAGGGCCTATAATCTTTGTTGCAGGGGCTGGTGTCGCCTTGCTCAACGACCACATCTATGTGGTGGGAGGCTTCGATGGAACAGCGCACCTTGACTCCGTGGAGGTTTACAACATTAGGACAGACTATTGGACCACGGTAGCCAGTATGACCACTCCGCGCTGCTATGTTGGAGCTACCGTCCTCCGGGGACGACTCTACGCCATAGCTGGGTAAGCCTAAACATCCCAACCCTTCTCCGACTTTAATATATTTTAAATATTTTAAACGAGTGGAAATTCACTGTCCCTTCATATGTTTATTGCTTTTAATGACAGACAGATGAGAAACAGGTGAAGAGGAGATACAGAGTCAAGGGAGGACACAGGGATTGAACCCGGGTCTCCGGCTGGGAGTTGTACATGTGCATAGAGCCAGGAGTGTTACCACTCAACCACGGCTCTGTGCCCAACTTCAGTATTGACAGAGATATAGATGCATTTTGGTTGGGATTATTCATATAAATTATGTATGACAACTCTTTTAATTGATTTATATTATTCTTGCTTAGATAACATTGTAATATCTGAATCATAAAAGCAACCTCCCCTTATGGTCCAGTCTTCGATTATGAGGATGTGACTGAATCAGCCATATGATGTTGTTCATCCTCCCCTGTGCTCTTTTTCCCTCTCTCCAGGTATGATGGAAACTCCCTTCTGAGCAGTATTGAGTGTTACGACCCAGTTATTGACAGCTGGGAGGTGGTCACCTCCATGGCCACACAGCGCTGCGATGCAGGAGTGTGTGTCCTGCGAGAGAAGTGAGATTTACCTCAGAAAGGTTGGATGAAGCGGAGGAGGGCAGGCAGCTAGTCCTAAACCTGAATCTGATATTTACGTGCCACTACTATGGAGTGACACAGGGATCATGCACTTGGAGGCCACTGTGCTATGTGTCCTCCCTGAAGTCTTTTGATTGATTGTCTTCATCAGACTTTCTCATCTGAGTTTGGTTACTTCTGTGGGAAAACCCTTGGCATTCAATGGATAAGGGACAGGGGGTGTACAACAGAGATTAGAGTTATTTTAGTCTCCTCATCAACAGTTGTAGCTTCCGACAAGACACTCATCCCAACCCACTCAAATTCATGACACTCTTTTAGTGGTTCCTGTTGCCGTGGTTACCTGTGAGGTTAATTTTCGACTCATCTTTTAAAGTGCAATGTATTTCTCTACTTCTATTATGAACCATGGAGCAGAAGAAACACAAGAGACTCCAGTTTGCTGCTGCTATATGCCTTATGCCCTTGTGGCCCACATTGAACTGAACAACCATGATGCCTCATTAGGACTGTGATGATTGTTGTCATACCATCAAGTATGATGATTATTTAGCTTTTGCCAGGTTTTCAAATCAGTAAACCCTTTGTAGATTTTGTAATTCTGTATAAAGTGCTTTTAGAAACAAATCACTTATTGAAGAATTGGTATTTACCTGACAGTCATTATTTTCAATGTATCAAAGATATTTTGAAATTAATTAAATTTTAGGGAAAGTGTTTCATAATTGCACATGATTCCTTGCTCTTTTGCTGTTCTGTCATCTTGTCAAAATCACTTTGTCCACTGCGACAGACTGAAGAACACTGCTAATAAAGCAAAAGAGCAAAAATGATTTTTTGATGTGTGTATGGTGCATGCATTTGTCCACAGTGGATTTGTTTGGACAAGAAAAAAACTTGACTTCTATTCTCCAGGGCAAGTACAAAATACTGACTAGTCTTTTGTTGTTACTTGAAAAGTGAATAAACATTGATAATTTATCGCTTTTATATTTGTATTCAGTTATTAAGCCAATGCAGAATTTTATGCTGAAGTGTACTGTGGTGACTTTAATACAAGCCTAGTGATTTTGTCAAGGGGTTCGGACCTCTTGGTATCATGGCTAAGGTGTTGGACTGACAGTCGCACTCACAGGGAACTGGGTTTGAGTCCCGGTTGGGCTAATCCCTGAACTCGCTGCACTGGTGTCAGGGCGTGGGCAGATGTTTGGAGGGGCAGGGATGTGTTTCCCAAAGGAGGGTCTTGTGATCCTTGATCAGAGCTTTACGGCAGACTGCCCCAAGCCGAGAGCGTGGTTCAGTTCCAACCGGGTTACCCCCAAATTCACAACAATATCAAATCAAATCAAATGTTATTTGTCACATGCGCCGAATACAACAGGTGTAGACCTTACAGTGAAATGCTTACTTACAAGCCCTTAACCAACAATTCCGTTTTAAGAAAGAATACACACAAAAAAATCACACACAAAAAATACAATATACAATTATACGAAATAAAAGTAACAAATTATTAAAGAGCAGCAGTAAAAAATAACAATAGTGAGGCTATATACAGGGGGTACCGGTACTGAGTCAATGTGCAGGGGCACCGGTTAGTCAAGGTAATTGAGGTAATATGTACATGTAGGTAGAGTTATTAAAGTGACTATGCATAGATAAACAGATGGAGTATGAACCAAATCACGTATACTGTATATGTAAATATTTGTGTTGTTCACAAACATCAATACTGTAGTTGTAAGGTGTGTAGTTGAGGGGGTAGTCTTGTGATCCTTGATAAGAGCTTTATGACAGACTGCCCCAAGGCCAGAGCCTGGTTCAGTTCCAACCGGGCTACCCCCCAAAACCACAACGATATCTGCTTGTAGATGGAGTATGAACCAAATCACATATACTGTAGGCTTCATGTAAATCAACTTTTGAAATGTCATCATACCTCCACCGTCACCACTGGGATCCAATGACAATTCGACTAGAGTGTTCAGGTATTTCAGTACTGTGTAGGGCGGTGTGCTCAAAGTGCAGCGCAGACCCAGGCTATAAAAACACCAGTCGCATGCAACTGGTGCCTGACATTGCTGTGTTGGCGGATACTTTTGTCGACGGAGCTGTAGCAAAACGTTTTGTGCCTTTACTGTATGCTAACAATAAATTGTCTCAACCTTTTTTACGCGTCTTCAATCATCTGAATCTTGACGGGAGGAAATGGTATGCGCGCACTTTACATAACTTCATTGTTCTCTTTTTACATTGAAATACTAAATGCGGGAAGTAAATGTTTCCTATTTTCAGTAGTTATTAGTATTTGCCATGCTCATTGGCAAATGTAATGTTCATGCAGTCTGAAAATGTAGACCAACATTTACTCGACGATTTCAGATGTTTCATTTGAAAAAACGTTTTATTGCCTTATGCCTATAGCAGCCATGCGTAGGGCCCTACCCACATCAATTGAATGTATCCATTAGTATGAATGTTGATACTTTGTTACTACGTTCTAACAATGTAATATAAAAGACAGTTGCCGACAGTATGAAGATAGGCAGAAACTGCTTCGCCAATTGAAATCCCTGATCACACTTGTAGGCGATGTCATGGCGACTTTGGCTAGCTAAGCTCATGCGCAGAAACACGTCATCATGTCTAACGGTCGTCTCGCACCGAACTCCTTCGATATACAGTTGTTTTTTTAGGGAAATTAAAACGTGTCACTTTCACGACGTTGGACTAATAACATGTTCAACTACTTAAGACATTGTCTCGAATCTAGGTTGTGCCTTTAGATTTTGAGAAAATTAAGAACTAAGAATTTTTCACTTCTCATTGACTTCTCAAACCCCGGCCTGGTCTACTTGGTCTGTTTCGCAAGCGTTCACGGAAGTCTTGCGTTGTTGCGCCTCTGGGTTTAGAAACTCAGTGGTAATACAGTATGTGCGGGAATGTATACTGTCTGTGTCTGAAAGAGAGAATTCCGATGAATCTGTTGAGGCTGGGTGAGGAAGCGGAAAGGTGGGTGGTATGGGCAAATATGGTGGATAAATGAAGATAGTTCACTCAGGCCTTTTACAATTTAAAAAAAAAGGGTCAGTTCCGGTCTACTTTACTGGGTGTCCTAAAGACACCAATGCAATATCAGCTGGGTCTGGTCTACTTAGTTCATTGACTTTTATTGAACCACAACAGCGAGTTTCTTCTTCCGTCTCTGGTAGGGGCAGACGCAGCTGGTTGAGTCACATGCTTGACAAACTTGACAAACTTTCATGAGGTTTTTAACCTTCAAATGACACATTAATTTGTTAAAAGATTAGCTTACTTTACCTGTATTTAGGCAGGAGTCTAGGAAAGCAATGTCATGTGATACAGTAACTTTCTATATCAATTGTGTACATAAACAAAAAATGTAGTCTAGTACATAGCCTATGGGCCTATGCATGATACCATGTGCTTTTTAAAGAATAAGCCATTAAAAAGTATAGCAAGCATGCCAAACCCCTTTCCTGTCATCATACAATAAGTTACTTTGTATTCCTGATTTAAGAGTTATATTTTTCTTTGTGACTTACTGTGTTATTACACAGCATTTTAGTTTTAAATTTTTACTGATGCCACTTCCTTTTCAAATGTCAGTGTATTACCACCTTGTGAGAATCTAGAATACCCTCCCCCTGAGATCCAGTGCCAAGAATACAATCTGGACTTGCTGAAACATGTGTCTGGCAGTCTGTCTAAAATATATTATTTAAACACTTAGGTACAGTTTCCTAGCGTCAGATTAGGCCTAGTTCTGATTTTAGTCCAGGACTAGGGTCAATCTGTGTCCGGGAAAACGACTATCAAAGGAATAAATCATTTTTCTTTGACTAGATTTGAGTTCAGGATCTTTGGGGGTCATTATTTAGAGTGACATAGTTCTTTTAAATTTGGAGCTACCATATTGCTCTCTACTTTTGGCATTACTTTTTTTTTTATATATATAAAAAAAAAAAAGGAACCTTTATTTAACCAGGTAAGCCAGTTGTGAACAAGTTCTCATTTACAACTGCGACCTGGCCAAGATAAAGCAAAGCAGTGCGATAAAAACAACAACAACACAGAGTTACATATGGGATAAACAAAGCATACAGTCAAAAATACAATAGAAAATCTATATACAGTGTGTGCAAAATATAGTAAGTTATGGAGGTAAGGCAATAAATAGGCCATAGTGCAAAATAATTACAATTTAGTATTAACACTGGAGTGATAGATGTGAAAAATATGATGTGCAAATAGAGATACTGGGGTGCAAATGAGCAAAATAAATAACAATATGGGGATGAGGTAGTTGGGTGGGCTAATTACAGATGGGCTGTGTACAGGTGCAGTGATCGGTAAGCTGCTCTGACAACTGATGCTTAAAGTTAGTGAGGGAGATAAGAGTCTCCAGCTTCAGAGATTTTTGCAGTTTGTTCCAGTCATTGGCAGCAGAGAACTGGAAGGAATGGCAGCCAAAGGAGGTGTTGGCTTTGGGGATGACCAGTGAGATATACCTGCTGGAGCGCATACTACGGGTGGGTGTTGCTATGGTGACCAATGAGCTAAGAAAAGGCAGGGATTTGCCTAGCAGTGATTTATAGATGACCTGGAGCCAGTGGGTTTGGCGCCGAATATGTAGTGAGGGCCAGCCAACGAGAGCGTACAGGTCACAATGGTGGGTAGTATATGGGGCTTTGGTGACAAAACGGATGGCACTGTGATAGACTACATCCAATTAGCTGAGTAGAGTGTTGGAGGCTATTTTGTAAATGACATCGCCGAAGTCAAGCATCGGTAGGATAGTTCGTTTTATGAGGGCATGTTTGGCAGCATGAGTGAAGGAGGCTTTTTTTGCGAAATAGGAAGCCGATTCTAGATTTAACTTTGGATTGGAGGTGCTTAATGTGAGTCTGGAAGGAGAGTTTACAGTCTAACCAGACACCTAGATATTTGTAGTTGTCCACATATTCTAAGTCAGACCCGCCGAGAGTAGTGATTCTAGTCGGGCGGGCATAAGCAGCGTTCGATTGAAGAGCATGCATTTAGTTTTACTGGCGTTTAGGAGCAGTTGGAGGCTACGGAAGGAGTGTTGAATGGCATTGAAGCTCGTTTGGAGGTTTGTTAACACAGTGTCCAATGAAGGGCCAGATGTATACAAAATGGTGTTGTCTGCGTAGAGGTGGATCTGAGAGTCACCAGCAGCAAGAGCGACATCATTGATATACACAGAGAATAGAGTCGGCCCGAGAATTGAACCCTGTGGCACCCCCATAGAGACTGCCAGAGGTCCAGACAACAGGCCCTCCGATTTGACACATTGAACTCTATCTGAGAAGTATTTGGTGAACCAGGCGAGGCAGTCATTTGAGAAACCAAGGCTATTTAGTCTGCCAATAAGAATGTGGTGATTGACAGAGTCGAAAGCCTTGGCCAGGTCGATGAAGAAGGCTGCACAGTACTGTCTTTTATCGATCGCGGTTATAATATCGTTTAGGACCTTGAGCGTGGCTGAGGTGCACCCATGACCAGCTCGGAAACCAGATTGCATAGCGGAGAAGGTACGGTGGGATTCAAAATGGTCAGTGATCTGTTTGTTAACTTGGCTTTCAAATACTTTCGAAAGGCAGGGCAGGATGGATATAGGTCTGTAACAGTTTGGATCTAGAGTGTCACCCCCTTTGAAGAGGGGGATGACCGCTGCATCTTTCCAAGCTCCTTTAATTACTTGAACCACGTGGTAATTGATACATCTTGATCTTTCCCTGATCTATATCTGGTTTTGCTTTTCTGTCAACATTTTATTCGGTATTGAATGTGCTTACTGAGGTGTCATAACCAGCTAAAGGTGAAAAGATAACATACAGGAATGTTGTTATTAATAAATCCTATATGTCAGCATAGTTGAATTCCTTGTACCTTTGTGTGTAAATATAGTTCCGATTTACAGTATCTGTGTGTCAGATGGGCTTTGCTGTTTATGTATTTTCCACTTCAGCCAGATGGTTTGAGGAACAGGAAGTAGTCATGCTGTTGTTTTTTGCCAACAGAGAGAGTGTATCTCCATCCACGTGGGCCAGGCGGGCATTCAGACGGGCAATGCCTGCTGGGAACTCTTCTGCTTGGAACACGGTGTGGGGCCTGACGGGGTGTTCAATGAAGAGGACCAGGGGCCTCATTCACGGACTGACACCTTCAACACCTTTTTCAACACCGGAAGTTCTGGCCGCCATGTTCCTAGGGCCATATTTGTGGACCTGGAGCCAACGGTGGTTGGTAAGCGATGTCATTTGTAACGTTTTGTTTCCCTCCACCCATCATTCATGTTTTGTGTGTGTGATTATACGTGTGTAGTGTGAATGCATATCCATCCTCATGGGCCAGGCAGGAGTGCTAATTGGGAATGCATGCGGGCGGGGACCTGTGCTGGATGGAGCATGGTATCCAAGCGATAAGACCATTGGTGGTGGCGGTGATAACCCCTTTTACACTTTCTTCAATGAGCGTGGCTCAGGAAAGCTTGAACAAAGGGCTGTATTTGTGGACCTAGCAAGCTGGACTTGGTAAGTGATGGTGTAGAATATTGATAAAAAGATGAAGAGATGATAAAATAATTAAATGTTGAATAAATGAGGGGTTTGTTAGTGATACGCATCCCAAACTTTCACAACAATAACAACTGGGCCAACAACAAAAACTATGAATGAATAAAGAAAGCCCACACACAGCATATGCTGCTCCAAAGTACACATAAGTAGCCCTTGTCAAGTAATAATTAATTAAATGCATGGTACTTCTAATGAGCTATAGTATGTCAGGTAAGTAGTGTGCATTAATCAAAATACTAACACTACTGTAGCACTTCAAGTGTTAATACTGCACATGAATAAATACTACAAATCTTGATTGTTAAAATTGTGCATCTACATTACACTGCAGGTGGATGTAAGTACAGCTTTATAGGCTACATAAAATCAATGCACAGGACTGCCAACCAAGAGCAAATCAACAATAAATTGATACTACTGTGTGGTAATTTAGGTGACACTTCCAGTTGATGTCCTATATGTGTTGATGAGTGATTGTTTTCCCCGCAGATGAGGTCAGGACGGGAATGTACAGGCAGCTCTACCATCCTGAGCAGCTCATCTCTGGAAAGGAGGATGCAGCCAATAACTACGCCCGTGGACACTACACCGTGGGGAAGGAGATCATTGACGGGGTTCTGGAGCGTGTCCGTAAAATGGTAAGTATCACATTAAGACCTGATCTTGGTCATATAGTCAAAGGAAGGCTTTGAGTCATAATGTAGTAATAATATAGGCTAAGGCCAATATATTGTGCATCCCTAGTGTTGATCAATTGTTTTTCTCCCTAGACTGACCAGTGCACAGGGCTACAAGGATTCCTCATCTTCCACAGCTTCGGAGGCGGCACCGGCTCTGGTTTCACCTCTCTGCTGATGGAGCGCCTGTCTGTTGACTATGGCAAGAAGTCCAAGCTGGAGTTTGCCATCTATCCAGCTCCCCAAGTGTCCACAGCTGTGGTAGAGCCATATAATTCCATTCTGACCACCCACACCACCCTGGATCACTCCGACTGTGCCTTCATGGTGGACAATGAGGCCATCTACGACATCTGTCGCCGCAACCTTGACGTTGAGCGTCCATCCTATACCAACCTCAACAGATTGATTGGTCAGATCGTTTCCTCCATCACTGCCTCCCTACGCTTTGATGGTGCCTTGAATGTTGACCTCACAGAGTTCCAGACCAATTTAGTCCCATTCCCCCGCATTCATTTCCCCCTGGTCACCTACGCGCCCATTATCTCTGCTGAGAAGGCCTACCATGAGCAGCTGACCATCTCTGAGATCACCACTGCCTGCTTCGAGCCAGCCAATCAGATGGTCAAGTGTGACCCTCGCCATGGCATGTACATGGCCTGCTGTATGCTGTACCGTGGAGATGTGGTTCCCAAAGATGTGAATGCTGCCATTCAAAATATCAAGACCAAACGTTCCATCCAGTTTGTGGATTGGTGCCCCACCGGTTTCAAGGTAAGTAATATGATTGCCTCCTGTATATGGTTTATTTTGCAATTTGAGGTACACACCATATTTCTTTTGTGGTCTAAGGGGTCTTTTTTACATTTTATTTGTTTATACCTAATCAGGTTGGGATCAACTATCAGCCCCCGACTGCCGTACCTGGAGGTGATCTAGCTAAAGTCCAGAGGGCTGTGTGCATGCTGAGCAACACCACTGCCATTGCTGAAGCCTGGGCCCGTTTGGACCACAAGTTTGACCTCATGTATGCCAAACGTGCCTTTGTGCACTGGTATGTAGGTGAGGGCATGGAGGAGGGAGAGTTCTCTGAGGCCAGAGAAGACCTGGCTTGTCTGGAGAAGGATTATGAAGAGCTGGGCAGAACAAGCACAGGATCTGATGATGATGAAGCGGGTGAGGAATATTAAGAACCAAATTACCATGATGTCCTATCTGTCTATTAAAAATGTAATATTCTGTCTTCTTTGTATTCTTTCTTCTTGTAACAATATATTGTTGTATCTGCCTCCCCTGAACCAAAACATCTGAAGTTGTAAAAACCGTATGGACAGCAAGATGCACTTTTATTGCGGTTTATTAATGCCTTGTTAATGTGTAAGTTCCAAAGTGCCATGTTTTCCAATTGCAATAGTTTTCAGCTTCTGAATAAAATCAATATTGCACAATATATTTTTTCTTTGCTTAGTTCTTTGAAATTCATGATGTTTAACATGTTACAGCTGTGCCAAACTCAACCAAGAGTCGATTGGAGAACCTTACCCACGTTCTGGTGTCATGTTCTGCTTGAGTAACAATTTATTGAGGGTTTATATTTAGTTTACTAACAGTATATTATGAGTATATTATGAGTCTATAGATGTATAAATATTTTATAATTCTGTAATAAACAGTTGTAACCCATTGCTGGTTGCATTCAGTGAGCTGATGACTGTTGCTACTGGGCTATGGTCTCTGGATCATTATTGTGGAGCGCATCGATACAATTTGTGACTAGCTTCAAACTGTGTTACATATCAAAACTCATCAATGCTCGCCCCCTCCTAAGCAGATACATCCAATCAAAATACTCCATCCGGGCTATTTAAAGAACAAGTTCCGGCAGCGGTGAAGGTGTCACCTGAAAATATCCCTCCGCGATAGTAAACAGTGTAGCCAGTGAGGATACAATGAAGAGCATTTTCAAGAATGAATACTCTGAAAATCATATTGTTTCATCATGGTGCACAATTACGTGTATTGAACTTGTCAATAAGACGATGTTATGTTAGACGAAAAATATTTGACACTTTAATGAAGATGTTGGTTTGGATGTAGCATATGCTTCAAATGCACTGTGGGCTACTTCACTGAGCACATCAGTGGGGTGCATTCAATCTTGTGACTTAATAATAGGCCTCTATAAATAGCCTATATATGTTTCATTACGATTTAGTTTTAAATTTGTTTTAATTAGGGTCTGACGAAAGAAAGTAGTAATGTCTGCGTAGTTTATACTCCATCTTTACCAACAACATAATTATGTGTAAATTAGACTAAATTCAACACGACAATGGTGTGTCAAAACAAACGGGTATTTGTATATTTATATATTAATGTATGTATGTGATTAACAATAATTGAAATATTGGAAAATATTTACGAATCATTTTAGAAATATATGTTAGTGTAATCGACAATAATCACAATCCATGTAATAAAAGCCTTTAATTTATATTGATTTAAAATGTCTAACATGTAGTAGGATTGATGTCTAAGGTCAGAGAATGAGTTTGCAAACATAAGAGGTTTTAGAAAAAATATATAGTATCTACTTTCTTAGGCGGACGTAGTCACTGCCTTAGAACATTCGTTTCACTGTGTGTGTATGTGTGTTTGACTAAGCTGCCTCGTATTGTTGATCCGGATTGACTTCAAGAGAACCTGACATTGGAAAATTAGAAGGATAGACCTCCGGACAGACCATAAGATAAGGTGACACACTGTTGTGACCAGGCTACCTGTGTTGTCTGAGCTCTAAGATTGGACCACGACCATGACCCAGCCTCGGCCGGACGAGTTCAAGCCGCCTCAGGAGTGCCCAGTCTTCGAACCAAGCTGGGAGGAATTTGCCGATCCTTTTGCTTATATAAATAAGATACGTCCAATTGCTGAAAAAACGGGTATTTGCAAGGTCCGCCCGCCTCGGGTAAGTGTGGTCGAGCTGCTGAATGGTTTAACAGATTCTTTAAAACCATTTTAACAACAAGACTGACATCAACTACAAACGGGGGGTTAAAGGGACCTTTTCAACATGGCGGATGAAGGATTTGCTGATTCTTTTGTATCATTAAAATGTTTATAGTTAACTAGCTACATAATCTAACTAGTTTTAATAGCTAACGTTAGCTACCTGACCAACTGAATGAGTGGCATTGTGTAGCTGCAGGCAACGTTAGTGAAAATAACTTGCTAACGTAACCTGCTTAGACAATGTTATCTTTGTGCTTCAATCATCACTGAAACCGGCTGCTAGCTAATTTAACTAGCTAGCTAACGTTAGCTGATTTGAACAAGTCGTGAGATTATCGTTTCGTCAACGACAGATGTCAAATTAGCAAGTGCAATGACCGACAGTGAAGTCTGTCAGTTTAGTGTAAAAATACAAGTTAATTAGCTAGCTAGTTACTTAAAACAAACAGCATTCAATAAACCAAAAAACTAGCTATGTCAATTGAATTTACGTGGAGACTGACAGGTGGGAATTGATTAGCGTAGCGCTTGCTAAATTGGCTAGTTTTGTTATCAGGCGAGAAAACAATACACACGCATACACCATTTGTCTTTGGCAGAAGATACCGACACTACCGTTATGCTTGTTTACACTGAGCTGCACTGGGGTCTGAACGCAATCTACATTAAGACACTGTGGAGCCAGCGTGAAATATGGGTCAGAAAACCTACCTCAATCCAGGGATGGAATATGCCACTGTACTCCAAATTGTACCTGTAACCACACTGCTCCATTGAGAAGATTGAAATACTTTTGTTCTGTATCTATGGACACGACCCAGTCATTCCTTTTAAATGTTCCATGCCATACTGGCTGGCAACGTTCTTATCCCATGCTTGCTAGCTAGCCAACTACGGCTAACTTAGTCACGTCAAACTTAAAAAAGAATAACAACAGTAGCTGCATTTGTTTAAGCTGTTTTCTAGTTACATTTATTTTGGAACATACATAACAATGAGCTAATGAGGCGCGATTTTGCCTGGCATAGAAAATGTGCTCTCTCGTCAGGACACTGTTGTTCACAGGAGCTAGCCAACAACACAGCTACAGTAACACAATCACTTCAAACACTGAAGCTGTAAAGACTGCAAACTAGCTGCACTTCATTTCGTTTTACCTTTTTTCAATTGACATTTCTTTGTATATATCCATAAAAATGATGCCAGCTGATTAATGATTTAGACTGGCTGAGAAACGCTGCCTGTCTGTCTCGTCCCGACCCCTACACGTTCATTACTATGGGACTGCTGGAGATCGAATTTGAATATTGAAACAATGTTGCAAATGTTGGAGAGACAGACAGCAAGGTTTATACAAATCTCCGCTGTTGAAAACTAAATGTCAGTCTAAAAGAAATGTGAGAGAATGTCTAGATGGTTTTTATAGTGGAGATCAAGTTTATAATTTGCCTGGCTGGGCTGATGAGACAGTGGATTGCGCAGTCAGGGCATTTTAACGTCATAGATTTAGCCGGTGGTAACTTGTGGAATAGACACCGGCAGGAATGCGCTTTTAACCAATCAGCATTCAGGATTAGAACCACCCGTTGTGTAACAGCCATTATGGAATGGCACATGGAGTTGAACAACAAAGGAGTTGATTGGCTGACATTGCCATTCCAGAATGGCTATAGTGGCTACTGCTAGCTAGCGTGCCATGAGGACGAAAATGGCAGTTTTCTGGGAAAACGATCAGTATTTCAATATTCTCGATGTATCAGTGTGGATAAAGGTACAATTTGGAGTACAGTGGCATATCCCATTCCTGCATTGAGGTATGTTTTCCGACCCATATCTCACGCTGTCTCCACAGTGTCTTAATTTAACCCCAGTGCAGCTCCGTGTAAACAAGCGTAACAGTAGGGTCGGTATCTTCTGGGAACTCTTGTCTTTAATTGATTAGCTTGGTAGATCAAAAATAATAGGCAAACTTTTGACCTTGTCTGACCATAGTCACTGGTAGGGTTGCAAAATTCAGTGAACTTTCAATAAATTCCCAGGTTTTCCAGAAATCCTGGTTGGAGGACTGGGAATTTCCTGCTTATTCCCTACAGATTTCGGGAATATTTCCAATCAGGATTTTGTGAAAACCAGGGAATTTATTGAAATTTTTTGCAACCCTAGTCACTGGAAATGACAAAGAGTTGTAACTTTACAGAGACGGTTGATGTTGGTTGTTTAGCTACTATGAATGTTGTTTTTGATGTCATTCAGACAAACTTCTAACTAACTTCCCACAACTAAGGATCACCTGTATTTATTAGTCTCCAGTTTGGTGTAGCCTAAACTTATATTTTTCTCAACATATTTTTAACTGTGACCTTTTTGGAAACTGAAATAAAAAGGGCCCCTGAACCCAAAAAGATGGAATCCATAAATTAATAATAGGCATCAATCATATAATGTATATAGTATTAGATAGTTTATTAGTCACATGCACAGGGTCACAGATGTAATCGCAGGGTACAGTGAAATTCTTATGCGCCAACAGTGCAGGTAAAAAAAAGATAAGTATTAGGTATAACTATCCATTAGTCTAAAATTAGTGCTAAGTAATTGCATAGATGGATGGAAATATCCTGGTGCAATGGAATGTTCACTCAGTAGGCCCGACCGTTTCTTGGCTGTTGAGTTCCATCTGGCCATTTTGTTGGTCTTTAGGTGTTGTTAGTTAGGTTAGTGGGTTTAAGATGAGGAATAAGTCGTGCTGTATGCTCTACAATGCTCATGTTGTAACCGTAAAATAACTAGCAAATTGTATTGAGAGAACAGTACCTTGACCTATTTATGTGAAATTAAATTCATTATACATGTCTTCCATACCTCCTTTCAAAGAAAGACTCCATCTATCCTACATAAAGCAAAATGAGTTGGGTCTGGCCGATGGCCAATGTAAAGTGTTTTTGTTGATTTTGATGTAACTCACTGACCACGGTAGACCCATAGACAGACTTACAGAGTTGTAGGCTAAACATCTGTTACTGACAGGTGTCCCATATAGGGCAATGACTGGTTTATTGTAAGATGTCCCCATACTGCTGGGTGTTATGTGGTACACTTTGCATAATTTCTTAAGCTGTGCAATAGGCCTATTTATTATGTGTAATATTTAAGTCAAATATTAATAATGACATTTTGTTGTATCCTCGTAGGACTGGCAGCCTCCATTTGCATGTGATGTTGACAGACTGCACTTCACTCCTCGGATACAGAGGCTAAATGAACTGGAGGTAAGAAGCAATGTTCCCTCAAAATGTTTTCAGCACTGAGCAAATTTCAGGTCTGCTGAGCGCAAACTTGTTGTGAAAATTTCCAGGGCGTGTTTACTGTGAACGCTGAGGCTGTACCTGCTTTAAGTTACAGTTTCAGACAGTGGTCAAGTAGGCTACTGTGGCTATTTGATCATCACATAACATTTTACCATGGAAATAGCTGTTCTATCATTCAGCCTACAGTAGCAGCCAACGTGTGGTGTTCAATATAGGCCTACATTCCATGAGACTTTTGAAGGAAAAAAAAGCTCTTTACCTGACTCGCTTTTCAAAGATGTCTAGAAATGTACACGTTTTGTGTTCTTGTAGGAAGCAATCACTCCCCCATTGCTGACTACAGATTATCTATAACTGGGCTAATAACTCACTAACTAGCAAAGGAAATGAACAAATGTGCACAGGTGGCTACGTGCAGCTCTCGCTTTGCTTTCAAAACAAGCGCATCTACTCATGACCCCTCATGCTGTAAACACAGTCCAGTTCAAAGTGAATGGCACAGATCCATATATGGCAATGGTTTATTTGCATATAGGCCTACTGCAGCTCTGATTGGTTATGCCGCACCGGTCTTTGTAGAGTACTGGCTGAGTCTTGTTCCAAGATGGCGAAGTAGTGCAGTCTTGTTTCTGTCGTGTGTCTGTAAATAGCCTGTAAATACCCAGTTTTTTGTATTTTTCGTACATATTTCCCTATCAGACTTTTCATCCTTCTACAAAATATACTTTCCTGCAACCTGCCTCACTCAATGTGGAACGGATTCTATTATTGACTTACCTTTTATCCAGAATCTAGAATCTCCAGTTGAAACTAGCTAGCCAGCTAACTAGCTACTTGCTATTAGCCACGGCTAGCGGTGTTTCACCCAGAACATAGGATTTTTTTCCGCAGGATTAATTTTAATCACTGGACATTGATCACCGGATATTCGGCCAGTCTGCACAGCGCGTTATCGACCCAGAACATATCAGTTTTTCCGCGGAATCACTGATTCACTGGAACTTTAACTCCGGATTCATCGCTTCCAGCTGGCTACAACAAAACGGACGCTGTGGTCTGGCTAATCAACCTGAGCTAGGCCCATCTCCCGGCTATCTACCTCTCTATCAACTGGACTGGACCACCTAGGATTGACGCGGAGCCCCGCCGATCCTACACGACTGGTCTGCCGACGAAATCGTCTGATGTGGTTACGACGTAACCACGAAGATTCCATCCATCTGCTAGCCCTGGCCCGTTAGCACACGCTTACTCACTAAACTGAACTAGCTACTGAACTAGCTACTTGCTATTGGCCACAGCTGGCGGTGTTTCACCCAGAACATTTGATTTTTTTTCCCGCGGGATTGGTTTTAATCACTGGACATTGATCGCCGGATATTCGGACAGTCAGCACTGCGCGTTGTCGACCCAGAACATATCAGTTTTTCCGTCGCTACCAGCTGGCTACAACAAAACGGACGTAGCACACGCTAGCCGTGGCCTCTTGCTCACTGGCGCTTCACCACCGGACCTTGTGATAACTCAGCTATACAGCTGATATCTGCTGGACTGTTCCTTTTTACGGTACTACATCCTGTTTATGTTTAGCCTCAGCCCAAACATGGTTAGTTTATTGTTGTTTCGGTTATTTCTAATTGTACTATATCACTGTAGACCCCCCAGCCTAGCTGAACCTGCCTTGGTTAGCCCCTTTGTCCCTCCACCCATACACTCACAGACCGACTCAATTTATGCCTCTAGAGATACTATCTCTTTCAGTGTTACCCAACGCTTAGGTTTGCCTCCACTTTACTCATGTCCTTCCATATCCTTGTCTGTTCATAATGCCCTGAATCTTTTCTATAACACCCGGAAATCTGCCCCCTTTATTCTATGTACCCAACGCACTAGAAGACCAGTTCTTAAAGCCTTTAGCCGTATCCTTATTCTAGTCCTCCTCTGTTCCTCTGGTGATGTAGAGGCTAACCCAGGCCCTGTAGCCCCCAGTATCACTCCTACTCCCCAGGAGCTATCATTTGTTGACTTCTGTAATCGCAAAAGTCTTGGTTTCTTGCACATAAATATCAGAAGTCTACTTCCTAAGTTTGAGTTATTCACTGCGTTAGCACACTCTGCCAACCCTGATGTTCTAGCAGTGTCTGAATCCTGGCTCAGGAAGGCCACCAAAAATTCTGAAATTTCCATCCCCAACTATAACATTTTCCGTCTAGATAGAACTGCCAAAGGGGGTGGAGTTGCAATCTACTGTAGAGATAGCCTGCAGAGCTCTATCATACTATCCAGGTCTGTGCCCAAACAGTTTGAGCTTCTACTTCTAAAAATCCACCTTTCCAGAAATAAGTCTCTCACTGTTGCCGCTTGCTACAGACCCCCCTCAGCCCCCAGCTGTGCCCTGGACACCATATGTGAATTGATTGCCCCCCATTTATCCTCTGAGTTTGTACTGCTTGGTGACCTAAATTGGGATATGCTTAATACCCCAGCCATCCTACAATCCAAGCTAGATGCCCTCAACCTCACGCAAATTATCAACGAACCTACCAGGTACAACCCTAAATCCTTAAACATGGGTACCCTCATAGATATCATCCTGACTAATATACCCTCTAAATACACCTCAGCTGTCTTCAACCAGGATCTCAGCGATCACTGCCTTATTGCCTGCGTCCGTAACGGGTCCGCGGTCAAACGACCACCCCTCATCACTGTCAAACGCTCCCTAAAACACTTTAGCGAGGAGGCCTTCCTAATTGACCTGGCCCAGGTATCCTGGATGGATATAGATCTCATTCCGTCAGTAGAGGATGCCTGGTTGTTCCTTAAAAGTAATTTCCTCTCAATCTTAAATAAACATGCCCCATTCAAAAAATACAGAACTAAGAACCGATATAGCCCCTGGTTCTCCTCAGACTTGACTGCCCTTGACCAGCACAAAAACATCCTGTGGCGTACAGCATTAGCATCAAATAGCCCCCGCGATATGCAACTTTTCAGGGAAGTTAGGAACCAATATACACAAGCAGTCAGGAAAGCAAAGGCTAACTTTTTCAAACAGAAATTTGCATCCTGTAGCACTAACTCCAAAAAGTTTTGGGACACTGTAAAGTCCATGGAGAATAAGAGCACTTCCTCCCAGCTGCCCACTGCACTGAGGCTAGGAAACACTATCACCACCGATAAATCTACAATAATCGAGAATTTCAACAAGCATTTTGCTACAGCTGGCCATGCTTTCCATCTGGCTACCACTAACCCGGCCACCAACTCTGCACCCTCTGCTGCAACTTGCCCATGCCCCCCCCGCTTCTCCTTCACACAAATTCAGACAGTTGATGTTTTGAAAGCGCTGCAAAATCTGGACCCCTACAAATCAGCTGGGCTAGACAATCTGGACCCTTTCTTCCTAAAACTAGCCGCCGAAATTGTCGCAACCCCTATTACTAGTCTGTTCAACCTCTCTTTCATAACGTCTGAGATCCCCAGAGATTGGAAAGCTGCCGCGGTCATCCCCCTCTTCAAAGGGGGTGACACTCTAGATCCAAACTGCTACAGACCTATATCCATCCTGCCCTGCCTTTCGAAAGTATTCGAAAGCCAAGTTAACAAACAGATCATCGACCATTTCGAATACCACCGTACCTTCTCCGCTATGCAATCCGGTTTCCGAGCTGGTCACGGGTGCACTTCAGCCACGCTCAAGGTCCTAAACGATATTATAACCGCGATTGATAATAGACAGTACTGTGCAGCCGTCTTCATCGACCTGGCCAAGGCTTTCGACTCTGTCAACCACCGCATTCTTATTGGCAGACTAAATAGCCTTGGTTTCTCAAATGACTGCCTCGCCTGGTTCACCAACTACTTCTCAGATAGAGTTCAGTGTGTCAAATCGGAGGGCCTGTTGTCTGGACCTATGGCAGTCTCTATGGGGGTGCCACAGGGTTCAATTCTTGGGCCGACACTTTTCTCCGTGTATATCAATGATGTCGCTCTTGCTGCTGGTGACTCTCAGATCCACCTCTACGCAGACGACACCATTTTGTATACATCTGGCCCTTCATTGGACACTGTGTTAACAAACCTCCAAACGAGCTTCAATGCCATACAACAATCCTTCAGTAGCCTTCAACTGCTCTTAAACACTAGTAAAACTAAATGCATGCTTTTCAATCGAACGCTGCTAGCACCCGCCCACCCGACTAGAATCACCACTCTCGACGGGTCTGACCTAGAGTATGTGGACAACTACAAATATCTAGGTGTCTGGTTAGACTGTAAACTCAACTTCCAGACTCACATAAAGAATCTCCAATCCAAAGTTAAATCTAGAATCGGCTTCCTATTTCGCAACAAAGCCTCCTTCACTCATGCTGCCAAACATGCCCTCGTAAAACTGACTATCCTACCGATCCTTGACTTCGGCGATGTCATTTACAAAATAGCCTCCAACACTCTACTCAGCAAATTGGATGTAGTCTATCACAGTGCCATCCGTTTTGTCTCCAAAGCCCCATACACTACCCACCACTGTGACCTGTACGCTCTTGTTGGCTGGTCCTCACTACATGTTCGTCGTCAAACCCACTGGCTCCAGGCCATCTATAAATCACTGCTAGGCAAATCCCCGCCCTATCTTAGCTCATTGGTCACCATAGCAGCACCCACCCGTAGTCTGCGCTCCAGCAGGTATATCTCACTGGTCATTCCCAAAGCCAACACCTCCTTTGGCCGCCATTCCTTCCAGTTCTCTGCTGCCAATGACTGGAACGAATTGCAAAAATCTCTGAAGCTGGAGACTCTTATCTCCCCCAATAACTTTAAGCATCAGTTGTCAGAGCACCTTACCGATCACTGCACCTGTACACAGCCCATCTGAAATTAGCCCACCCAACTACCTCATCCCTATATTGTTATTTAATTTGCTCTTTTGCACCCCAGTATCTCTATTTGCACATAATCTCTTGCACATCTAGCATTCCAGTGTTAATACTATTGTAATTATTCTGCACTATAGCCCATTTATTGCCTTACCTCCATAACTTGCTACATTTGCACACACTGTATATATATTTTCTGTTGTATTTTCTGACTTTATGTTTTTTTCTTTACCCCATATGTAACTCTGTGTTGTTTTTATTGCACTACTTTGCTTTATCTTGGCCAGGTCGCAGTTGTAAATGAGAACCTGTTCTCAACTGGCTTACCTGGTTAAATAAAGGTGAAATAAAAAAATAAATAAAAAAGTCTTGCATGTCAATGCAATAGAATCCTACTCCGATGCGTTCTGCTTACAACAAAATCTCTTGCATAGTTAGTTTTGCATACTAAGTCTTGCTCAGTTTGTTTTATTTTGGTATGTTGCATTGAAAGTGGCTAATATTGCGTTGATTCAATCACAATTCCCACAGTAAAGGGAAACATTGATAGTGTTAACTAAGGGGGAAAACTTGAAAGTTGAGTAAAGTTCTATCTCGTGCTTCTCTGTGCGGGCTGATATTTCTTCTGCGCAGCAGTCCCAGGGAGCTGCGGGCCCGCACACTCGCGCAGGTTAGAGGGAACATTGGTAAGGAAGTCACTTTGCATGATGTGTAGCCTAGATTTTAGTTTAATGTACAATACCCTTGAAGATATGAACCATATGCACCCCTTTGACACCCCGGCCTATAAGGGGAAATTAAACTGATTGGTCAGGGTCCCTGTCAATGCAATTGTCTAGTTGACGTAGCACTGAAGCTTTTCTATTGTGCCTACTGCCTACCATTATTAATCACCCCCTTCAGAAGCTTTGGTGAAAGGAAAGTCAAAGGTTGTTTGCGCAGGGGCCGGTCAGCAGAAAAATAGTATTTTCAGTGCACAAATATTTTTTTTTATTGCATCACATATCTGAGTCAGGAGACTTATCACCTCCATGATTCTCTAAATGTAAATCCCTACAGTGACAAATATATCACCCTTGTTTCCCTTTCCTAGGCACAGACCAGAGTCAAGCTTAATTTCTTGGACCAGATTGCAAAGTTCTGGGAGTTGCAGGGGTGTTCTCTGAAGATTCCTCATGTGGAAAGGAAGATATTGGACCTGTATCAACTCAACAAGGTTGGGTGTTTAGTAGTGATGTTAGATTTGATACTGGAGCTCCGAGGCATGTGTCAAAATCACTAAGCAGTTTACTTCGAAGCAGTGTGCCGATGCCTGTATCATTTTATCAGAATCATGTGATCAATGACGTCCAAAGCTTTGTTTTGTCAAACAACCACCTGATTGGCTTTGCATTAGTTTCGGTAGAAGACAAAAAGGCTACCCTGCGCATGCGCTATGGCGTGTGGGACGTTATATATAATAATTTGGTTGCTCTAAATTCTTTTGACCAGCAGGTGCCACTAGTGTACACTGTGTTGATCAAAGCCTCGCGTAATGAAACTATTTTCGACACAATTGGCTGGAAAGCATCAACGCTTCAAGAAGCTTTGTTTCCCCATCACTAGTGTTTAGCATTGTTTCAAACTACTATACATTTATTCCATCTTAAATAGCATTGAACAGAATCCAATGACTCTACCTAACTTTGACACATTTTATTTCAGAATGTTGCAGATGAGGGTGGATTTGATATTGTGTGTCGCGATAGACGTTGGACAGCGATTGCGCTTAAGATGGGCTTTGCTCCTGGCAAGGCTGTTGGCTCTCACTTACGGTCACACTATGAGAGACTCCTCTACCCCTACAACCTCTTCCAGAGCGGAGCCAACTTCCTGGTAAGTTGGACAGATGCCCCAACACCAATTATTTTCCAATTGTTTCGTTATGAACACAACCATAATTTTTTTAACGTTCCATTCCACTGTTCCGACCAGAAAAATAAAGTTCTGAACCGATTAAAATCCCCAAAAAGTAACGGTTTATACCATTCCTTTCTGTTCCTTTTTTACATTTCACTCGACATTAAATTAGTTGACCAATGGATAGAGCAGCTTTCTATGGAGCGGGCAAGCTATGCATTGGAGAGACAAGTGTAGTGTAGGGTGCGACATGCAACTGAAATTTTGCAGGTGAGGAGAGCGCTGGGCATGATGCGCTGGCCATCTTGTTGTTATGACATGCATTAGGCCCATCTGAATTAGGCCCACAGAATTATATCTACGGAGGAGCGGCTTCTATGAAGGAACTTTGAATGTCTTTGAACTTCAGAGAGTTGGCTAAACTAACGTTGGACCAGAGCTAGCCCTTGATCATGACTATCGATTCCATTACATTACACATAATGCTGCCTAGAGGTTTCGAGAGCTAGACCAGAGCTAGATAACAAGCTAACAAGCTTGTGTGTGCAGAGCGGTACCATATAAAAAATATGTCTTACCTTTTTGTACTTAATAAATCCATTGTGTAACATGAAGACTATAGTATCCATAACTAGCATTGATCATTTCTGAATCACATCTGTAACGCCAGTAGCTACAGTAGACTATGCATGCTTCAGAGGGAGGGGGAGGGGAAGGTAGCCTATAAACACACACACGGGCAAAGATTTTCAGCTGGCAGGCAGGAAGACAGTGAGGGCTTTGCATAAGCGCATTGCGTTTTTTGTGGGACAAAAAAAAAAGGCCCAGAACGTTATTAACTGGTTCCCATGCTTTTACAAATAAAGGTTCTGTTCCGGAACAGTATAGATCCCTTTCGTTCTCAGTTCTGGTTCTGTTCCTCGAAAAATGTCATTATTTTCTGGTTTTCGATTTGGTTCCAACCCCTGCCTAACACTCATGATTAATCTGTCTGTGTCTATTCACATTGCACTCAGCTTTATGCATCAGCTAATGCTGTGTTAAGTGCTTGGTTGGCTCATCTGTAGGCAAGTTGAGCACTGATCAACCATAGTTTTACTGCTGTTATGCTGGAAGTATGTTTGTCTAATGTCTAGTGAGGATAATTTTCAATATTGAATACATTTATTGAACATTGTAGAGAAAGCGTACAGAGTGAACGTAGATTGGGTCTTTGTTGTTGTTAATGTTGCAAGCTCTCTTGTTTTAGGCACCAGAGCTTGCGTCCAAGCTGATGCGTTTAGTGTCTGCTCCTGAACTTGACAAGGTATGTCTGCCTCATGGTTATTATCTAAGAATTAACAGATAGCACGTCTATGGCATAGTCTGGAGATTTTGGTTACACAGAAATGTTAGACTGCAATACAACCATTCTTTGTTTTAAATGGTCTCATAGTGCTTTGTCTGTGCACCGCTATCATAGTCTGGGTGTCCTTGCTGCCATAGATGTGTGCCATGTCTTTTGATTTGTTATTGGTTGTACGTTTATTCTACATTTGTAATGGATTAACTGTATGTATTGTTTAATATTACAATGTATATGCCTGTAGCTTGTCCAGAAGCCAACCCTGCCAGTTGACACGAGTGACAAGGAGTGTAAACCCCCTGACCTGGCTGAGAGGCAGCAATTTGTTGAGCCAACCGAGTCGTGCTTCAACAGCGCCTGCAGAGCAAAGCGGATGAGAGCTGAGGTGGATGCTCTTGTCGAACAGAGCCTCACACACTTGTCAGAAGAACTCTTCTTAAAACCAGTAATTCAGATTGCACAACTACCTTGTAACCATCTACTTTACTCTATCCCCTTCAAATCCTTAAGTCACAAAATGGAGGAGTTGCATAAGAAGGCCAATTTGAATGTAATTTGCCTAAAGACTTATGGGTGTTATCTTAATTATTCATGAATGCATTGACACATTTCTCTCTATTGCATATAAACTTTGTAACATCATTAGTGGCAGTTACAATAGTTAACTAGAACTCTATTTCTCCACCCACAGTCAGGTTGTGTGAAGACAGAACCAGGAACTGAACCCTGTGAGAACAACAGACCAAATCTGAGGAGGAGGATGGGCTCTTTTGTTGCCAAGCCCGAGCCAGGTCAGTACCAACAAGGCTTTACTTTAACCACAGTAGAGTTAACACAATATTTGTGATCGGTGCCAATATCCATACACTTGTATACTACTCAATCCATATATTGGGTCATGCATTTTAAGTGTGAATATTGGAAGGTCATGTACGATATTCAGGCTAGGGTATAAGATACACCATGGGTAATTCATGAGTTAAATCATCTGATGTTCCTTATTATGCTCATCATATGTCATTTTTCTTTGCAGAAAAAGAAATTCCCATTCTAGTGAAACAAGAACCCATTGAGCCGGTGAGCGAGGCAGACAAAAACAAGTCTCGATATAAGAAAAAACCAAGTCTTGATGCACCACCTCCTGCAGTGAGTGTAGTAAGTGTGGCTTTATTTGATCCATTCTTTGGATGAGAGAGAATACTCTTAAATGGATTATCAACAGTATAATGTATTTTTGTGCAGCAAATAGGACGTTTGAACAAATGTGATTATGTGAACAAAAGTTGAGTTGTAGTCCCTTTGGTTATTCATTAGTTGTATAATAACAGGAGTGAAGAACAGCTGGAACAAAGCCCTTTCTTCCCTCCTCTGTTCTGTAGGTGGACCTGTATATGTGTCTGGTGTGTGGTAGCGGAAGAGACGAGGATCGTCTTCTGCTGTGTGATGGCTGTGACGCCAGTTACCACACCTTCTGTCTCATACCCCCTCTACACGATGTCCCCAAAGGAGACTGGAGGTGCCCCAAGTGCCTGGCTCAAGTGAGTAGTGATGTCTATTCACTTCATCACACCAATAACCACATTCAAATGGAAGAGGCAAGTGGAAGTGGGAGAAAGTAAGGAACTTGTCTGTTAGCCCTGCATTAAAGACCAAAATTGCTTAAAGAAAATTGTGATAAATAAAAAAGAATACCAGTTTCATTTAAGGACCCCAAAAAATGACAGCTGTGCCATATAGATTGCAAAATAGTTGGGAAGAGATTTTTGATGTACTGATTCCACGGCACATGGTTTATGAAATGATACACAAAACGACACCGGATTCTTTATCAATTTACATTTTCATACAAAATTCTTGCAACCAATAGAATGTTATACAGTATATGGGGGATACAACCATCCCAGCGCTGCAGATTCTGCTGCGAAGAGACCGAATCATTAGATCATTTGTTTTGGTACTGTACATATGTAGCTTGTTTTTGGTCGCAGTTTCAGGAATGGCTGAAGAATTGCAACATTTACCTGGAGGTAACTCTGCAAATAGCACTGCTGGGTGATTTGAAAAGTCATAGTTAATTGATCAATAATATACACTGAAAAAAATATAAACGCAACATGTAAAGTGTTGCTCCCATGTTTCATGAGCTAAAATAAAAGATCCCAGAAATGTTCCAAACGCACAAAAAGCTTATTTCTCTCAATTTTCTTTGTACAAATTTGTTTACATCCCTGTTAGTGAGCATGTTATCCTTTGTTAAGATAATCCATCCACCTGACAGGTGTGGCATATCAAGAAGCTGATTAAACAGCATGATCATTACAAAGGTGTACCTTGTGCTGGGGACAATAAAGGGCGCTCTAAAATGTGCAGTTTTGTCACAACGCAATGCCACAGATGTCTCAATTGGCATGCTGACTGTAGGAATGTCCACCAGCGCTGTTGCCAGAGAATTGAAAGTTAATTTCTCTACCATAAGCTGCCTTCAACGTTGTTTTAGAGAATTTGGCAGTACATCCAACCGGCCTCACAACCGCAGACCACGTGTATGGTGTTGTGTGGGCGAGCGGTTTGCTGTTGTGAACAGAGTGCCCCATGGTGGTGGTGGGGTTATGGTATGGGCAGGCATAAGCTACGGACAACGGACACAATTGCATTTTATCGATGGCAATTTTAATGCACAAAAATACCGTGACGAGATCCTGAGGCCCATCTGTGACCAACAGATGCATATCTGTATTCCCAGTCATGTGAAATCCATAGATTAGCGCCTAATGAATTGACTGATTTCCTCATGAACTTTAACTCAGTAAAATAAATGAAATTGTTGCGTTTTATATTTTTGTTCAGTATAATAATACTCTTATCAAAAATGTTTATCTTTAATTTACAATCTGTAGAAACAATGAGAATAGGAAGTTTCAGAACTTTTTGTGAAACATCACAGCACAGTTGAAAAATATATGGCAAATAGGGATGGTCTTCAGAGATCTATGGGATGGGTTGAGGGTAGCTGAAGGATGGGACTAAAAACAAACAAAATATAACTTTTGTAAAATATACTTTCCATAAAATGTATATAGTATGTATAAGCTGGAAGTAGAAGCCTAAACGTTGTCCATTAGTTTACTCCAATTAGGGGAGGGGTGGTAGGGTTAGGGGGAAATAATAAAGGATTGCCAAGAGTGTGCAAAACTAACATCAATGCAAAGGGTGGCTACTTTGAAGAATCTGAAATAGAAAATATATTTTGATTTGTTTAACACTTTTTTGGTTACTACATGATTCCATGTGTTATTTCATAGTTTTGATGTCTTCACTATTATTCTACAAAGTAGAAAATAGTAAAAATAAAGAAAAACCCTGGAATGAGTAGGTGTCCAAACATTTGACTGGTACTGCATATAAAATATATAAAAAATATATATGGGGGCTAGGAAATGATGCAGACAATTACATTGATGGAAGCCACAATCTATCTGCAATAGTAAAGCTGATCTACCCCCTAAAAAAATATATATCATAAAAAAAATCCCACATTCACACTTCACAGACAGTCTGTACTGGCTCCTGTGAGTGTAAGATATGAATGTGTTCAGCGCTGTTACTTATACAGAGTACCTATGTTGTTACAGTGTTACCTATACAGAGTACCTACAGTGGGGAGAACAAGTATTTGATACACTGCCGATTTTGCAGGTTTTCCTACTTACAAAGCATGTAGAGGTCTGTAATTTTTATCATAGGTACACTTCAACTGTGAGAGATGGAATCTAAAACAAAAATCCAGAAAATCACATTTGTATGATTTTTAAGTAATTAATTTGCATTTTATTGCATGACATAAGTATTTGATCACCTACCAACCAGTAAGAATTCCGGCTCTCACAGACCTGTTCGTTCTTCTTTAAGAAGCCCTCCTGTTCTCCACTAATTACCTGTATTAACTGCACCTGTTTGAACTCGTTACCTGTATAAAAGACACCTGTCCACACACTCAATCAAACAGACTCCAACCTCTCCACAACGGCCAAGACCAGAGAGCTGTGTAAGGACATCAGGGATACAATTGTAGACCTGCACAAGGCTGGGATGGGCTACAGGACAATAGGCAAGCAGCTTGGTGAGAAGGCAACAACTGTTGGCGCAATTATTAGAAAATGGAAGAAGTTCAAGATGACGGTCAATCACCTTCGGTCTGGTGCTCCATGCAAGATCTCACCTCATGGTCAATGACCTGAAGAGAGCTGAGACCACAGTCTCAAAGAAAACCATTAGTAAAACACTACGCCGTCATGGATTAAAATCCTGCAGCGCACGCAAGGTCCCCCTGCTCAAGCCAGCGCATGTCCAGGCCCGTCTGAAGTTTGCCAATGACCATCTGGATGATCCAGAGGAGGAATGGGAGAAGGTCATGTGGTCTGATGAGACAAAAATAGAGCTTTTTGGTCTAAACTCCACTCGCCGTGTTTGGAGGAAGAAGGATGAGTACAACCCCAAGAACACCATCCCAACCGTGAAGCATGGAGGTGGAAACATCATTCTTTGGGGATGCTTTTCTGCAAAGGGGACAGGACAACTGCACCGTATCGAGGGGAGGATGGATGGGGCCATGTATCGCGAGATCTTGGCCAACAACCTCCTTCCCTCAGTAAGAGCATTGAAGATGGGTCGTGGCTGGGTCTTCCAGCATGACAACGACCCGAAACACACAGCCAGGGCAACTAAGGAGTGGCTCCGTAAGAAACATCTCAAGGTCCTGGAGTGGCCTAGCCAGTCTCCAGACCTGAACCCAATAGAAAATCTTTGGAGGGAGCTGAAAGTTCCTTATTGCCCAGCGACAGCCCCGAAACCTGAAAGATCTGGAGAAGGTCTGTATGGAGGAGTGGGCCAAAATTCCTGCTGCAGTGTGTGCAAACCTGGTCAAGACCTACAGGAAACGTATGATCTCTGTAATTGCAAACAAAGGTTTCTGTACCAATATTAAGTTCTGCTTTTCTGATGTTTCAAATACTTATGTCATGCAATAAAATGCAAATTAATTACTTAAAAATCATACAATGTGATTTTCTGGATTTTTGTTTTAGATTCCGTCTCTCACAGTTGAAGTGTACCTATGATAAAAATTACAGACCTCTACATGCTTTGTAACTAGGAAAACCTGCAAAATCGGCAGTGATTCAAATACTTGTTCTCCCACTGTATGTGTTAGTGTTAGCTATAGACCTTTTCAAATGTCAATAACACATTATATATGCACGCGCAACCAAGAGGTTCCCCAGTAAACACCTGGCGCTGCAGCGTGCCATAATTGCTAGCTAGTTCGTTTTTCTTGATCCAACCAAAAAACGGAACAAACGAGTTATACACATTGACTTGTTGCTACCAGATCCACTAAACAAAATCAGACAACGTTTATTATCCATTTGCTCTGGTGGTGTTGGCTACATTTGGCTAGCACAGCAAATAACCACAGAGCTAGTGTGATGTGAAGGTAGAGAAAGATCCGCTTACCTTGTTAGTCAGCTAGATAGATGAATTTCTCTCACGGCAGCCAACAATATAACTAAACTAAATGTAACTAGCATACGAGTCCAATGATTGACGGCCGCAAGTGTTTACATCAAAAGTTAGCTAGCAGCAATTACCCCACTATCAACCTCTTTCCCCCTTCACTAATCTGTGTCTCCTAGCTCTTCGTCTGCTTCCTCCAAAACGCAACTATATTTTACCCAGGTGTATTGCCCACTCAATTAAGAAACAAGCAACATGTATTTTGAAATTAAACCAAATGAACATTAAAATATTACTTTCTGCACACCCTCATGATGGTGATATTTGCTAATAATGTCTCTCTAATGTGCATGTCATCCTTACGGTCTACCTTCATTACAAGGGTAGGGATTGCACTAATCCATTTAATGAAGGCATGTACAGTAGTTGTAGAAATCAAATCTGGTATCCTTCAACATGGTTAGGCTCATTAATTGTCTAATGAAAAAGAAAAACCCACACACTGATCTTGCCAGTATCAGTAAACTATTAGCAAATTATTCCCACACACATAAATGATCAGATGTGAGTGCTTTTCCTATTTCTAATAGTATCATTTAAAAGGGAGAAAGCATCTCAACAAAATGTAAACAGTGTGTGAGGATTTGCTTATCCTGTTTCAGTATAGAAATGACAAGCCACATGTACAAGTGCATTGGACATACCCACGAGGCCAATACTAATCCCATCATATGTCTGCATTGGGCATGCATGCAGTCAATAATCTCACATCCACTGTGACCAAAAGGGTAGAGCACGGATAGTGGAGGCAAGCAAAAAAATATCCTGAAGCGTGACCACCGTGAAGGGTCACTTTTACAGGGTCACTTTTACAAGGGCTGCAAAGTAGCCATGTAATGTATGAGTTTCATTCCCCATATGGCTGCCCGGTGCCGGGACGTAAACCCAAATCAAATGACACTTGTAGCTAGCATACCAACCATTGGAGAAGGAGGACAGTGAGTGTAGCAGAATGAAGCAAATCGGCACAAAAAAGATCCTCCCGCAGCTGAGATGCTTACGGTATTAAAATATAGATACATTAATGGTAGACAGGAGGAGACAATACTTCAAGTCTCAGGGGGATGGAATCACATCACAGTTGCTACTAGAACTCACCTGCAGCTCACCTCTGCTACAGTCACAACCTTTTCACCTGCCTCCTACGCCACCGACAGTATAACTCAGCCACCGACTGTGTGATCTGAGCCAATGTAGAAAATTAAATACCCACAAAATTAATTATGTGGGTGCTAGATTGACTCAGTTCACACAGTCTGCTCTGCTGGCTGCTGAGGTTGATGCGGAGGAGGTCAGTGAGTGTTGCAGCAGAGGGATGGTGTGTAGCATGTGAGCTAGTTGACAGGTGAGTGCTACGCTCTTTCTCAATTCATCCTTCCTCGATTCCTCTCATCGCCTCCTTCTCAAAACCAATTTGAGTAGAAGGTCAGAAGGTAGGGACCTTGTACCTTCACCTCCAATACAATTGTGATAAAATACAGGTGAGGAGATATGATGCAAGTAATCAAGGAAAGAAAGTGAGACAAAGCCCTAGTAGCCATAGTGTGGTGATGTCACCTGCTCTGATACCTAAAGTACTGTTATTCTAGCCCAGTGTTTCCCAACCAGGGGTACTAGGACACTTGGTTTATCCACAGGGGGTACTTGAGAAGACTCATGAGACCATAGGCTTACTGGTAAAATGTACATGAGTGGGTACTTCAAGGGTACTCCGGGCAGAGCAAAATATACTTGGTGGTACAGTAACCAAAAAAGGTCGGGTACCACTGTTCTAGCCCAACCAAGATCATGGTTTTGGTAGGATAATGGATGTTGCTGTGCGTATGTCACACCCAAATCAATGATCAAGAACATCAGCTCCAGCTGCAAATCTGTGCAATATCATCAGACAAAATGAGAGTGAGTGACAACCAAATAAAACAGACAAACAGGGAATGTTTTTAATGACCCAAAAGTACACTATACTTCATTCAAAGAATCAACACTTTATTTCATATCATAAAAAAAACGTCTATGTAAATGGTTAGTGGGTATAGACATTCATCTTACTCCAAAACAAGAGATGATTGAATAGTTAAATGAATAGTGTCTAATACAAATAATAAGCAGAATGTCAGGGCTGGGCTGGAACAGAAACGTGCACACCCAGTAGCTAGATATCTAGGAGCAAGGTTGGCTGTACATGTTCTATGTCTATGCATTGATACTTTTAACAGTATTTTTGCAGTCTTACAAACAATTCTAACAGTAAACCAGTAACACATGTAACCCATTGGAGATATACCCTTCAGTCTCTCCAGGACTTGGGACTTCCTTTGGGACCTTCATTTGCAGACCGGGTTTAGCAGCTTTCACTGATCTCTGTATCTGAGGTTAGGAAACATGAAAATTAGACTACGACTTGCTTTGTTATTCTCAAGTGATATAGCATTTGATATATTTCGTTGCAATTGTGTTTTTGTATTATCATAGTTCTCTCTTTGGAACTGAAAATCTATCTGTTACCTCTGTAGCTCAGCTGGTAGAGCACGGCGCTTGTAACGCCAAGGTAGTGGGTTCGATCCCCGGGACCACCCATACACAAAAATGTATGCACGCATGACTGTAAGTCGCTTTGGATAAAAGCGTCTGCTAAATGGCATATTATTATTAATTAGCTAGCTAGCTTAGCTACTTGTTAGGTAGCTAACATTGTTGTTTTTAGCAGATCAAGCTAACGTTTGTGTCATAAAAAAAAAAAAAAAAAATGGATGGCTGTCTATCCTATTTATATGTAGCGAGCTAGCTAGATGACGTTACCTAGAATAGATGGTTAACTTAATAATCAACTTAACCTGCTGCTAACATTACTATCCATGCAGGCAATGCAGCCCGCTGCTATGCTTCTTTGGGAAATCTATCAACTTTAATTAAGATTTGTCCCCGGACGGAAGGACCATCCCACCCGCGAATACCTTGAGAAAACAAATAAAGTTAGCTAGCTAGCTGTTTACAGCCGCGACGGAACAGCTGTTTACAAACGCAACGGAAGTTCTTTGGGGTACAGGGTTCACTTCCACTCCTCCTCAAAAAGCAATTTAAATGGTCTATTCAGAGTACCTATGCGTTTGTCTGTGAAAAGAGAGAACTGTTATTAAGGTGTGATTTCTACCCCTTTTTGTTTATTTTGAACAGGAGTGCAGCAAACCTCAGGAGGCATTTGGCTTTGAGCAGGCATACAGGGACTACTCTTTGCAGGCTTTTGGAGAAATGGCAGACTCCTTCAAGTCTGATTACTTCAACATGCCAGTTCATGTAAGTAGAACATGTCTAATCATTAAGGAAGGTCTTACAATTTTGACCTGTTATAATTGATTCACAACTGTCATGAAATGGAATTTTTAACATTTTATTGTTTGTTTCAGATGGTTCCCACAGAGTTGGTGGAAAAAGAGTTCTGGCGCTTGGTGAGCGCCATCGAAGAGGACGTCACAGTGGAGTACGGAGCAGATATAGCCTCCAAGGAGTTTGGGAGCGGATTCCCCATCAGGAATGGAAGATTTAAGGTTTCAGAAAAGGATGAGGTAGGCAGCTGTGTATTGAAATGAATGGGTAACCAAACCAATACAGTATATCACACAGTAGTAGACTCATGATATAATGGCAAACGTTTCTTTCAATTTCATGTCTTGCCAATGTACCATTGAATCAGAATATAAATATATTTTAAAAATGGCTAAACTCTTTCTCATGATTTCTTGCAGAAGTACCTGAAGTGTGGCTGGAACCTGAACAACATGGCGATGATGGACCCGTCAGTGTTGACTCATGTCACAGCAGACATCTGTGGGATGACTCTACCTTGGCTTTATGTAGGCATGTGCTTCTCCTCCTTCTGCTGGCACATCGAGGACCACTGGAGCTACTCAATCAACTATCTGCACTGGTACTGATGTTGGCCAACCACTCTTTATTTAGGGATGTTGAAATTAAGTTAATTGTAACATGGTAATATACAATCATAACACAAAGTGCCATTTTGCTTATGATCAGTGATTTTTAGTTTTCCACATTTTCTGTATGGAGTCAGGACAATATTTTCAAATTATTCATATCACCTTGAATACCTTATTTGCATGATGTTCCCGAATCAAGCTCTGTGTTTGTTTTTTGTTTTTGAAAGGGGGGAGCCGAAGACATGGTATGGAGCACCTGGCTTTGCTGCAGAAAAGCTTGAGGCTGTGATGAAGAAGCTGGCTCCAGAGCTGTTTCAGATTCAGCCTGATCTCCTCCACCAGCTGGTCACCATCATGAACCCCAACACCCTCATGTCCTATGGGGTCCCGGTAAGTGTCTCTCTCAATGTAACTAGACTTACACCCATGTATTTCCATAGAATAGTATATCATTTCAGTAACAGAGAAATCAATCAGAAATCAATATTTTCTGTGTCACCAGATTTACAGAACAAATCAGTGTGCTGGTGAGTTTGTCATCACTTTCCCCAGAGCCTATCACAGTGGTTTCAACCAGGGCTTCAACTTTGCTGAGGCTGTCAACTTCTGCACTGTGGACTGGGTAAGATACTCATTGGCTTCAAGCACCCTTTCATTGTTTTATGGAGGTGGATAGAGCTAAGAATGTTCTCTTCCTTTACATAAGCTCTTCATTGATATTATATTGCAAGGGTTAGTTTATGTGAAGTGGACTGTTTACTAATATAGTCTCTCTTTGGTTAATCTCAGATGGCATTAGGCCGACAGTGCGTTGACCACTACAGACTGCTGCATCGGTACTGTGTTTTCTCCCATGACGAGATGATCTGCAAGATGGCTTCCAAGGCCAACAGTTTGGATGTGGTCCTGGCGTCGGCTGTCCAGAAGGATATGAAGGACATGATCAGAGAGGAACAGGACCTACGAGATAAAGTCCGCAAGATGGTAAGGTGCCCCTACAACAGACAGAATTATAAATCAAAATACATTTCCTTTTCGCTTTTCAAGTCAGTTAATCAAACTTTTTTTTTTCTCCCAAAAAATAAGAGATTCTTAGAGGAATATTATATCATAGCTTTATATTTCTGTATTTTTCAGGTCACAATACATCACAATATAGTATTTTGATAGGCAGAGCAACGAGACCTAAACAGACCATTTTGATGTATGTATTTTTAGAGGCTTATCAAACACTAATGAGACATTGTTCACTCCAATTAAGGAGAACAGCTGTCTGGTTCCCCATCTCTCGGGTCTTCATTTATAACATGGTTGTGTTTGTGTCTTTCTCCCCAAGGGGGTGTTGCATTGCGAGCAGGCGGAATACGATCTCCTGCAGGACGATGAGCGGCAGTGTGCCAAGTGTAGGACCACCTGTTACCTGTCTGCCATCACCTGCCCCTGCAGCCCCGGCCAGCTGGTCTGTCTCCACCACATCCAGGACCTCTGCTCCTGCCCCCTCACCAACTACACACTGAAGTGAGTCATGTCTCATGTCCTGTCCTCCGACGCATCTAATCTATCCAAAGCACACCAGTTTGGCTTTCTCCACAGATTTGTCCCCTTTTTCACGCTGAAGTGAGTCCCGGGGCGCATTCAACAGGGCACAATGTTGTGGAATGTTCAAATAGAAATACACTATATACAGTGAGGAGGAAAAAAGTATTTGATCCCCTGCTGATTTTGTACGTTTGCCCACTGACAAAGACGCAGTGCTAGCTGTGCCACTAGAGATCCTGGTTTGAATCCAGGCTCTGTGGTAGCCAGCCGCGACCGGGAGACCCATGGGGCGGCGCACAATTGGCCTAGCGTCGTCCAGGGTAGGGGAGGGTATGGCCGGCAGGGATGTAGCTCAGTTGGTAGAGCATGGCGTTTGCAACGCCAGGGTTGTGGGTTCGATTCCCACGGGGGGCCAGTATGGAAAAATTAAAATAAATGTATGCACTCACTAACTGTAAGTCACTCTGGATAAGAGCGTCTGCTAAACGACTAAAATGTAAATTTGAACAGTGATTTGACAGAATAACAACAACAAAATCCAGAAAAACGCATGTAAAAAATGTTAAAAATTGATTTGCATTTTAATGAGGGAAATAAGTATTTGACCCCTTTGCAAAACATGACTTAGTACTTGGTGGCAAACCCTTGTTGGCGATCACAGAGGTCAGACGTTTCTTGTAGTTGGCCACCAGGTTTGCACACATCTCAGGAGGGATTTTGTTCCACTCCTGTTTGCAGATCTTCTCCAAGTCATTAAGATTTCGAGGCTGACGTTTTGCAACTCGAACCTTCAGCTCCCTCCACAGATTTTCCATGGGATTAAGGTCTGGAGACTGGCTAGGCCACTCCAGGACGATAATGTGCTTCTTCTTGAGCCACTCCTTTGTTGCCTTGGCCGTGTGTTTTGGGTCATTGTCATGCTAGAATACCCATCCACGACCCATTTTCAGTGCCCTGGCTGAGGGAAGGAGGTTCTCACCCAAGATTTGACGGTACATGGCCCCGTCCATCGTCCCTTTGATGCGGTGAAGTTGTCCTGTCCCCTTAGCAGAAAAACACCCCCAAAGCATGTTTCCACCTCCATGTTTGACGGTGGGGATGGTGTTCTTGGGGTCATAGGCAGCATTCCTCCTCCTCCAAACACGGCGAGTTGAGTTGATGCCAAAGAGCTCCATTTTGGTCTCATCTGACCACAACACTTTCACCCAGTTCTCCTCTGAATCATTCAGATGTTCATTGGCAAACTTCAGACGGCCCTGTATATGTGCTTTCTTGAGCAGGGGGACCTTGCGGGCGCTGCAGGATTTCAGTCCTTCACGGCGTAGTGTGTTACCAATTGTTTTCTTGGTGACTATGGTCCCAGCTGCCTTGAAATCATTGACAAGATCCTCCCGTGTAGTTCTGGGCTGATTCCTCACCATTCTCATGATCATTGCAACTCCACGAGGTGAGATCTTGCATGGAGCCCCAGGCCGAGGGAGATTGACAGTTATTTTGTGTTTCTTCCATTTGCGAATAATCGCACCAACTGTTGTCACCTTCTCACCAAGCTGCTTGGCTATGGTCTTGTAGCCCATTCCAGCCTTGTGTAGGTCTACAATCTTGTCCCTGACATCCTTGGAGAGCTCTTTGGTCTTGGCCATGGTGGAGAGTTTGGAATCTGATTGATTGGTTGCTTCTGTGGACAGGTGTCTTTTATACAGGTAACAAACTGAGATTAGGAGCACTCCCTTTAAGAGTGTGCTCCTAATCTCAGCTCGTTACCTGTATAAAAAGACACCTGGGAGCCAGAAATCTTTCTGATTGAGAGGGGGTCAAATACTTTTTTCACTCATTAAAATGCAAAAAAAAAAAGGATTTTATTTATTTATTCTGTCTCTCACTGTTCAAATAAACCTACCATTAAAATTATAGACTGATCATTTCTTTGTCAGTGGGCAAACGTACAAAATCAGCAGGGGATCAAACACTTTTTTCCCTCACTGTATATATACAAAAGTATGTGGACACCCCTTCAAATTAGTGGATTTGGCTATTTCAGCTACACCCGTTGTTAACAGGTGTATAAAATCGGGCACACAGCCATGCAATCTCCATAGACAAACATTGGCAGTAGAATGGCCTTGCTGAAGACTCTTGACTTACAACGTGGCACCGTCATAGGATGCCACCTTTCCAACATGTCAGTTAGTGAAATTTCTGCCCTGCTAGAGCTGCTCCGTTCAACTGTAAGTGCTGTTATTGTGAAGTGGAAACGTCTAGGAGCAACAACGGCTCAGTCGCGAAGTGGTAGGCCACACAAGCTCACAGAACGGGACCGCCGAGTGCTGAAGCACGTACAAATCGTCGGTCCTCTGTTGCAACAATCACTACAGAGTTCCAAACTGCCTCTGGAAGCAATGTCAGCACAATAACTGTTCATCGGGAGCTACATGAAATGGGTTTCCATGGCCGCGCAGCCGCATACAAGCCTATGATCACAATGCGCAATGCCAAGAGTAGGCTGGAGTGGTGTAAAGCTCTCCGCCATTGGACTCTGGCGCAGTGGAAACGCGTTCTCTGAAGTGATTAATCATGCTTCACCATCTGGCAGTCCGACGGATTAATCTGGGTTTGGCGGATGCCAGGAGAATGATACCTGTCCGAATGCATAGTGCCAACTGTAAAGTTTGGTGAAGGAGGAATAATGGTCTGGGGCTGTTTTTCATGGTTCGGGCCAGGCCCCGTAGTTCCAGTGAAGAGAAATCTTAACGCTATAGCATACAATGACATCCTAGACAATTCTGTACTTCCAACTTTGTGGCAACAGTTTGGGGAAGGCCCTTTCCTGTTTCAGCATGACAATGCCCCTGTGCACAAAGCGAGGTCCATACAGAAGTGGTTTGTCGAGATCGGTGTGGAACAACTTGACTGTCCTGCACAGAGCCCTGACCTCAACCTCATCGAACACCTTTGGGATGAATTGGTACGCCGACTACGATCCTAATCGCCCAACGTCAGTGCCCGACCTCACTAATGCTCTTGTGGCTGAATGGAAGCAAGTCCCTGCAGCAATTTTCCAACATCTAGTGGAAAGCCTTCTCAGAAGAGTAAGGGCTCTTATAGCAGCAAAGGGGGGACCAACTCCATATTAATGTGCATGATTTCGGAATGAGATGTTCGGCTTGCAGGTGTCCACTTTTGGTCATGTATTGTAAATTGGGTATCTTGGACACGTAGAATAATGAGTCACATTGGCTCCTTTAATGACATTTCTGTGGCCATGGTGTCCTCAGATGCCTCATCTGCTCTGGCTTTGACCACTACTGATATTATTCCCTTTTTCACTTGCAGTTATAGATTTACACTGGATGATCTGTACCCCATGATGAACGTGGTGAAGCAGCGAGCTGAGTCCTATGACGAGTGGGCCTCCCGCGTGACGGAGACTCTGGAGGCTAAACTGGACAAGAAAAAAAGTGAGAGACAAATTCAGCTTGCCTATATTCTTGTCTCCATTAAAAGTACTTTTAAATCCAGAAATAAGCCTTAATCTTGGTTTGGAAAACCACCCCTTAGAGTTAAACTGTATTTACATTGAACAAAAATATCAACACAACATGCAACAATTTCTAAGATGAATATCAGTTCATATAAGGAAATCTGTCAATTGAAATACATTCATTAGGCCCTAATCTATGGATTTCACATGACTGGGAATACAGATATGCATCTGTTGGTCACAGATACCTTACAAAAAAAGGTAGGGGCGTGGAATCAGAAAACAAGTCAGTATCTGGTGTGACCACCATTTTCTCCTTCGCATAGAGTTGATCAGGCTGTTGATTGTGGCCTGTGGAATGTTGTCCCACTCCTCTTCAATGGCTGTGCGAAGTTGCTAGATATTGACGGGAACTGGAACACGCTGTTGTACACGTTGATCCAGAGCACCCCAAACATGTTCAATGGGTGACATGTCTGGTGAGTATGCAGGCCACGGAATAACTGGGACATTTTCAGCTTCCAGGAATTGTGTACAGATCCTTGCGACATGGGGCCGTGCATTATCATGCTGAAACATGAGGTGATGGCGGTGGATGAATGGCACAACAATGGGCCTCAGGATCTCATCACGTTATCTCTGTGCATTTAAATTGCCATCGATAAAATGCAAATGTCTTCGGTGTCTGTAGCTTATGCCTGCCCATACCATAACCCCACCACCACCATGGGGCACTCTGTTCACAACATTGACATCAGCAAAACGTTTGCCCACATATCTGCCCGGTACTGTTGAAACCGGGACTCATCCGTGAAGAGCACACTTTTCCAGTGTGCCAGTGGCCATCGAAAGTGAGCATTTGCCCACTGAAGTCGTTTACGACGCCAAACTGTAGTCAGGTCCTGGTGAGGACGACGAGCACACAGATGAGCTTCCCTGAGACGTTTTCTGACAGTTTGTGCAGCTGTCCGGGTGGCTGATCTTAGACAATCCCACAGGTGAAGAAGCCGAATGTGGTGGTCCTGGGCTGGCGCAGTTACACGTGGTCTGAGGTTGTGAGGCCGGTTGGACGTACTGCCAAATTCTCTAAAACGACGTTGGCTTATTGTAGAGAAATGAATATTTTCAATTCTCTGGCAACTGCTCTGGTGGACATTCTTGCAGTCAGCATGCCAATTGCACGCTCCCTCAACTTGAGACATCTGTGGCATTGTGTTGTGTGACAAAACTGCACATTTTAGGGTGGCATTTTGTTGTCCCCGCACAAGGTGCATCTGTTAATGATCATGCTGTTTAATCAGCTTATTGACATGCCACACCTGTCAGGTGGATGGATTATCTTGGCAGAGGAGAAATGCTCACTAACAGGGATATGCACACAATTTGAGAAGCTTTTTGTGTGTATGGAACATTTCTGGGATCTTTCATTTCAGCTCATGAAACATGGGACCAACACTTTACATGTTGCGTTTATATTTTTGTTCAATATAGTTGTGAATCAGGCCTCACATAACCTATTGGTTGAAATTGATTATTTTGATCTTCTCTCCTCAGGCTTGTCAGTCTTCTGCTCCCTCATTAACGAATCAGAGTCCAAGAAGTTCCCTGACAATGACCTCTTGCGTCAGCTCCGTTTAGTCACACAGGATGCAGTGAAGTGCTCCTCAGTAGCCCAGCAGCTACTCAACGGCAAAAGGCAGACTAGGTACCACTAACACAGTCCGCAGTCAGATGTTACAGGAGGAGTATCACTGGATCATTTCCCTCCCTTGCCCACACATGATCAACTATGTCTTTTAATATTCAATTCCTCAACCAACCAACTGTTTATTTAAATTTAATTACCAGTTTGATTCAAGGGTTTTCATGATGCAGTTTGATTCAATTGTTGTGATAATTGTCTCTCCCAGGTATCGGTGTGCTGGGGGAAAGACCCAGAGCCAGCTGACCGTGCAGGAGCTGAGGTCATTTGTCAGGCAGCTTTACAACATCCCCTGCAGCCTTCCTCAAGCCCCCCAATTAAAGGTCCAATAAATACCTCATGCCATGCAATAAGGAAGTTCAATATCTAAATGCCATGATATTGCAGCCATTAGAAAATGTCATTGGAATTTATTAGACCTAACTAAGATGCCTGTGGAACTGTGTTTAAAGCGACTGATTAGAGATGGGATGCAAATTTTGGTCAATTTTACTGCCGATTAACCGACCCTAATTAACCGGTTAACAAACTGTAAAAGAAAATCCAAACAGTAAACATGACATGACACAGAAAATGTTATGCATGCATACAAGGAAGACATTTAGCTCCCAGCCAAAAGGCTATATTATTGAACATGCAACTATTGTAATGAAGCAGCTAATAAACGTCATTTTCAAACTTTTACCAAAATGTCATTCGCAGTAAACACTGTTCTAAACAGCGCACCTGATGCGAGTGGTTCCATATGTGACAGAGATGAAAATCTCTGTTAGAAACTTGGAAAGAGGGGGAATCTAAAGATGCAACAACTAGGATGGGTTGCTAATATGACTAGGATGGTGCCTTTGGCTTCTGGACAACGAAAGAAAGTTGACATGAAAACCAATAGAACAGGAGAGAAATGCTGATTTCAGTGGCATATGAGGAAGTCTTCATAAATAATTTCCTCCACGTTTCTATGGTTTTATTTTGGCTAGGCTACTTTGAAGCAAGGAAAGACATGCCTCATAATGGGAAGTAGAACGTTCAGGTTTCAAACAATTAAGTATATTTTTTTCAAATTGCATACAGCCTCCAGCTCAGATTGCAAAGTGGTGGGTGATGTGCTTATAGTCTGTCTACCGTTGCCTAACACTATGTACTTCAATGGCGAATGGGAAGCGCGCTTCAATTATGAGTTGAGAAAGAAAAATAGTATCAACAGAAAGCTGGGATCCTCTTTTTAATCATGGCCGTCAAAACTCTGTTTTTAACACGTGATTGCATTTAGAATTGTTGCGCAATGACTGGGCTTTTCACTCCAGCAGAAACTAGCTGTTTGAGGAGCTGCAGCAGCTCTCGCGCTGTCCGACAGGTGATATTCCACTCAAACTAGGGTCTGTATGCTGTGCGAGTGTGATAAATAAGATGCATGATGGCTAACAAAAATACACACGCGCCAATTTAATTCCATTAAATTATTCAAATTAACCTATAGACTGATGTGCATGACCGGTTAAATGTTAACCATTAACATCCCCAATCAGAAAGTATTCCTCTCAAGGTAAAAGCATAAACCCAAATAAAACACATCTGAATCCTCAATCGTTGTAGAATCTGGTTCATAATGATATGAATGACGTTTCTTTTCTTAGGATCTCTTGAATTGCATCGAAGACTTCCAGCAGCACAGTGAGAAAGTTCTGATGGATGAGGCCACCGGCACAGCGGTCATCCAGAGTCTTCTAGACATTAGCTTTGACTTTGATGTGGAGCTGCCTGAACTTCCATTACTACGGGAGAGGCTGGAGCAAGCCCGCTGGCTGGAGGGTGTGCAGCAGACCAGAGCCCAGCCCTCCACCCTCACCCTGGAGACCATGCGGAGGCTGATAGACCAGGGCGTGGGCCTGACCTCTCACCCCTCCGTGGATAAGGCCATGGCTCGTCTGCAGGAGCTGCTCACAGTGTCTGAACATTGGGAGGAAAAGACCAGCATCTTCCTCAAGGCCAGGTGAGGGCCGCACACAGAGGATTTCTTGTTTACATCTGTAATCTTAATCTGTAAACCAGGTATTTCAGGTTTGTTTTTTTAGGAATCCGATGTGAAAGAAGACGGGCCTACATTTTATAATAGCGGATTAAAAAAAAAAGGTTTAAGGTAATCTTCTGGGTTTTATGTCATTTAGACCTGAATTTACAATAATTGGGTCCTCACTCAGACATTCAACTCTGGGTCTTGAATTTGAACTTTCTCTACTCTTAGCCAAAATGAGCCATGTGGTTATGGCACTTATATTAAAGCTAGTGAGGTTTCTCTTTTTAACTAATGTACAAACTTACTAGACTGATTTGTACATTAGCAGAACTACAGTATGTCAGTGTCCCTGATTATGCTTCATTTTAATTCCAGCTAGTGCAAAATGCTGCTGCTAGAATATTCAACAAGATCTACAAAAAGTGAGCATGCATATCTAGTTCTGCTTTCATCCCATTGGTACCCAGTGCTTTTTAATAATCACTGTCACCGGTGTTTTCAAACAGCTTTTTAATGGCATGGCTCTCCAAGGAATGTGCATCTATTCTGTGCGCTCCACATATCCACGGTTTAACTGAGTCTTTTTCAGTCCAGTTTTAATTGTCTGCATCTTTCTAGAGCTAGAGTTCATTCAAATGTTCTGTCATTTTAGAGCTTAGTATAGTGAGAAGTACTGTTCTCTTTATCTCTTCAAGGACGGCTGGAATGTTTTGTTTCTTTAGGATTTTATCAGTATGTTGAACATTTTCTTTATTATAGAATTGTGCATAGCCCATACCACGGTAACTGTATATGTAACCTATACAATGGTTTCAAAGTGTATCATGGTTGCAAGGGGACAGTATAGATGCCTATGTAAAGCTACTAAAACGAAATAATCCATCAGTTGTCAGAGGAAAACGTTGCATGGTTCACAACCATCACAACAGTGATGTCTGCTTACATCAGATCTTAAATGTACCTTTATGAAAGATGGAGTGAGTTGCAACAAACATTGACCAACAAGGGAAGTGAAATGTCAAAACATATTTTTTTCATGATAGTACATTCATATATTTATGATGAATACACACCTGAGAACATTTCTCCATAGTCCATACAAATGGGTAAATATGATATGTATGCTTCCTGGCAGTCGGATAACTGGGCCCCCTGCTGGTGACTGACCAGTCTTTTTGACCTAACTCTTTTCTTCTCCACCAGGCCCCCCCTCTCTATAGAAGTCCTCTCGGAAGCAGCTGAGAAGGTGGCGGGGATCCCTGCTTACCTCCCCAACTGTATGATGCTGAAGGACTCCATCAGTAGGGCAAGGGAGTGGCTTCAGGAAGCTGAGGCACTTCAGGTACGGAAGAATAAAACACCACGTTCTCACAATGATGTTGTTATACATGATTTTTATAGAAACAATGCTGCCAGGTTGACACAATTATGTGTAACCATTATGTATAGAAAACTTGAATTCTGTGTACTCTTACAGGATGGAGATTCCATTCCATTGTTTGACAACCTCTCTGATATGGTTCTACAAGGACAAGCCATCCCAGTCCAGCTGGACCATCTAAAGCAGCTGGAGTCCCTGGTAGCAGAGGTGCAGGCCTGGAAAGAGTCTGCAGCTAAAACTTTCCTCATGAAAAACTCTCACTTTACTCTGCTTGAGGTAATGTTCTAATGGCTGTAATGCACCACTATGAAAGTTCCATGAGTGATGTACAATATAAAGCAGTTCCCAGAATTCATCATTTGTTCTTGTCCACAGGTTCTGTGTCCAAGATTCGAGGTTGGTGCAGGAGCAGGGTCTCCGAAAAGGAAGTCGAAAAAAGCTAAAGACGGCAGTAAGAAGAAGATGGTGAAGCTAGACTGTCTCAGTGACGTGGAAAAAGCCCTCTCAGAGACCAAGGACTCTACCTCAGCTGTAAGTACACCTACACTGGCCATGTCTCAAACTGAATACATATTTTATTTTTCAACTCAATTCAAAAAGTGCGGACCTTCGCTTTCTCTACTTCTTTCTAGTACTGGATATGTATTGTATCTCAATGCATGTTGGACATGAACTTGCATTCAAATTCTATAAACTGAAATGTTTTTACATTTATTTACCAGCTGGCAACTCTTGGGGAGGTGCGGTTACGGGAGATGTGGGCCCTCTCATCCCTCCGGGCAGCTAACGAGTCCAAGCTCCTCCCCACGGCAGACTGCATGGACCTGAATGTGTGTGTGTGTCAGAATCCCCCCATGGGAGCCATGTTACAGTGTGAGCTCTGCCGGGACGCCTTCCACAGCGTGTGTGTGAGGGCTCCCTCAGACTCCCGTTCAACCCAGGCCTGGCTGTGTCCAGACTGCCGACGCTCGGAAAAGCCCCCCCTGGACAAGGTCCTGCCCTTGCTTGCGTCACTGCAGCGTATCCAGGTGCGTCTGCCGGAAGGCGATGCGCTTCACTATTTGGTTGAGAGAACAGTCAGCTGGCAACACCGTGCGCGACAGGTCTCTGCCTCCTGTGGCCTTCCAGACCTGGAGGAGAGCTTTGGAACTACAACATCTCCGGATGGAAAGGTCAGTCAGTCATACCCCTTCTCTGAATTGTAGAGTTATCTATCCATTTTAAAGTGATATAATTCAGAATTAAGAGACAATTATGTTAATAACCAGATTAGTAATTAATTATTTTGTATATATTTTTTTGTATATATATATACAGCCACCATGTTTGACTCCAGAGTGGAACAGGACAAGCCATGATCAGATGGTCTTCTACACCGAGCAAAGATGCATTCCTCTGCAGGGTCAGTTCTGTGTTGTAAAGCAGTGTTGTAGAATCATTTGCAAGTCTTATCACCACCTGGACTTCTTGATAACATAATTGTATTGATTATCGCTCTACTGGTGACTACTGATTATTTAAGCAGCTACAGTAGGTTATTGAGAACATTCTATTTTACAATAACCTGATGTGTGCTGCGCTGTTGCAGGTCTGAGTGTGGAGCTGGAGGAGCTGATGGTGGAAGGGCTCCTGCTGCAGGTGTCTCTGCCAGAAATCACACAACTCTACCATGTGCTACTGAACGGGCTGAGAACGCACCACACCAACGGACGCACGTCACAGCAAGATGACGACCCCTCGGACTGTGACAAACGCAAGCAGTGCAACTCTCAGGGAAGAAGCTCTCCACAAAAAGAGGTGTGTTAGCATGCTAGCTATCAAATACTGTAACTGAGGACTTAGTGGACTGTATATTCTTTAGATTAGGTTTTACTTTATGTTCGCTCTTGTGTGCTGGTAAGGGCACAGATGTCAAGATGGAGGATTACGGTCGAGGTGGTTTACTGACGCTGAAGATTCACAGTACGGGCACGGAACAGCACAGTGTATGTAGCATGGATGGGCTAAGGCACTTAGTGGTATGGAAACTTGCATTAAGAAATTGTGTATGTGGTCTGCAAGTAAAGAGAGAAATAAAGATGCAATAGTGAATGACAGATATATACATAATACAATCTCTAAATCACTGTACTATAAACAATATGCATCTAATAATAACATGTCTATAATGGCTTAATGCTATAGAAGACAATACAGCCCCATACAACATGACTCCACTAATTATATATTAAAGGGGTGCCGCTGTACATGTTCTACAAAGCATAGCACTGCTATCTTCATTACAGGGCTACAACTGCACAATGAACTTGAAATACCTCTACAAGGTTCACAATGAAATATACCCACATCTATACAGTATACAATTACAGGGTATGTAAAAAGGCACTGGGGGACATTACACAATACGAATCCTAGGCTAAAGGTCCGAAATAATAAGTCAGGAGAGACGGAGCTAGCAAGCTTAGCTACAGTTGCTAGCTCTTGGTGGCTCGTGGTAGAAACTCCTAATTAGCATATCCATAAAATGACAATATTGTCGCCCAGTGCGTCTTTAGACAAACACCTGAAGGATATTAAATATATACTTGCATATCAACAAGGACGTACACTGGCCTTGGCTAACACAATGAAAGCTAACTGGTGGGAAACCACAGGATGGCTGAAACTTACTCTCACTTGACTTCTCTGAGCTGGTGATTGCCCAGCATGCTTTTCTCCACTTCACCGGTGGGCGGAGCTACAGCTCTGATATGAAATTCCATCTATTCTACTATGATAACTACTATTTCTCCACAGCCTTTCGTACAAATTCATTAAATTCAATTGTATGTTTTTTTATGATTGGCCTATGAAAGCATTTTGTTTATTATTGTTACCGTATCCTCACTGATGAAAATAAGAAATACAGTTTACTTACTTTAAGATGTTATGTTTTCAATCTCTTCAGGATGGGCTGAAAAAGGAAGTAGTTAACGGAGCAGAGAAGAAGGCCAAGCGACGCCTGGAGAGGGAGGCTCTAGAGGCAGAGCGCAGGGACAAGGCCAAGAAGCTCCAGAACAAGAGACAGAAAATGAACAAGGAGAAGAACCTGGAACGCAGGGCGGCCTCGACCTCATCATCTCCCCGCTCCGACTTTTCTCAGTCAGACGGCTCTGAAGAGGAGATGGCCATGTGTCCAGCAGAGGGATGCCAGCAGCCAGAAGGAGATGAGGTCTGAATGACTTTTTAAATAAATCACTCGCTGATAATATAAGAAAATATATGAAATAAGATAATTAATTGCGAAAATCTAATTGACTGAACGCTAGAGTGTTGGAATTCAAGTAAAGGAGAGAGGGACAGAATGCCTAGCAGTTTGTTTCTTTATAGTAGAAATTGTAAAATGAACTGAATGTTCAGTTCCTTGTCTGGCTTATGTCACTTGAATAAGATCTTCTTAGATTTATTTGGTGTTTCTTTATTTGGCCTTTATTTCAGGTGGACTGGGTCCAGTGTGACGGCAGCTGTAACCAGTGGTTCCACCAGGTCTGTGTGGGTGTGACAGCCGAGCTGGCTGAGAAAGAGGACTATGTGTGTGTCAGCTGTACAATAAGCAATGGCCGCTGAGGATTTTAGGAGAGTGGATGGAGTTTTGGAAGGAAAGCTGGAAGTCGGACGGTTTTCGGCTTACTCCGTTAGCAACTCGGCCACACAAGTCAGGATGTCAGACCTAGCCCTCCTTGTCCTCATCCCCTTTGTAACAACGGTGCTATCTCCTCTTTATTGGGTTGTTGTACGGAACTATATTGTTTGGTTACTTTTTTTTGTATTTTTACATATTTTTCTTTCCTCCTTTGAACTGTTTGTGGTTGTGACATGATGTGGAGTCAATGTGCTGCATGGGTTTCCATATCATGGGTGGTGCAAAGGAGTCAAACAATAAGGCACCCTGTAAAGATCCAAGGGTATATTGTACTTGGAACTTCCTTGCATGCAAAACCAGAGACAGATGGTGTGGGTTAAGGTCCCCTCCTCCCCCTTCCCCTTAAAAAAGAAAATAATAAATCATGTAATAGAGAGAACTGTATTTTTGGGGAAACCCAGTGCTTGGTACTTGCATCATGCATTTGACTTATATAATTTTGGGTAGATTAGGTTTATTTATCTGAGCAATAATGTTTGTCTCAATTTAATTCAATGGATTGGTCTCCTCTGAACTATGTGTTGATGCTTTAGCAATGGTTTGATGTACAGAAACAGAAAGCGTATAGACTGTGGGGTAAGTTACAGTTGTGGACTAGCAATGTAGCAGACAGAAGGAACTATCAACTGCCGCATACACTATACAAAAGTATGTGGACACCCCTTCAAATGAGTGGATTTGGCTATTTTAGCCACACCCGTTGCTGACAGGTGTATAAAATCGAGCACATGGCCATGCAATCTCCATAGACAAATATTGGCAGTAGAATGGCCTTACTGAAGAGCTTAGTGACTTTCAACGTGGCACCGTCATAGGATGCCACTTTTCCAACAAGTCAGTCTGTCAAATTTCTACCCTGCTAAAGCTGCCCCGGTCAACTGTAAGTGCTGTTCTTGTGAAGTGGAAACGTCTAGGAGCAACAACGTCTCAGCCATGAAGTGGTAGACCACACAAGCTCACAGAACGGGACCGCTGAGTGCTGAAGCGCATAGTGCGTGAAAATCGTCGGTATTCGGTTGCAACATTCGCTACAGAGTTCCAAACTGCCTCTGGAAGCAACGTCAGCACAATAACTGTTCGTCAGGAGCTTCATGAAATGGGTTTCCATGGCCGAGCAGCAGCACAAAAGCGTAAGATCACCATGCGCTATGCTAAGCGTCGGCTGGAGTGGTGTAAAGCTCGCCGCCATTGGACTCTGGGGCAGTGGAAACGCATTCTCTGGAGTGAGGAATCACGCTTCACCATCTGGGTTTGGCGGATGCCAGGAGAACGCTACCTGCCCCGAATGCATAGTGCCAACAGTCAAGTTTGGTGGAGGAGGAATAATGGTCTAGGGCTGTTTTTCATGGTTCGGGCTAGGCCCCTTAGTTCCAGTGAAGAGAAATGTTAACGCTACAGCATACAATGACATTATAGACGATTCTGTGCTTCCAACTGTGGCAATACTTTGGGGAAGGCCCTTTACTGTTTCAGCATGACAATGCCCCCGTGCACAAAGCAAGTTCCATACAGAAATGGTTTGTCAAGATCAGTGTGGAATAACTTGACTGGCCTGCACAGACCCCTGACCTCAACTCCATCGAACACCTTTGGGATGAATTGGTACACTGACTACAAGCCAGGCCTAATCGCCCAACATCCGTGCCCGACCTCACTAATGCTCTTGTGGCTGAATGAAGGCAAGTCCCCGCAGCAATGTTCCAACATCCTAGTGGAAGGCCTTCCCAGAAGAGTGGATGCTGTTATAGCAGCAAAGGGGGGGACCAACTCCATATTAATGCCCATGATTTTGGAATGAGATGTTTGACGAGCAGGTGTCCACATACTTTTGGTCATGTATTGTATGTGCTTGGGTGGGTTACTTTGGGAAGGAATGGAGAGGGATAATTTGAGACATTGCAGTTTATATTGTGGAATAAAAACAATTTCTTCTAATATCAAAGGGATGGTTTTCATATTTTAATTTGGTCCACTAGATAGTCTCAGGAACTAACTGTAAGTCGCTCTGGATAAGAGTGTCTGCTAAATGACTAAAATGTAAATGTAATATCGTAATATCAACACTATAGTGTGTAGTACCACTGTCCTATAAGCAGGCTTATTACGTGATGAATGCATAAGGATTATTGGTGTTAGTCAAAAGAATCTTGAGTTAAATGGCCATAATAGGCTACAAAAGTATAATTCTCTCTTGATGACTTCTCTCTTGATGACATCATGCACAAACTTATAATAGCACCATGCAGAATAGAGATGATTTAATAGCTATCAATTTGCATTTTTCCTTGTGTTGTCATATGGCTCCAGTCCAGCTCCAGTGCTCTGATCTCAAATTGGGCATTGAGCTAAACAGTTATTCGAGAGGAGGTCCAGGCAGTCCTCCTGATAGGTCAGTACCCTCTCCTTGTCCAACCCATTTCAATTGCACTGAAAGCCCATTTCAAACACAGACTGGAGAAGTCAATTAACCTGAACTTGGTGTACCAATACAACTATTATTATCAAAGGACTTTTGGAGAACGGACGTGCCAATTACGCGTCGCTTTGCATAACAGGACATTTTCGTGGGAAATAATGTGGAAAGTGCGGAATCAACGCCCCGCCGAGAGTGAGGAGGACTCCGATATTGAGAACCTGTTAGCCGCTCTGACACCAGCCGAGGTGGAAGAGCTGCAGTGCGAACTGACTGTTATTGACCCGGATCAAACTGTGCCAGTCGGGCACCGGCAGAGGAACCAGACAGACAAGCAGCCGTCAATAAAATACAATAGAGGGGCGATGCTTGATTACTGTGAGCGCGAAACCAAGAAACTCATTCAAAGGGAGCTGTCCTTTGAGGTATGATGTCAATGTTGTAAGCTGTGCGTAAAGGGCAGCTTGTACCAAGAAAAAAATACAATAGTTAGGAGTGGCATGCTGGTTGAACCCTGAAATTGTGTTATTACAGTACGAATAGTGTATCCTAAATGTTTGAACAGCTGTCAATCGAGTACTTCAAGATGGCCTACCAATTTGACATCTTATTCAAGTGCCTAAGTATATCAGGACCCTCACCCTGTCAACCCTGGATTCCAGACATGGTGCAGTGATTTCAGGATTCAAGACCAGGGATGATGGGGGTTATCAGGCAGATGAAAATACTATTGTGGCCAATATTTCACCCACTAACTTCAAATATAACTGCTGTTAGTGTCGCTACTGGAAATAAATAAATAATAATTGTATGGAGTTTGACAGAAATAGGAATACAGACATACAGTGGGGTCCAAAATGATTGACACCCTTGCTAAAGATGAGCAAAAATGACTATAAAATAATTAATTGAAATACTGAGCTGTATTGAACGCAACCAAAAAAAATGGGGGAATATTATTTTATACTAATACAATGGCTTAGAGAAAGAGATTTTATTTAACAAGCAATATTTTATTTTCTCAAAAAGGTAGGGGTCAAAATTATTGACACCCCTGTTTTCAATACCTTGCAATACCTCACCTTGGTGGATCTTTGATGTCATGGGGCTATTTTGAATCCACTGGTCCTGGGGCCCTTGTCAAGGTCAACAGCATCATGAACTTTACCCAGTACCAGGACATTTTAGCCAAAAACCTGGTTGCCTCTGCCAGGAGGCTGAACTTGGCCGCAAGTGGATCTTCCAGTAAGACAATAACCCCAAGCACACATCAAAATCCACAAAGAAATTGTTAATTGACCACAAAATCAACATTTTGCAATGGGCTATCTCAGTCTCTGGACTTGAAAAGCATTGAAAACCTGTGGTTTGAATTGAAGAGGGCAGTCCATAAACGCAGACGAAGGATATCAAGGATCTGGAAGGATTCTGTATGGAGGAATGGCCTAAGATCCCTCCCAACTCATAAAACATTTTAGGAAAAGGCTCAGTGCCGTTATCCTTGCACGGTGAGGTATTGAAAGTTATTGAAAACAGTCATTTTTACCTCTACCTTTTTGAGAAATAAAAATATTACTTGGTAAACCAAATCTTTCTCTGAGCAATTGTATTAGTATAAAATATAAATATGACATATCACACAAGTCACAGATCTTGACTATGACAATACCAGTGTCCTATTTTGTAAATGAAGTTTATTTTTTCAGATGATACAGTAATATCCTAATGATTAATGAAGAGAAGCTTAGACACTGAGCTTACCTTTAGAGACCCAGAGTATGTTGACACTCAGCTGTTGGATAAAGCCTCCAACAGGTGACAAGTAAGGAAACATGAGCTATGTTGTAACAGCTGCGTGTATAGAGACTATTGAGAATTCTTGTTGTTTGAAAAGGATCCAGAGCAAGGGTACGGAAGACCCAGTGTGAACAGGCAAAATGTCACCTACACACTGGGGCATCATAACTCTGAGGAGTTGCTAGGCAGCCCCATTTTTTAAATCATAAACAAATGAGCCCCTGAGCCCTGAAGAGAAAAGCTACTGCATCATCTTGAGAAGTGTTTTCATTACTTGGTAACAAGAAATGTGTTGTAGGTGTTATGTGATAAATGCATACCATATCATGGTTGGATTTTGTGTCAGTGTGTATTTGAGGGAATACAATTCTGTTGAGTGCATGTAATTGGCATTACATATATATTGACCACTATACCATGCCATGTATAAATAGCAGGATATATGATTCACATTGTATTAAAATGTTAACTATACTACTACTATATAATTGGTTATCAATACTTAAATTCCATCCTACAAAGCTGTACTTGGCCATCTGTAGGGTGTTTGGTGTAGATATTTTGTATGTTGTTTTGTTTTCACAAAGCCCATCTGGAGAAGGTTTTGGTGAACAAGGTAAAATACAGGCTCATGGAATAATGAGTCTGGCTAATGCTGGTTCCAGTTCTAAGACGAATGAAATTCCAGAGCAGAAGGCTCCTCGCTCTGACCCATACTACCTTTTAAGGAAACATCTGCCAGAGATACTAACACAGTGGCTCGCAGATCCCTACCCATGCATCGCCCTGTATGGGATGCAAAAGCCCTGATTGCTATATGCAAGATATACCGTTTTCCAGAGGGTGTTCGTAGAGGCAATGTTCCATAGGTTTTCCAGAGGGTGTTCGTAGAGGCAATGTTCCATAGGTTTTCCAGAGGGTGTTCGTAGAGGCAATGTTCCATAGGTTTTCCAGAGGGTGTTCGTAGAGGCAATGTTCCATAGGTTTTCCAGAGGGTGTTCGTAGAGGCAATGTTCCATAGGTTTTCCAGAGGGTGTTCGTAGAGGCAATGTTCCATAGGTTTTCCAGAGGGTGTTCGTAGAGGCAATGTTCCATAGGTTTTCCAGAGGGTGTTCGTAGAGGCAATGTTCCATAGGTTTTCCAGAGGGTGTTCGTAGAGGCGATGTTCCATAGGTTTTCCAGAGGGTGTTCGTAGAGGCAATGTTCCATAGGTTTTCCAGAGGGTGTTCGTAGAGGCAATGTTCCATAGGTTTTCCAGAGGGTGTTCGTAGAGGCAATGTTCCATAGGTTTTCCAGAGGGTGTTCGTAGAGGCAATGTTCCATAGGTTTTCCAGAGGGTGTTCGTAGAGGCAATGTTCCATAGGTTTTACATGGGCTGTGTCCTAACGTACGGACATAGACATTCCAGAAGCATTCAGAAAATATTTTCTAAATGAAAAAATATATACGTACAGTGAGGGGAAAAAGTATTTGATCCCCTGCTGATTTTGTACGTTTGCCCACTGACAAAGACATGATCAGTCTATAATTTTAATGGTAGGTTTATTTGAACAGTGAGAGACAGAATAACAACAAAAAAATCCAGAAAAACACATGTCAAAAATGTTATAAATTGATTTGCATTTTAATGAGGGAAATAAGTATTTGACCCCCTCTCAATCAGAAAGATTTCTGGCTCCCAGGTGTCTTTTATACAGGTAACGAGCTGAGATTAGGAGCACACTCTTAAAGGGAGTGCTCCTAATCTCAGTTTGTTACCTGTATAAAAGACACCTGTCCACAGATGTTTACAAATTTCAACACTTTTTGTACATAGTCCCCCCATTTTAGTGGAGAAAAAGTATTAGGACAAATTCACTTACAGTGAGGGGAAAAAAAGTATTTGATCCCCTGCTGATTTTGTACGTTTGCCCACTGACAAAGAAATGATCAGTCTATATAAAAGACACCTGTCCACAGAAGCAATCAATCAATCAGATTCCAAACTCTCCACCATGGCCAAGACCAAAGAGCTCTCCAAAGATGTCAGGGACAAGATTGTAGACCTACACAAGGCTGGAATAGGCTACAAGACCATCGCCAAGCAGCTTGGTGAGAAGGTGACAACAGTTGGTGCGATTATTCGCAAATGGAAGAAACACAAAATAACTGTCAATCTCCCTCGGCCTGGGGCTCCATGCAAGATCTCACCTCGTGGAGTTGCAATGATCATGAAAACGGTGAGGAATCAGCCCAGAACTACACGGGAGGATCTTGTCAATGATCTCAAGGCAGCTGGGACCATAGTCACCAAGAAAACAATTGGTAACACACTACGCCGTGAAGGACTGAAATCCTGCAGCGCCCGCAAGGTCCCCCTGCTCAAGAAAGCACATATACAGGCCCGTCTGAAGTTTGCCAATGAACATCTGAATGATTCAGAGGAGAACTGGGTGAAAGTGTTGTGGTCAGATGAGACCAAAATCGAGCTCTTTGGCATCAACTGAACTTGCCGTGTTTGGAGGAGGAGGAATGCTGCCTATGACCCCAAGAACACCATCCCCACCGTCAAACATGGAGGTGGAAACATTATACTTTGGGGGTGTTTTTCTGCTAAGGGGACAGGACAACTTCTCCACATCAAAGGGACAATGGACAGGGCCATGTACCGTCAAATCTTGGGTGAGAACCTCCTTCCCTCAGCCAGGGCATTGAAAATGGGTCGTGGATGGGTATTCCAGCATGACAATGACCCAAAACACACGGCCAAGGCAACAAAGGAGTGGCTCAAGAAGAAGCACATTAAGGTCCTGGAGTGGCCTAGCCAGTCTCCAGACCTTAATCCCATAGAAAATCTGTCGAGGGAGCTGAAGATTCGAGTTGCCAAACGTCAGCCTCAAAACCTTAATGGCTTGGAGAATATCTGCAAAGAGGAGTGGAACAAAATCCCTCCTGAGATGTGTGCAAACCTGGTGGCCAACTACAAGAAACGTCTGACCTCTGTGATTGCCAACAAGGGTTTTGCCACCAAGTACTAAGTCATGGGCGGCAGGTAGCTTAGTGGTTAAGAGCGTTGTGCCAGTAACCGAAAGGTCGCTGGTTCTAATCCCCGAGCCAACTAGGTGAAAAATCTGTCGATGTGCCCTTGAGCAAGGCACTTAACCCTAATTGCTCCTGTAAGTCGCTCTGGATAAGAGCGTCTGCTAAATGACGTAAATGTAAATGTAAATGATGTTTTGCAGAGGGGTCAAATACTTATTTCCCTCATTAAAATGCAAATCAATTTATAACATTTTCAACGTGCATTTTTCCTAATTTTTTTGCTGTTATTCTGTCTCTCACTGTTCAAATAAACCTACCATTAAAATTATAGACTGATCATGTCTTTGTCAGTGGGCAAACGTACAAAATCAGCAGGGGATCAAATACTTTTTTCCCCTCACTGTACATACAGTACATTGTGTATTAAATAATTATTAATCTAATACTGCACTTCATACTTGTATGATTCATGCAACTATCTTTCTTATGTACTTCATACTTAAGGAGCCTACAACTGACAGAGTGAAATGGGAACGCCTGAAGAAGATGGGGAAGAGCTGTGATAGTTTCTTCTACTTCAAGTCAGATGACCTGGATGACCAGGATGTCATGGACCTAAACTTCTCTGCTGTGGAGACCACTAAGGAAGACATATCCAAGGACAAATAGGAAAAACCAGAGTGCAAGAACTTGAAGAGTGAAGGAGAGAGTAGAGAGGGAAATGAGGAAAGACCACATAGTAGGTCAGGAGAAGATAAGGACAAAGCCAGTGAAAAAAAGGAAGATAAGATTGTTGAAAATAGCAGTGAAGTACAGGTTGAAGTAAAGGAGAAAAAGGAGAAGTGTAGTAACAAAACACTACACCTTATCTCAAAATTGCAAACGAAAAAGAGGATATGAAAGAAAAGGAGAGAAAATACATCAGAAAAAAGACCGACTCTAAAACCAAGGACCTGATTTCAAAGCTTCGAGGGCAAGCTGAGAAAGACGATAGTAAGGAGAAAGATAAGAAAGAGAAACCTCAAAAAATGAAGGATAGCAAGATAAGAGGAATGTTCTCTAAAGTAGAGGAAAAGCAGAAAGAATGCCGGGGTACTGAGACGAAGGAAAAGAGGAATAATGAGGACAAAGAGAGAGAAAACATCAAATCACACAGGAAACCAAGTAGTGTCCAGGATGAGACACACAGAGAGACAGTGAAAAGGAGACAGAAAGGACTCCTAATAAATACAGTAAAGCCAGCAATGTAAACCTAGAGAACAGTAGTAGGGAAGAACGCCTGGCTGGTGAAGTCATGGAGGGAGACGAGGAGGCCAGCATGTTTGATGAGCTCCTTGAGCTCAATGTTAACAACTCAGATGTCATCAAGACCCACACCCTCATCCAGTTTGCAGAAGCACTACAATGCAACACACATGTGAAGACATTTGCTTTAGCCAACACCCGGGCTGACGACCATGTGGCTTATGCCATTGCCGGCACTCTGTGGAACAACACGTCTCTGACCAGCGTCATCCTTGACTCCAACCACCTCACTGGCAAGGGAATTTTGGCCGTGGTACATGCCTTAGAGAAAAATGTAACCGTCGCTGAACTGCGCTTCCACAACCAACGGCACATCTGTGGAGGCAAGACAGAGATGGAGATGGCCAATGCGTTGAGAAACAACACCAGGTTGATGAAGCTGGGCTACGGCTTTGAGCTGGCCAGCCCAAGGATGACCATGACTAACATCCTGAGTCGGAACATGGACCTGCAGCGGCAACGTCGACTGGAGGAGAAGAAACAGGCACAGCTGCAAGCCCATTCATCCCAGCAGCCTCAGCCATTCCAGCCATCATGCCAGACACCACAACCACAGACCAACACAAAAAAGAACACATTGCCTTTGGGGAAGTTTTCTCTGGAACCTTCATCTCAACCCCAACCCAAGTCTGTTGGTGAGACTAAGAGGACAGGAAACCTGAAAACATCTCATTTTTTGCCTCCCTCTAAACCCTTACCTGAACCCTTCCACAAGGTGAGCGGCAAAGCTGGGGAAAAGGTGAGCCCTAAGGCTGTGGGTAAGCTAAACCCTAAGGCTTTGGGTGGTAGATCTGGACCAGGGTCTACACCACCTCCGCCTAAGGTTGGGGATGGTGGATCTCGTCCTGGGTCTCCACCACCTCCACCTCAGGCTCCTAAAGCTGGCCGATCTGGACCAGCACTACCTCCCCCTCCTCCCCCTGCCCCAGTGTTGGAGGGCCTAAGGAAAGCCCTTATGCCTGCCTCACAGAGGAAACTCAATGGGCTGACTTCACACCAAGGAGAGAGGAACACTAGGGATCAGTTGCTGGACTCCATTCGCAAGAGCACTATGAAAGCTCTAAAAAAGGTTAGATCAGGAGAGGAGTGGAAGTTATTTGTGAAAGCAGCATGATAATGATATCAGCACAATGTGATTAATGTGGTGAACAGCCAACAGTATGAGAGGAATTTTCATTACATCTGTAGACTGTAAATTACTGTTTTATATATATATATATATATATATAAAGCCAGCATTTCCCTTGAAATTACAGTCAGGAAGAATATTGGTGAATAAATCAAATCTAAATCTCTTGCAGGTTGATGTTCCGAAGCTGCTTGAGTAACGGGCAGGAGATCACAGGAAGAAGAGGTTGGACTTGATACAGAAACAGAACTGCATTTGTCTTACAGTAGTAGACTGGGGTGAAGCCCTGCTTCTGTTGTTGCTGCTGAGATATGGAGAGATATCTGATGCAGTTGGTACTGTGAGCCAGAAGGTGGTGTTGGTGAAGCCCCATTAGGCTACACTAACTGCTGACTTCAGTCTCCCTCAGTTGAATCTCTCCCTCCTTTTCTCCTGAGATGCCCATATTTGGTAATTGCATTGAAGATACAGTATGATGTAAGAATAATTCCTCTGTTCTTTTTAATTACTGGATGATGGCCAGTTGGATGTCCTGCTCTTTCATGTGAGGCTTTGTCCAGCTAAGAGGTGGGGAGAATGGGGGAGTTGTATGGCAGAAACAGAAAAGTAAAAAGGGGAACAACTGGAAGGAAAGGCTTACACATTGCAAGTCACCATATAGTTTGTATTTTTAGACAGTTAAGTACCCATAAGAGCAATGAACAAGGATATTGGTTTGATGTTTTTTTTTTAAGACAATTATCCAGTGTCACGATCAAAGGATATTATATACTGAAAAAATCATAAATGCAACAATTTCTTCTAATTACAAAATAAATAAAACTTGTACCCCTTTTTCGTGATATCCAATTGGTAGTTAGTCTTGTCCCATCGCTGCAAATCTCCTACGGACTCGGGAGAGGCGAAGGTCGAGAGCCATGCGTCCTCCGAAACACGACCCTGCCAAGCCGCACTGCTTCTTGATACACTGCTCGCTTAACCCGGAAGCCAGCCGCACCAATGTGTTGGAGGAAACACTGTCCAGCTGGCGACCGAGGTCAGCTTGCAGGTGCCCGGCCTGCCACAAGGAGTTGCTATAGGAAATCCTGGCCGGCCAAACCCTCCCCTAACCCGGACGACGCTGGGCCAATTGTGCACAGCCTCATGGGTCTCCCAGTCATGGCCGGCTGTGACACAGCCTGAGGATCGAACACGGGTCTGTAGTGACGCCTTAACCACTGCAATGCAGTGCCTTAGACTGCTGCGCCACTCGGGAGGCCCAACATGCAACAATTTCAACGATTTTACTGAGTTACAGTTCATATAAGGAAATCAGTCAATTGAAATAAATTCAATAGGCCCTAATCTAAAATTTCACATGACTGGGAAGGAGTGCAGCCATGGGGGAGCCAGGCCCATCCAATCAGAATGAGTTTTCCACACAAAAGGGCTTTATTACAGACAGAAATACTCCTCAGTTTCATCAGCTGTGCGGGTGGCTGGTCTCACATGATCCTGTAGGTGAAGAAGCCGGATCTGGAGGTCCTGGGCTGGCGTGGTTACACGTGGTCTGCGGTTGTGAGGATGGTTGGACGTACTGCCAAATTCTCTAAAATGACGTTGGAGGAGGCTTAAGGTAGAGAAATTAACATTACATTCTCTAGCAACAGCTTTGGTGGACATTCCTGCAGTCAGCATGCCAATTGCACGCTCCCTCAAAACTTGAGACATATGTGGCATTGTGTTGTGTGACAAAACTGCACATTTTAGAGTGTCCTTTTATTGTCCCCAGCACAAGGTGCACCTGTGTAATTATCATGTTGTTTAATCAGCTTCGTGATATGCCACATCTGTAAGGTGGATGATTATCTTGGCAAAGGAGAAATGCTCACTAACAGGGATATAAACAAATCTGTGCACAACATTTGAGAGAAATAAGCTTTTTGTGCATATGTAACAATTTCTGGGATCTTTTATTTCAGCTCATGAAACATTAGACCAACACTTTACATGTTGCATTTATATTTTTGTTCAGTACAGCTAAATTAAGTGTGTGTAGGTTCTTAATCTGGTCAATGTGTAATATAATAGCAGTCAATATCTTAGTTGTGCATAGGGATGCCAGTTGCTTACAACATGAAAGTATGAGGAACTTCCCTATAGCTGGCAGGAGATCCCTTGACCTTTGCAAACATTTCACTGTGATGGATTGTGTTCTGAGAGGGAGGGAATATATTTTGAGAATGCTTTTGAGAATGTTGTGTTGTTTAGAATTCACTCATGAGGGGTACATACTGTACAGTGGGGAAAAAAATGTATTTAGTCAGCCACCAATTGTGCAAGTTCTCCCACTTAAAAAGATGAGAGAGGCCTGTAATTTTCATCATAGGTACACGTCAACTATGACAGACAAATTGAGAAAACAAAATCCAGAAAATCACATTGTAGGATTTTTTATGAATTTATTTGCAAATTATGGTGGAAAATAAGTATTTGGTCAATAACAAAAGTTTCTCAATACTTTGTTATATACCCTTTGTTGGCAATGACACAGGTCAAACGTTTTCTGTAAGTCTTCACAAGGTTTTCACACACTGTTGCTGGTATTTTGGCCCATTCCTCCATGCAGATCTCCTCTAGAGCAGTGATGTTTTGGGGCTGTCGCTGGGCAACACAGACTTTCAACTCCCTCCAAAGATGTTCTATGGGGTTGAGATCTGGAGACTGGCTAGGCCACTCCAGGACCTTGAAATGCTTCTTACGAAGCCACTCCTTCGTTGCCCGGGCGTTGTGTTTGGGATCATTGTCATGCTGAAAGACCCAGCCACGTTTCATCTTCAATGCCCTTGCTGATGGAAGGAGGTTTTCACTCAAAATCTCACGATACATGGCCCCATTCATTCTTTCCTTTACACGGATCAGTCGTCCTGGTCCCTTTGCAGAAAAACAGCCCCAAAGCATGATGTTTCCACCCCCATGCTTCACAGTAGGTATGGTGTTCTTTGGATGCAACTCAGCATTCTTTGTCCTCCAAACACGACGAGTTGAGTTTTTACCAAAAAGTTCTATTTTGGTTTCATCTGACCATATGACATTCTCCCAATCCTCTTCTGGATCATCCAAATGCACTCTAGCAAACTTCAGACGGGCCTGGACATGTACTGGCTTAAGCAGGGGGACACGTCTGGCACTGCAGGATTTGAGTCCCTGGCGGCGTAGTGTGTTACTGATGGTAGGCTTTGTTACTTTGGTCCCAGCTCTCTGCAGGTAATTCACTAGGTCCCCCCGTGTGGTTCTGGGATTTTTGCTCACCGTTCTTGTGATCATTTTGACCCCACGGGGTGAGATCTTGCGTGGAGCCCCAGATCGAGGGAGATTATCAGTGGTCTTGTATGTCTTCCATTTCCTAATAATTGCTCCCACAGTTGATTTCTTCAAACCAAGCTGCTTACCTATTGCAGATTCAGTCTTCCCAGCCTGGTGCAGGTCTACAATTTTGTTTCTGGTGTCCTTTGACAGCTCTTTGGTCTTGGCAATAGTGGAGTTTGGAGTGTGACTGTTTGAGGTTGTGGACAGGTGTCGACAACCATTAATACAGGTAACGAGTGGAGGACAGAGGAGACTCTTAAAGAAGAAGTTACAGGTCTGTGAGAGCCAGAAATCTTGCTTGTTTGTAGGTGACCAAATACTTATTTTCCACCATAATTTGCAAATAAATTCATACAAAATCCTACAATGTGATTTTCTGGATTTTGTTTTCTCAATTTGTCTGTCATAGTTGACGTGTACCTATGATGAAAATTACAGGCCTCTCTCTCTTTTTAAGTGGGAGAACTTGCACAATTGGTGGCTGACTAAATACTTTTTTTCCCCACTGTATCATAGATGTTTTATGTCATGAAAATATACCAAGACAAGATTTTTAACTACTAGTAGAGGACAGTAAAGCACTGAGGTTGACATGTTAGTCCACAGGTGTTACCTGATGTATTCAAGTGCAGATTCTGAAATGTATTTACAGAACCAAACAAAACACAATCATATGTCTGGTTTCGAGAATGCATCCAATAGCTAATAACCAGGTCATTTAATTCCTCCAGATTAACAATTGTGGGATATTCCATCTGTCCTCAATGTCTCCGTCTGCCTCATAGGCTTTTGATTTAACAAAAGTAGCACTTGTCTGTAGCACTTCCTTCCTGAAATGTTGCAATCAGTTTATATTTTTCACTTCCTGTAATAAGACAAAAACAGCCCTGAGCCACTTCAAATGATGCTGCTGGATGGAGACTGATATGGTGACAGTAGGAGCATTTGGGAGAAAATAATCTGTTCTCACGTTTATCTGTGGTGAAATAAGTTTAAAAAATAAAAACATGAAACTCTATCTGATGATTCTCCTTTACTTGCCAGGTGAGTTTAACACAGACCATTTTTGTTGTTGTTGGTTTGTTGTTGTTGATTACAACTGCAGACAATTTTTGTTGTTGATTATCTTATTTGCGAAAGAGACCACTGCATACTGCAAATTGTATTGAATAAACGTCTGCCAAACAATTCTACAAAGTTTTATTGTTTATTTCACATTCAACAATTCTTTTTTATTATGATAAAAAATAACATTGTTTTCTCTTTTATCAAGTTTTAAGCTGTTACGCAAAAAGGAGCAAAATTGGAGAGCATGGATATGAAGGTGGATCTTTAGACATTAAGTGTTCATATCCAGATGGATATCAATATAAACCCAAATATTTGTGTCGCCACCCCTGTTCCTACAGTGACATTCTCATCAGAAGTGTGAAAGCTGACACATTTGTCTCAGTAGGAAGATTTTCTGTGTATGACAATGTTCATGGACGTACTTTCATTGCCACCATCAAAAACCTGGAATTACAGGACTCTGGACTTTACTATTGTGGACTTGATCGGTGGGGAAGAGATGTTTTAACAAAAGTAGATGTCTCTGTGAGTAAAGGTATGCATATTGTTTTGTTTTGATCCCATTTGATTGTCTTTGAATGCACAAAAATCATACTCGGTCTATCATCTACTATTTCTACCCACAGCTCCATTGGTCACTTCACTGTCTACACACGATAGGAAGGACACCACTGAAACTCACAGATATGTGTCCCCAGAGGTCCCCACTTTTACACAGGTTGATTTAACTTTAAATAGCTTAAAATATAAGCTCCTAAGAAGCTCCTATTGTACAATTATTTTCTTATTCTAATAAATCTTCCATTTATCTTCTGTGTAATTTTGTTTTGTCACGTTAATGGTGCCATACAAAAAGTTACCTGTTGCAGATTGGGATGTCACGCCAACATCCTCGTCAATTCTGATTGATAGCACAGGTAATTTAACTTTAAGCTACTCTATTTTGTTCCAAAAACACTGGAAACGGGTTTGATTGAGATTTTGTTTAATTATTCTCACTCTTTCATTTAGGTTTTGTAAGTGTCCATGTTGTTGTTGGAGCTGTCGGACTGTCAATGTGTTGCACTGTGGTTGCACTTGGTGTACTTCTCAGAAAGCGATCAATGTCGCGCTCACTGAGTATGACCAAGTTCCCTCTCTTTGATATCCTACCTACATATAATGCAGTTACGATAATATTATTTATTTGTTTATGATATGTTGAAGCCTCTAATTTGTGTCCCTCAGCATTTCCATCATCTAAAGTATCAGATCCTGTAGACATTGCACAGGTGAATTGGATCTTTGTTTATGCTTTATATCATAGTTTGAATAAGATTTTGCATGTCCTCATCAGACAGCAGTCATTCTGCACTAACTCGGTCAACAAATAAACTCTACCCAATCCCCTCTCTCTCTTGTTCTCTTCCTCTCTCTCAGGGTGAAGAGGACACTTGTCATGTGTATGATGAGATAATTATGTACAGCTCCAACATTCTTCCCCAGGAAGACAGTGACTTGTACTGCACCGTACATTTTGGGGAACCCCCACTGAAAATGGATGACAATGCTTTCTACTCCCTCCTGACACTAAAGTAACAAAGGCCTCAGTGAGGGTCACAAGTCTTTAGTCTGATAGTAGATGGCTTATTTCTGGGTACTCTAGTGGAAAGTATGCTTTCTAATTGCACACATGACAGTATTCTGCATGCCCACATTATCCAAACAGCTTTGTATGGCAGTAGGCCTACTTTATAGTTTTTGTCAGTCCTCAGTTTATAATGTGAAGACCATATAAATAAACTTGTAATATCTTATTTAATCATATTTGCACTTTCAGTGTGTGCATGGTTGCCAACATATTCAGATGATCCATTATGGTTTTATGGACTACAACATTGTGAATAACCAGGCCGCCTTGAAACTACAGTAGCTCGTGCCACCGTCCGTTGCCATTTATGGTGGGAGAGGTTAGCTAGCTAGGAATTGACGTTCGCGGAGGTTCATTGAAGTCAGCTACTCCAGTGAGGCGGCGGGGAGACCAAAAGACGGTGAGTAACTATTATCTCTGGTCATAGCAACAGTTTGGGGATAATCAATACTCGAACATGTATATAGGTCGTGAAAATGTTAAACGTGTCAGATGGCCAAGTAGGACTAGGCCGGATGGAAAGTCTAAGGGAGGCTAACGTTAGCTAAGCAGCTAGCTAACATAACAAGCCGAAGGGAGTTGGCTGTAGCTAGTTAACACCAGTGGTTCACACGCCTCAGTTAGCTAGCCATTTTGGCTAGTTGGACGTTGATTGACTAACTATTAAGAAGTTAGCCAGGCACTACCCAGTTGGCTCACCTAGCTACGCTACATAGTTGTTAGATATAACTTTGAATCGGACCAGGGTGGCAACTGTACGGGGGGACGTTAACTTAGCGTAGCTAGCCAGCTATCTAAATGGTAACTTGGCTGGCTAGGTAGCCCTGATCCCTTCCTCTTAGTAAGTTTTAACGTTACACTGAAACTTTCTTACTTTTGTCGAAGTGATGTCAGACACAGTGTAACTAATGTTAAACGTTAGCTAGCTAGCTACGTTAGTTGCAAGTTAGCTACTGTTTCCTATTAGCTATAGCTAGCTAGTTAGCCAACTAGTCAGGGTTTCCCAAACTCGGTGCACGTTTTGGTTTTTGACCTAAGTAACACTACACAGCTGATTGAAATAATCAACGAATCATCAAGCTTTGATCATTTGAATCCGCATTGTAGTGTTGGGGCAAAAATCAAAACGTACACCCCTTGATGGGGTCCCGAGCTCGAGGACCGGCGAGTTCGTGAAACGCTGAGCTAGATGGATAGATTGAGATTCGCACATTTGTGTTGCATTTAGCGAACTAGTTATGTAAGCAAGGGTGTCTAGTGTTGACTTTTGAGAATTAAGATTTGACTCGTGACTTGACATTCAGGAGAGCACACCCATGTGCAATACAAGTAATTCCCATATTTCTGTCAAGTTCAAGACTGAGTGTAGCCCAATATGTACTCTTAAAGGAGCCTAACTTTACCGTTGCTCCTTTAGGTCCAAGGTCCTAGCATGTTATTTTCAGAGCAAAATTACTCCATCTAAACGTGAATCGATTCTCAAATGCAAAATACACACTTACTGTACACTGTTTTAACCTGCTTCATCACAGTTGGGTCAGACAGTATTTTTCATTGACAACACTTTTCTGGTGGCCTCCTTCCATTACACACAGGTGCAGGGCTGGCAACTTTTGAAGAAAGTTTGGAGTGAGATTTTACCTTAGATGGGAGTCTGGGGGAGATACTTTTAAAGCTAGTTTCCTGCAATTCTATGTATTTTGACATGGCTTAGGCCTATGAACAGGTCAGGTGTATTCAGAATGGTTTGAACATTTAAATGAACACTCAAAATTCAATGACTTTGTTACTTTGAGATTTGTGTGGGGGGGGGGTGAACAACTTTTTTTAGGTGGTTTGACACTTTATTCAGACAGTACATCTTTTGTCTTGCCCATTCACCCTCTGAATGGCACACATACACAATCCGTCTCAAGGCTTAAAAATCATTCTTTAACCTGTCTCCTCCCCTTTATCTACACTAATTGAAGTGGATTTAACAATCCACTTCATAAGGGATCATAGCATTCACCTGATCAGTATGTCATGGAAAGAGCAGGAGTTCCTAATGTTTTGTACATTCATTGTACATGTACAGTAGTTCAACTAGCTAGTAATGAATTACATTTTCCAGTAGCTTGGTGGTAGTTGAACTAAATTCAAATCTAGGTAGTGTTTTCAGTAGTTAATTACTTTTATGCCGTGTAGCTAGGCTAACTACTGGAACTACACTACTTTTTTTATTTTGCAAAAATAAATATGGGTGAAGTAGGCAATACTTTCCTTTTTCGGCATCAGACCTGCCTAATTCTCACTTGAAACTGTTTTGTGGTTTAATAGGCTAAATTCCACATTCTGTTAACATATGACCCCAAAGTGATTTGTTCTTGCAATTTGTAGTCTGACATTACAGATTTACTTATGATACATTTTCACAAAGTAGTTTGGATGTAGTGAACTACTTTTTCAAAGTAACTTTAGTTAAGTAAACTATATTTTTCTTAAGGGTAGCTTTAGTCTAGCTTAACTTCTTCCAGTGTGAAGTAATTGGTAGCTTGGTAAACTATATTTTAGAGTAGCTTCCCCAACACAACACAGTAGCATGCACACAATAATGTGATTATTGTGGATAGTCAGGTTAATGTAATAGTTTGTTTAAAATATTTACAAGCTTTGCAAGAAGAACGATTTCTCTAATAATCCTGTTTACATGGACACATCTGAAATCAGGCTACTGATGGGCCTTTTGATAAATGCAGAAAATCCCCAATCAAAATAAGTTCTAACACAGTGACCATGTTATTTTTGCAAATACTTTTTGATTCGGAGTTCTGACATAAAGTTTGTATGTGAAAACTATTTATAAGATGATGCATACTTTCAGTTTTTCAGAACTCACTTCACTCGCGCATAAGAGGGAGGCTTGCGCTACCACACGCTGGCACATGCGCAGATCAAATACACAGCTGGAACGCCGATTAAGCTGTCCAAATAATTTGAAAGATTGCTCAGAAAACCATGTGTTTTAATCGTCGTATGCTTACTTCGATTATGACCTTACGCCAATTAAGATAAGCAGAGTAAGGTGTTTACATGACTAATGCCATACTCTGCATTCTGTCATAATCAGTTTAATATCAAATTATTAGTGTGCGTGTAAACGCACTCACTGATGAGTAGAGGACTCAGGCTAATGTACACCTACTGTTTGGCAATATGTGTCCCACTCCCAACTCCCTCAAAGTGCAGGCGTAAGATTATTAACAAAAAGTGAAAGTGAAATGCTATTTATATATTTCTTCTGTCTTTTCCCTAGTTTTGTGGGGATTCTTTGGAGTAGCCTAGCTCCTTTGGCTCCCAACACAGCCTCCACACCTGCCCACAGACTTCAGTGTGTCCTGGGAACTGCTAGCCTTCCCTCACCAGATGTAGTGGGGAGTTGTCGCTTCCAGCCTTGAACACAGTAGGTTATGTCCTTAGAGTGGGTGTTTTTGCTATAAAATGAGTTTCAGTGCAGAAACTAGGCTATTTTATGCTGTCTGGGAATGTACCACGCACAGAGCATTAGTAAAAAAAAAAAAAAAAAAGAATATGTAGGCTTAAAACATTTTCTGTCAGGTTGCCTGCTGCCTATTGTGTTAAGAGAAAACTGGGTCTGAACCCTCACTGACTTATAACATATCAAGAGGCTAGTGTGCTCACTGTGCTGGTGTGCAGTGGGCATGGTGGATGTGCCAAGGTGCTGTCAACATGGAAACACTCTCCATATCAGCTGTGTTTTGCAGGAATTCTATATTGGAATTGACCATGTGAAGTTCTAAAGGCATTTACAGTGAGCTCCAAAAGTATTGGGACAGTGACAAATTTGTTGATGTTTTGACTCTGTACTCCAGCAGTTTGGATTTGAAATGATACAATGACTATGAGGTTAAAATGCAGACTATCAGCTTTAAAGGAGAAGTTTTATTTTTTACAACCAAATCTCTATTTTTGGTGTAAATGGAATGTTATACTGTAAAGGGGTCCAGACATATTTTTTGTGATTTCACGTTTTAGAGAAACTTACCCCAAACAGCAAATCACTTCCTCATCCTCGTTGTGTAGTATGGGGGCCCTGAAGAAACATACCCAAAAAACATCCTTTTAGAAACGGCAAAGCACTCTGTATAGTGATGCAGGTCTTTAGATGTTGTACACATGCAGTTGTGTCATTCTGGACTTTGTCCGCAATGTTATATTCCCTTTTGCACGTCTCGAGCCTTCTGGAGCGGTTCCATTTTCCGTGTAGCCTGCTGCTACAGGTAACTGCCAAAATAAAGGAAACATAAACATATAGTGTCTTAATAGGGTGTTGGGCCGCCAGAGCAGCTTCAATGTGCCTTGGCATAGATTCTACAAGTGTCTGGAACTTCCTGTGTGGAAGCACCCCATGCTTTCAATATACTTTGTATCCCTCCTTTACTCAAGTGTTTCCTTTATTTTGTCAGTTACCTGTAAAATGGACGGAGAGGTATCGCTCGAGTCGCAACAAAATGGAATATGACGTTGCGGATAAAGTTCGGATTGACACAATTTCATGTGTACAACATTTAAAGACCTGCATCACTATAGTGAGAGCTTTGCTGTTTCTAAAATGATGTATTTGTGTGATTTTGGAGCCTTTGTTCATGTTATTTTCGGGGCCCCCATACTACACAACGAGGATAAGGAAGTGATTTGCTGTTTGTGGTAAGTTTCTCTAAAACGTGAAATCACAATACATTTGTCTGGACCCTTCTATAAAATGCCATTGACATACAAACTAGAGATTTGGTTGTAAAAAATAACTTCTCCTTTAATTTGAGGGTATTTACATCCCTATCGGGTGAAAAGTTTAGAAATTACAGCACATTTTGTACATAGTCACACTATTTTAGGGGACCAAAATTATTGGGACAAATTCACTTACACTGAGTGTACAAACATTAGGAACACCTGCTCTTCCCATGACAAAATGACCAGGTGAATCCAAGTGAAAGCTATGATCCCTTATTGATGTCACCTGTTAAATCCACTTCAATCAGTGTAGATGAATGAGAGGAGACAGGTTAAAGGTAGATGCACAAATATCATATCCCCAAGACAAACAAACCTCTTACCATTACAATAAAAGGGGAGGCTAACATTTTTGGGGGGTTATGATATTTGTGCATTTAACTTTCTCACTCATCATTATTCCCGAGTCATTCAGGGTTATCTGTAATCATGGTAGTGTCCACATTAATGTAGAAGTGTTTAGAAACCTATTATATTCTTATTTACAATAGAAGTGACTCCAAAATGACACAATACATTATTTATCATTAGTTTATATTGTGCACAAAATAATCTGAAACAAAACCAAAACAAACAGCAAATGCATCCAACAAATTTGTAGAGTCACAAGCTTGATGTAGTCATTGCATGCTATGAATATGGGACCAAATACTTAACTTTTTACTACTTTAATACACGTATAAGTGAATTTGTCCCAATACTTTTGGTCCTCTAAAATGGGGGGACTATGTACAATTTCTAAACAGTTCACCCGATATGGATGAAAATACCTTCAAATTAAAGCTGACAGTCTGCACTTTAACCCCATAGTCATTGTATCATTTCAAATCCAAAGTGCTGGAGTACAGAGACAAAACAACAACAAATGTATGACTGTCCCAATACTTTGAGCTCACTGTATTTGCTTAAGCGCTACTCCAGATGTGTCATCTGTAATCAGTCAACTAAAGGCTATGGCCACATCAGATAAAAGTGAAATGCCTTTCTGAAACCTTTGTGGCACACACTTTCTTTAGCATTCTTATTGCAGCTGTGGGTTCTACTTCTGCTTCTAAAATGGGGCTAGTCATTATTTAAGAGCAATGGTCATCCTTTTACTCTGATCTCTGTTCTGTTTTCTATAAGCACACCATTTTCACAGAGGAGGGGGTGTATCGCAATGGCCTGAGGATTGAATGGACCTTTGTAACATCCCACATCCCACCCATCTCTCCATTGTAGACTTGTCATGCTGCTGCCGCTTGCAATTTGTTGGGTTTGCAAAGCTAGATAATGATAGTGGGTTTGGATTGTTTCTCTGCACAGCACATAAAATACGTATTTTCTCATGAAGGAGTTTTTGCCTGTGCCTGGTGGTAATTCCTATTGGACATAAAGAGACATGTAGATTAATATATTTTTTTGGGGGAAAGATGCAATGATAACACGCTAAAGCGATTCCACTTGTTTCCAACGTGGTCCCGTTGGAATACAGACAAAACAAAAGTAAAACAAAGGTATCATGGGGATAATATTCTGTAGAGAAAAGTGTATATTGGCAGGTGCCTCACGTTTCCATGGCTGGCTCCAAGACAGAACAGGAAACAATTACTGGATAGCTTTGTAATATCAACAGTCATAAAAACCTGATTGACTGATGAGTTTTATAATGTTGTGCTAATTTAACAAGCCCTACTTCTCACCTTGCCAAGCTGATAGTGGTGGCAACGCCTCACCCCACATGGCCTTCTCCTATGCATGCTAATTAGATTAAGCTATTTGTGGCACTATGGCTATTGCCTACCGACTCCATAGAGACTAAGCTGTTTGACAATTAGCATCAGCTCACTGTCACTCACTTAAGTGTTAAAGATGTAGTGCGTAATCTTATAAGGGAGGAACACATCTCTGGGTTATCTTGGCTCCTCTCTATTTGTTTCCTTCTTTTGAAAAGGGAAAATGGCCCAAGATAGTGAGTGAGAAAGATATATTATTCTTTTGGCAGAGGGAAGGGAGTTTCATTTTCTGAATATGTATTGTCAAAGGGGATTACCACAACAAGGCAGTTATGTTTAGGCTTGGCTATGTAAATGATAACTAAAGTAGTTAGATAATGGACGAGCCGAGGGAACCGCCCACAATGTTGCGTCTAGAGCTGATGAAAACTGAAGGGAGTTAATGGGTTCTCCTCATCTGTGGCCGGCAATGTGTAAAAATTATATAAATAGTGACGTAAGTAGGCCTAACCAATGTTCTCTCTCTTGTCTCATCTCTTACAGACGTTTGTGCTGTCGAGTGAAGTAACCCCACCATGCGTGAATACAAGCTAGTGGTGTTAGGTTCAGGAGGTGTAGGCAAATCTGCACTGGTTAGTAGTACCGCCATGCTTAGGTTTCTGTTATTGTCAATCTGGGTGTAAGTGCATTTAGTGCAGGGCTTTAAAGTGCGACCATTTTGGTCGCATATGCCACTAAATATTTTGCTGTGTGACTTGGAATAAAAATGTGGGAGCACCAGTGCACCTAGAACAAAAAATCAGCCCGATAATAATTGTTGTAATGATTAAGCGTTACTGTACCGCTGTTTCCGAGTGGCCAAACCGTTCAAAAGTTGTGACCATATTACCGGCACAAAGTTTTTTTTCCGTTCTATTGATCATTGGCGCTGCAGTTGGATGCATCTCCATTGGTGGGCCATATTTTATATTCATAAACCATGTCGCGGGCCGTTAACAACTTGTTCCGTCATGTTACTGCATTAGCTAGCAAGCTAACAAGCTGGTAACTTTACCAGTGCATCCAAACATTTGGGGGGCACAGAAAGAATGGTAAAGGGATAGCTTTTTCAGGAGATCAATGATCAAAGCGATGAATGAATGACAGATTTGCATGTCATCACACACAAATTTTACATTCTTAAAGAGGTAGTATACCATTTTCTATGTAATGCAGCTCATTAGGAAACAGTGCGTTTTACACAATGTTAGCAAACCTAATATTCCACTAATTACTTTGTAATTTCAATGACCAGTATTTGTATAAACATTTTAACTTTTATAATAAACATATGTTGTACCCTAGAAACAGATTAGTTGCTAGGGTACAAAATGTGCTTCAAAAATAGCTAGAAGTCATATAGGCCCAATAAAGGCTGTATCTCAATCAATTAAAAAATCTTATTTTCTGGTGCTCCTAAATGTTATGTGGTGCTCTTAACCTACCAGTGCTACCAATGAAAATGTTTAATTTAGAGCCCTGATTGAGTGGCCGTTTTGATTTGGAGAATATATGTGTCACTCTCTACATTCATGTTCTCCTCCCCTTGCTTAATCTCTTCCAGACAGTCCAATTTGTACAGGGTATTTTTGTGGAAAAATATGACCCCACAATAGAAGACTCCTACAGAAAGGTATGCTGCCCTATAGTTACTAAGATTTCAATTGCCGCCACTGATGTCAAAATGTTACTAAACTTGACTCCCTCTCTCCCACAGCAAGTTGAAGTGGATGGGCAGCAATGCATGCTTGAAATCCTTGACACAGCTGGAACAGTAGGTAGAGCATGTCCAAGTTAGCCATGGTGACAGATTGTGTGTTAACAGTAAATATGACCAGTATGTCATGGAGTCTTTCCTCTGCTGTTCTACAGGAGCAGTTCACAGCGATGAGGGACTTGTACATGAAGAATGGTCAAGGCTTCGCTCTTGTATACTCCATCACGGCACAGTCCACGTTTAATGATCTACAGGACCTTCGGGAACAGATCCTGCGAGTAAAGGACACTGAGGATGTGAGTATTGTAGCTTATTAGGGCTCAGTCACTGTCATTGACGTGCTTCCAACACTTAGGCCTCGTCGGCAATGCATTTATTGCAGCTGTTATGATAACTATGATACGTTTATGATTTGTATGCAATTTTAATTACATTTACATTTGAGTCATTTAGCAGACGCTCTTATCCAGAGCGACTTACAGGAGCAATTAGGGTTAAGTGCCTTGCTCAAGGGCACATCGACAGATTTTTCACCTAGTCGGCTCGGGGATTAGAACCAGCGACCTTTCGGTTACTGGCACAACGCTCTTAACCACTAAGCTACCTGCCGCCCCATAATGGTGTTCTCAATAAAGGAGTCTGTTGGCTCTTGTCTTGTAATCCGACTGCTCTGATAGCCATAGGATCTCTCAATAGGGTATTCTCTGTGGGGAGAACATTTTACATTTACATTTTTGTCATTTAGCAGACGCTCTTATCCAGAGCGACTTACAGGAGCAATTAGGGTTAAGTGCCTTGCTCAAGGGCACATCGACAGATTTGTCACCTAGTCGGCTCGGGGATTAGAACCAGCGACCTTTCGGTTACTGGCACAACGCTCTTAACCACTAAGCTACCTGCCGCCCAGAACATGGCAATAATGAGATAGAAATGTCATGACTGATGTTTGCCAGTTTCAGCTCTTATTTCTGCCACATGCAGAGTTAGTACATTATTGATTTGTTGTCACATTATGGCGACATATATAGACAATATTTTTGCTTTGGAAAGCAACAGAGTAAAGCACTATAGTCTCTCATTGTCTTCTGTCTATTTCTCATTATTTCGTATCAGGTCCCCATGATCCTGGTGGGCAACAAGTGTGACCTGGAGGATGAGCGTGTGGTGGGCAAGGAGCAGGGTCAGAACCTGGCCAGACAGTGGAACAACTGTGCCTTTCTAGAGTCCTCCGCTAAATCAAAGATCAACGTTAATGAGGTAAGCCCCACTGCTTTCACTTCCAGTCACCTGGACTGAATGAATGTATGTTACGTCTCGGGAGTTGACAAGAATTCCAATAAGAAAATACATCTCGTCAAGTAAACAAGTGTGATTATCTGGAGCTTATAACGGACAGTTAATGCTCATGTATCTCTAACTACCCGCTCCTTTGGTCTGCTTTAGATTTTCTATGACCTGGTCAGACAGATCAATAGGAAAACACCTATAGAAAAGAAGAAGGCAAAGAAGTCAAATTGCACACTGCTCTAAAGCTCCCACTTACAGCAGCTCTGAGCCAGGTGAGTGGGCTAAGATGGCATCCAATGGGTGATACGGAATCTGTATGTATTATGATATTTACATTTGTATTTAATTTTATCATAATCCCATGAGTATGGCACCAGCTAATGTACTTGCATTTATATATTTGCTTTCTATCAGAATAAACTGTCTCGCATGATTCACAGTCATGAATTCCATGTGCAATTGCTCTCACAAGGAATACAAAAGTACCTGTGAACTAACATGTCCTCTGTCTCTATTACCTGTAGGAAGCTGCAATACAATACTGGTGCCCAGTTGGAACATGCCAGCATTTCAATCCCTTTCAATAACGAATGGAGACGTTTGACAAAAGCAGAAAAGTAATTATCTTCTTCACCACTGTAATAATGGTTAAGAAATCCACACCTTTTTCTCTCTTTTTCATTTTGTCAATGGGACAGCCTTGTGATGAAGAGTTTTCCCTTTCCCCAGTTTTGGAAATTACAATTTAAAACAAAAAAACTGACTACCATGCATATTATTGTGAATTTTATGAATTAGGTTGTTTGATTGCAAATATTTTCAGATCTTTGGCACATTTCAAATGACAAAATGTTTGCAAAATAAATCATTGGAAATGTTGGCCTTTTTCATTACCTTACCCATCTGCACTAATTGTGTCAACAGTAATGCATCAACTTCCATGTTTTATTTCTCCTACTACTTTTAAGAAGTTGTATTCATGAAATAACATATTTAGTAAGTGACTTTGTTTTTTATATGGGAAGCTGCAAGGCTCTCATCTTTCCCATAATAAATTCTAATTCTTGTGTTGTTTTTTTGCATAATGAAACTGTGGGAAATTTGTGTTTTATAGAATAGGGGAAATGAGGAGACTTGATTTCTATGTGTCTTGAGACTGAAAATATGTTGTACTAAACCAACTCTATTGTGTCTTGTTACCTTGTCACAAAGGATTTTCCAGCTTTTATGAATGATAAAATTTTCGTACATTTTCATTATTTTGTCAATGCATTTTTATTTCTCTATACATGATGATAATCAATAGTTGTGAAGACATTTTGCCTGTTGCGAATCTCTAGTGTGTTGCGGGAACATTAAACGATTGTTGGCATAGAATTAGAATGAGACAGCTCGTTCTATTTCCATGGAATCCGCCCTCAACCGAACAGTTTCCTGCCTTTCTGAAATACAGCCATGTCGCATCGTTACTGATGCGCTAACTGCTGTCCCCGATTGTCACAGTTCATCCTCCGTCTAATTCAGGCAAATTATTTAGACTGATTAGATTTATATTTTTTATAATTAATTTCAAATTATTTAAAAGCCGAAAGATTATCCTAGAAAATGACCGACGCAGCAGCCAAGCTCGAGATGTTCATCTGCAGGAATTGGAGAAATGCAACAGCAGCAGCGTTTCGTGAGATGTGCCCACTACTACTTGGCTTATGAGGAACCACCCAAGGAGGCGCAGGGTGTGATAGCTGTAGGGCGGCAGCAGCTGTGTGCCAGGCTTGCTGAGAGGAAAGGCAGACAGGCCACAGTTAATGCTGCACAACGGCAACAGGGTTCGCCTTATGAGGCTGTGTCACGAGAATATCAGACCTAGCTGACTAAACTCAACTCAATGGTGAAGGAAGTTGCTGATGAACTCCACCAATGGAGTTGAGCAGAGACCAGGCTTTGTGGAATTAAGCTCCGACTACATCAAATACTTTTTTTTAAAATCTTTTTTTGTGTGTTTTTTTTGGTGTGTATTTTACCCCCTTTCTCTCCCCAATTTCGTGGTATCCAATTGGTAGTAGTTACAGTCCCTGTCCCATCGCTGCAACCCCTGCACAGACACGGGAGAGGCGAAGGTCGTGTGTTTCCGAGCCGCACTGCTTCTTGATACAGTGCCCTCTTAACCCGGAAGCCAGCCGCACCAAGGTGTCGGAGGAAACACCATACACCTGGCGACCGAGTCAGCGGTGTGGGGTCGTTGATGATGCTGTGGGCCTTCCCTGGGCATCGTTTTAAGTAGATTTCCTGGATGGGTGGGAGCATGGTCCCAGTGATGTACTTGGCCGTCTTCACCACGCGCTGGAGGGCGTTGCATTCATGGACAGAGCAATTCCGGTACCAGGCCGTGATGCAACCGGTCAGGACGCTCTCGATGGTACAGCGGGAATATTTGAAGAGGACCCGGGTCGGCATGCCAAATTTCTTCAGCTGCCTTAGGAAGTAGAGACGCTGTTGCGCCCTCTTGGCGAGTGGTGGTGTTGTTGGTCCATGACAAGTTCTCGGTGACGTGGACGCCGAGGAACTTAAAACTTGTGACTCTCTCTACTGCAGTCCCGTTGATGTGGATCGGGGCATGTTCCCTGAAGTCAACTATCAACTCCTTTGTTTGCTGACGTTGAGGGAGAGGTTGTTGTCATGATTCCACAATGCCAGTTCACTTACCTCACTTACCTCTACCAACTGAGCCACACAGGACTTTGAAGTCTGTGATAGTCTGTAGTCCTTGCCACATGTGATGCAAGTCTCAGTTGTCGAACATCAATTCAAGTTTGAGTCTGTATTTTTGAGTCCCTAACAGAGTTGCGGGGCTCGTAGCTGCTTGCCTTGTACGCATCACGCGCCACAGAGTCATCGGAGTTCATTCTGCTGACATTAAATGCTGCAGTACGGGCTTTCAGCATTGTACAGATATCTCCGTTCATCCAGGGTTTTTGGTTGGGGTATGTCCGGATTGTTATTGTGGGTACAACATCAACACATTTTTGAATGAAGCCTGTGACTGACGATGTATATTCCTCAATGTTGATGGATGAATCTTTAAACATTTTCCAATCAGTATTCTCAAAACAATGCTGCAGCATTAAGTCTGTCTCCTCCAGCGCCTCACTATTCTCTGTGTTGGTGGCTCCCAAGTGGGAAGTAGGAACAGAGAGACGTGATCTGATTGGCTGTAGTGGGGGCTTTGTACGCGTCACAGATGTTTTTGTATACATGGTCAAGCACGCTGGATCCTTTTGTGGGGCAGGATACATGTTGGGAAAATTTGTTTTAGCCGGGCTTGGTTAAAGTCACCCATGACAATAAAGACTGCTTCCGGGTGAGAGGATTCTTGCTGGCTAATGATCTTGTAAAGTTCACTGAGTGCCGCCTTGGTGTTTGCTTGTAGCATATGAATTCCCTCGGCATATAGTGGGGTCTGCATTTTAGCATCAAGAAACTCCAGGTCGAGTGAACAGCAGCTTGCGATGTTTTAACTTCGGTAAACCAGGAATTGTTTGAGAAAACATACCTCTCCCCCCGACTTACCAGAAGCCGCCGTTAGATCCATTCGGAATATGGGGAAGCGGTGTAGTTGAATAGCAGAATCGAGTGTATTGTATGTAAGCCACGTCTCAGTAAAAAGAGACAGCATTCCCTGATGTCCCTCTGCGATTGAAGCCTTGCTCTGTGTTCAAAGTTTATTAATCACCCATGGACTGGTTCATAATAATGGACTTTTCCGCCCTGACAGAGTTCCTGTGCATTGTTTCACGTGATATGATTGTAAATGTGACTTTGATTGAAATTACGCTGCAGCAATGAGGCGCTTTCAGAGCGGGGCAGAGAAAATAAAAATATTTAATTTCAACAGAAAAATTACCTAAGTTAACACATTTCTTTAGTAAAAAGACAGGTGCTGCTGATAATACTGCCATCATTGTCAAAGCAGAGGACATGTACAGTATGTGTAGCCCATGTACCTGATGCTGTCTGACCAAAAAGAGTATGGCATGTGAAATTCTCTTTGGCCAGACAGCATCAGATACTTGGGCTACATACACTGAGTGCACAAAACATTAGGAACACCTACTCTTTCCATGACATAGACTGACCAGGTGAATCCAAGTGAAAGCTATGATCCCTTATTGATGTCACCTGTTAAATCCACTTCAATCAGTGTAGATGAAGTGGAGGAGACAGGTTAAAGAAGGATTTTTAAGCCTTGAAACAATTGAGACATGGATTGTGTACAGTGAGGGAAAAAAGTATTTGATCCCCTGCTGATTTTGTACGTTTGCCCACTGGCAAAGAAATGATCATCAAATTTTAATGGTAGGTTTATTTGAACAGTGAGAGACAGAATAACAACAAAAAAATCCAGAAAAACACATGTCAAAAATGTTATAAATTGATTTGCATTTTAATGAGGGAAATAAGTATTTGACCCCTCCGCAAATCATGACTTAGTACTTGGTGGCAAAACCCTTGTTGGCAATCACAGAGGTCAGATGTTTCTTGTAGTTGGCCACCAGGTTTGCACACATCTCAGGAGGGATTTTGTCCCACTCTTTGCAGATATTCTCCAAGTTATTAAGGTTTCGAGGCTGACATTTGGCAACTCGAACATTCAGCTCCCTCCACAGATTTTCTATGGGATTAAGGTCTGGAGACTGGCTAGGCCACTCCAGGACCTTAATGTGTTTCTTCTTGAGCCACTCCTTTGTTGCCTTGGCCATGTATTTTGGGTCATTGTCATGCTGGAATACCCATCCACTACCCATTTTCAATGCCTTGGCTGAGGGAAGGAGGTTCTCACCCAAGATTTGACGGTACATGGCCCTGTCCATCGTCCCTTTGATGCAGTGAAGTTGTCCTGTCCCCTTAGCAGAAAAACACCCCCAAAGCATGTTTCCACCTCCGTGTTTGACGGTGGGGATGGTGTTCTTGGGGTCATAGGCAGCATTCCTCCTCCTCCAAACACAGCGAGTTGAGTTGATGCCAAAGAGCTCCATTTTGGTCTCATCTGACCACAACACTTTCACCCAGTTCTCCTCTGAATCATTCAGATGTTCATTGGCAAACTTCAGACGGCCCTGTATATGTGCTTTCTTGAGCAGGGGGACCTTGCGGGCGCTGCAGGATTTCAGTCCTTCACGGCGTAGTGTGTTACCAATTGTTTTCTTGGTGACTATGGTCCCAGCTGTCTTGAGATCATTGACAAGATCCTCCCGTGTAGTTCTGGGCTGATTCCTCACCGTTCTCATGATCATTGCAACTCCATGAGTTGAGATCTTGCATGGAGCCCCAGGCCGAGGGAGATTGACAGTTATTTAGTGTTTCTTCCATTTGCGATTAATCACACCAACTGTTGTCACCTTCTCACCAAGCTGCTTGGCGATGGTCTTGTAGCCCATTCCAGCCTTGTGTAGGTCTACAATCTTGTCCCTGACATCCTTGGAGAGCTCTTTGGTCTTGGCCATGGTGGAGAGTTTGGAATCTGATTGATTGATTGCTTCTGTGGACCGGTGTCTTTTATACAGGTAACAAGCTGAGATTGGGAGCACTCCCTTTAAGAGTGTGCTCCTAATCTCAGCTCATTACCTGTATAAAAGACACCTGGGAGCCAGACATCTTTCGGATTGAGAGGGGGTCAAATACTTATTTCCCTCATTAAAATGCAAATCAATTTATAACATTTTTGACATGCGTTTGTCTGGATTTTTTTGTTCTTATTCTGTCTCTCACTGTTCAAATAAACCTACCATAAAAATTATAGACTGATCATTTTTCTTTGTCAGTGGGCAAACGTACAAAATCAGCAGGGGATCAAATACTTTTTTCCCTCACTGTATGTGTGCCATTCAGAGGGTGAATGGGAAAGACAATGGGGCCTCTGCCTGGGGCCTCCCCTGCTACCAGAAGGTGTCATTATAATTACAGACTGTACTAGGAGGCATAGGCACCTGCTTTTAGTCAGGTTTGATAGGCTATGTGTGTCACATCATCATAGTATGCCTTTCTTGGTATTTAATGTGTAGTCTATTAAGACATTTTTCAAGTGCAGTATCTTTGTGGCACATGGATCATGTAGGCCTAAACTACACAGAGGAGCAACAAGCTCCTTTAGAGCAAATTAGGCCTACTCATATGAAGCAAAGGACTGAATGCACTTGTAAAATGACATTTTAACATCTGCTATGTCAGGGTTCCCCAACTGGCGGCCCGCGGGTGATTTCATTTCGCCCCCCAAGTTTTCTGAGTCCCCCCCCCCCCCCCCCACACACACACACAAAAAAAAACTTTTATATTTGTAAAATGTTCATTGCTCGACATAAAAGACAGTAAAAACACCAGGAAATCAGCTGATTTTAATTTAATAAATATTTTCCCCATTATTCCCACATAATAGAGAGACACATGATCTAATACAAATTTAAGCAAGGCTTGAATTTATTATGTTTTAGTGAAACAGTATATGTGTTTGGGCTTCTTGCGGTTAATTTGCTGTCTACAAATTATTTGTATTATGTTCCGGCCCCCTGACCATCCATTCAACATAAAATCGGCCCGGGGCTGAATCTAGTTGATGATCCCTGTGCTGTGTTCTCAAAACGGCCATCTCAGCACTGTTCAGTTCAGCACTGATGAAACGTCCAACTGTTTCATCATGGCTCCCCTGCCAGTGCAAATGCAGTCTTAAAGAAAACTGCACAATCATTCATCTTATGATGATCAAGCGTGCTAACATTTCACTGTTCATTTTCTGTTGTATGGTAGAGCTAAATAAATCACATTTTTGGTCAGGATTTATTATGAAATATAGTTTTCGCTTTCTCACCTCCCCTCGCCTTTCCTCCCTCCCTTTCTCCCCCACACTTATGCATTCACACACATACGCGACCCCCTCCCCCTTTTCATCATTTCCCATCTCCCTCTTCTCTAAAACAAACATGGCCGCTAAATCTGATGGTGCACCCGTCTCGTTGCGAAATGACATCCTGCCCGAGTGCCTGTCCGGTTCTGATCAACGTTCGCTTCAGTGCCACCCTGCTAGGAAGCGCTACTCGCTCCTCGACTGCAGCTGGACGCTATGTGCCCTTTTGGTCTTCTTTTCGGACGGGGCCTCAGACCTGTGGCTGGCCGCGGACTACTACCTCAGGCGGAACTACTGGTGGTTTGCATTGACACTGGTCTTCGTGATCGTTCCATCTGTGGTGGTTCAGGTGTTGAGTTTTAGGTGGTTCGCCTATGATTATTCGGATACCAACGACAGTAGCACAGCCGCAGCTGCCGTGGTCGCAGCATCGGACGCGAAGAGCCATTTCAGCACCAAGGACAGCGATCAAGGGGTTGCTGGCCGCGATGCAGCGGTCGGGGCATTGCCTACGACCGGCACTATGGGAGGCGCCCGGGGCTGCTGCAGAGCCTTTATGTGGCTCTTTCAATGCTTCATCCATATATTTCAGCTAGCACAGGTCTGGAGGTAAGATCACTCATACACGGATACTGTACTGGCTTGAACGTGTGTGTGAGACGGGGTTCTGCTTAGATGGTGATCAAAACATTCCAAAAGCCCTACTAGTCTACTATATCTTGGTTTGTTTTAACAGCTCAATTTTGAACATTATTGTTAAACACATATCCTAATTTCAGCCTTTTCCCTACTAAACCAAACTCACCCAGAGAAGGCTACTCTATTCACAATGTCGATATGTCTTTTGTATCGCTTTCTTTGACGTCTGGTAACGAAGGAAGGGAGTTGTAAGCTCCTCCCCCCTCACGAGCTTCTAGGTCAATAATCTCCCGGGGAAAATCGTCTACTCATCCACACCGTCTGCTTTATGAACACACAAATCCCCTTTGTCTAACTTCCATCGTTTGAGTGTGAAAGTGTCGGGTCTTCTGTGAGATGGGGAGTGTTAGGATTTGATATCAGGGCATGGATTTCCTATGTTATGGATTTTCTATCTATGCCATACATGCCAAATATGGAAAATAGGCTAGATATGGTAGGAGGATGTAACAAATATATCTTAGTCTCATTGCATTTCACAGTGCAGATATATGGCTCTGGAGGTCTCAGCCACAGATACAGAAGTAGTAGTCTTCGGAATCAGCCATAGTCTGTGATGATTGGTTTTGACAGGCTCTAGCTGTGCCTTTGAACTGTAGTGAGAAGACTGGTAGGCTAATTGTATTTACAGCAGCCAGTGATACAGACCTCAGAGGCAAATCATTCATTCTCTATGTCCTTTTATCCCCCACCTCTCTCTCTCTTTCTCTCTCTCTCTCACTGTTCCCCTGGGACAGAAAGTAAGTTTACATAGCTAGGCAACTGTATGTCAATTTACCTGTGAGGGATTGGCCTTTAGGTCAATTCACTGTCACTTGAATGAGTCTGCCAGCACATGATCTACTGTAGAAACACTATTTGAATAGACAACCACGCCATCATTTCTTTCTTTGCAAAATCTTTTTCACTGCATCTGCATCTTTAAACTGCATCATTGGGAAATGTTTGTAAGCAAGCATTTCACTATAAAGTCTACCCCAGTTGTATTCAGCGCATGTGATAAATCAAATTGGTTTAGTTTTGATTGGATTTTAGATTACTCCATGGGCAGGATTTACATATTCTTTATTTCCTCGTATAGATTGAGACACGGTACCGTCCAGTCTGAGGAGTCTATTGAAAGTCTCTGAGGCAAAGTGGTATTAGCTGTAATTCCATTAAAGCTGTTGTGTGTGCTCTGTTCCATGCGGCTGGTCTCGGAATGGCGTGTCTGCGCATTAAAGAGGATTACCATTGTATGTTTTACCCTCAGGTGTTGACTCAGGAATTAACTGTCACTGATACACAGACAGACAGGTGCACAGGGATGGAGGCGAGTAAAGGCTAATGATGCTGTTCTGTGGTCAGCAAAGCATGTTGTCATTACATTTCAATCAGCTTGGATGATATTAGATGGGAGTGGCATGGCAGAATGCTTTTGGACCACTTTGAATGAGAATAATCATCAGTGGGCAACTATAGCATGCATGTCTGTGTGTTCTGTGTGTGTATATGACATCCCCAGGCAGAGGAAACCAGAACGAAAAGGGTTATACTCACTCCCTCCTGGTTCACTAGGCTCATTGAGATACTATAGGACAGGGCTCTGTTTTGTCCCATCCTCCCTCTAGCCATCACCGAGCCACATTTAGTTCCGGTTCCACCATCACAGAGAAACATTTATCTTTCACACAATCAGTCGGAGGTAATGACTCATGACAAAAACAGTCACTACATTTAGAGAGGTTGAAGTCAAATGAGGAAGCCACATTTTATATTGTCAAAGCGATCACTTCTGTAGCCTAGAGAGGACAGGATGAAGTGACCAGTCAGATTCATGCTCAGTGGCACTCTACCAAGAGACGACAAACTATTACCAGTTATTCTGTCTGGATGGAGTGACAGCTCCCAGGCTGTCTGGAGTTTGAAGTTCAGTTGCTAGAATGAGGCTGGACTGAGGCTGCACTGAGCCATCTGTCTTGAGATGGTGCTGGCATGTGGCTAAAACAGATTGATATGGAGTGTTTCTTGATAGCTCTCACAAATTTGGACATGATTCTAATATCATACTCATGCCCTTCCCTCTCTGTCCCTACCCCCCCCCCCACCTCCCTCTTCCCCTCTGATGTTCCACAGGTATGTCCATGCCCTGTACTTGGGGGTGCAGAGTCGCTGGCGTGGGGACCATGAGCGCCGTCACTTCTACTGGCGCATGATGTTTGAGAGCGCTGACATCAGCATGCTGCGCCTGCTGGAGTCCTTCCTAAAGAGCGCCCCCCAGCTGGTCCTGCAGCTCAGCATCATGGTCCAGGCCAGCCAGGTCCTCCCGCTGCAGGGTGAGTCACGGTCTGAACACAAAAACTGTCCTGAACCTTAATAATTACTAGTGGCATCACCATCTCAAACTCCCCCATACAATCCACAGTGATGACCTATCCTTGACATTGACACGTCCTTTACCTTACTAATCACTCACTAGTGACATCACCATCTCAAATTACCCAGTATCTTGACACATTCTATACCCAAACCCATATATATTGCTTATGCCTATACAGTGCCTTGCAAAAGTATTCATCCCCCTTGGCGTTTTTCCTATTTTGTTGCATTACAACCTGTAAAAAAAATAACTTGTTTCAAAAAATAAATAAAAATGGAAAAGTGGTGCGTGCATATGTAAATAAGCCCCTAAATAAGATTTGGTGCAACCAATTACCTTCAGAAGTCACATAATTAGTTAAATAAAGTCCACCTGTGTGGAATCTAAGTGTCACATGATCTCAGTATATATACACCTGTTCTGAAAGGCTCCAGGGTCTGCAACACCACTAAGCAAGGGGCACCACCCAGCAAGCTGCACCATGAAGACCAAGGAGCTTTCCAAACAGGTCAGGGACAAAGTTGTGGAGAAGTACAGATCAGGGTTGGGTTATAAAAATAATATCTGAAACTTTGAACATCCCACAGAGCACCATTAAATCCATTATTAAAAAATTGAAAGAATGTGGCACCACAACAAACCTGCCAAGAGAGGGCTGCCCACCAAAACTCACGGACCAGGCAAGGAGGGCATTAATCAGAGAGGCAACAAAGAGACCAAAGATAACCCTGAAGGAGCTGCAAAGCTCCACAGCGGAGATTGGAGTATCTGTTGATAGGACCACTTTAAGCCGTACACTCCACAGAGCTGGGCTTTACGGAAGAGTGGCCAGAAAAAAAGCCATTGCTTAAAGAAAAAATTAAGAAAACACGTTTGCCAAATGGCATGTGGGAGACTCCCCAAACATATGGAAGAAGGTACTCTGGTCAGATGAGACAAAAATTGAGCTTTTTGGCCATCAAGGAAAAGGCTATGTCTGGCGCAAACCCAACACCTCTTATCACCCCGAGAACACCATCCCCACAGTGAAGCATGGTGGTGGCAGCATCATACTGTGGGGATGTTTTTCATCGGCAGGGACTGGGAAACTGGTCAGAATTGAAGGAATGATGGATGGCGCTAAATATAGGGAAATTCTTGAGGGAAACCTGTTTCAGTCTTCCAGCAGGACAATGACCCTAAGCATACTGATAAAGAAACAATCAAGTGGTTTAAGGGGAAACATTTCAATGTTTTGGAATGGCCTAGTCAAAGCCCAGACCTCAATCCAATTGAGAATCTGTGGTATGACTTAAAGATTGCTGTACACAAGCGGAACCCATCCAACTTGAAGGAGCTGGAGCAGTTTTGCCTTGAAGAATGGGCAAAAATCCCAGTGGCTAGATGTGCCAAGCTTATAGAGACATACCCCAAGAGACTTGCAGCTGTAATTGCTGCAAAAGGTGGCTTTGGGGGGGTGAATAGTTATGCACGCTCAAGTTTTCTTCTTTTTTTGTCTTATTTCTTGTTTGTTTCACAATAAAACATATTTTGTATCTTCAAAGTGGTAGGCATGTTGTGTAAATCAAATGATACAAACCCCCCAAAAATCCATTTTAATTCCAGGTTGTAAGGCAACAAAATAGGAAAAATGCCAAGGGGGGTGAATACTTTCGCAAGCCACTGTACCTTAATAATCACTCACTAGTGACATCACCCTCTGAAACTCCCCAACACGTGAAATCCACACCATTCTTCATTTAAAAATCCCTCCACAAAGATGGGTAAACGCTGACACACATTCTAGCATACTGGTCTGTATTGTAGGAATGTTTCCCTGGCCTGAAGCATTCCTTAGACTACAATGGAGCCTTCTGCTTCACATGACACTCAGCTCAGCAGCGAGTTCTTTTAATCTCATGACTGCCAGACCCTTTTACACTGCTAAACCTCTACTTTAATTTTTCTGTCTCTCTCTCTTTCTGCCTGGCTCCTGTCTCTCCCTGCCTCTATCTCTCTCTCCAGGCCTCTCAGCCTCTGCCTCTCTGATGTCTCTGTCCTGGATGATCGCCTCCTACCAGAAGGTTCTGAGGGACTCCCGGGACGACAAGCTGCCCATGTCCTACAAGGCCGTCATTGTACAAATCCTATGGCACCTGTTTACCATCGGAGCTCGTACAATGGCCTTCGCTCTGTTTGCCTCTGTATTCCAACTCTACTTTGGTATCTTCATCGTGGCCCATTGGTGCATCATGACATTCTGGATAATTCAAGGCGAAACAGACTTCTGCATGTCCAAATGGGAGGAGATAATCTATAACATGGTGGTCGGCATTGTGTATGTTTTCTGTTGGTTTAGCGTAAGAGAGGGGCGCACACGCTGCCGTATGCTCATCTACAGCGTGGTTGTATTTATTGAGAACGTGGCACTCACCACATTCTGGTATCTGTACCGTGGCCCACAGACCTCAGACTTTAATGCCCTGCTCACAGTGTGCATGGTGGTCAGTAGCTACGCTCTGGGCACCTTCTTTATGTTCGTCTACTACTGCCTGCTGCACCCTGACGGTCCTATCTCAGGGTGGGGATGTGGGGTGCCGGAGGAGGTAACAGTGGAGTCCTGCCTTTCCCCAGCTTCCTCTCTCCCTCCAGATGTAGTGGCCAGCCCCCCCAGGACCCTGCAGAGGACTAAAGGGGGAGACCGTGAGCAGATGGGAGGGGCTAATGCAGATGTGTTTCTAGTACGAACACTTAAAAGAGGAGCCAAGGCCACTTTTCCACCCCTCGCCCCTAGTACAGAGGGGCCAGTCATCCGTATTGACTTGCCCAGGAAGAAGTACCCTGCCTGGGATGCCCACTTCATCGACCGCAGGCTGCGCAAAACCATCCTGGTGCTCGAGGGTGCTGCTCCGGTCACACCAAGGATCCAGTACCGCTGTCTGGGCTCACCCACAGAGGTGATGGAGTATGAGACCACGGTGTGAACCGCAGAGAGTGCTGTTACTCAACTGGCTTTCAGCCAGCCGGCAAGGCCCCACAGTGGCACACAGCTGACTAACTCTCTCTGAGGATCAGTTCTGCTCTATAGCCCCTCGGTGTTGTGAAGCATCAAGGGTACACTGACAAGGAGAGGTGGAGTGTGTCCAAATGTTTTCACATTAAAGGTCTGGGACAGAAAGACACAATGTCTGATGTGGCCTAAGTAGGTGACTAGGTGAGGTGTGTATTTTGGTGTCAGTATAATTTCTCAGGTTAGGGGGATGGTACAGGGAGGATTATGGGGCAGGGGTCAGAGGTTAGGGATCAGTGAACATGCAGAGGGACACCGAAAGAGGAGCTGGGCTTCGTGGCTAGCTGTCAATCAGAGGGAAACCATCCTCAATGAACGTGCTTCAAAATAATGTCCTCTCAAGCCAAGACAAATACCATCAGAGACAATACCTAAACATATGAATACCTATGACAATATTTCTGTTAATTTATTATGATAATACACCATAACAGTAAATAAGTCACATGGGGTATGCTTAATACATACCCATCTAATGGAGCTACTGGAACAGGACATTTTAACCTGAAGATGACAAAGGAAGATCTTATTGCTGTGTGTGATTTGTCATAGCTATTTATGCATGTTTAAGTAATCTCAAAGCCTTAATAAATTGTCGAAAATCCATAGGACAATTTCTAAAGAGCAACATAAATTGAACAAATGTATCGAGATGAATGTTCAGTACACTATGTTTTTATACAGTTGGTGTGGTATTACCACAACGTTCCTGTAGTACAACAAACAGGAAGTAGGCTGGATACGGAATATGCAGGATTGCTGTACCATGGATTACTATATTATGTCTAACTTGTCTGGACTCTGGATGCCGTGTATAAAATAGTTTAGATATCTGTCAATCTTCATGAGGATGATACAGTATGTGTTTCGTGTGTATCTAGGTTGTCATTGCTCGATAAATAAGTGTTCTTTCTAACACAAAAAATGGAGCGTATCAACTTTAAATCCAGAAGAAGACAGAACCATTATGTGGCTGAGAGGTTGAAACTGGGAGCATTTTTATGTGAGGAGCGTGTGTGCGCTTGTTCGTGCACGTGTATGTTGTACATTGGGGTTCATATGATATTGTGTCGTAGAAAGATGATGAGGCGTTAGTTCTTAATGCTGTCCAGTTAACTCAATTATCCTGTTAGCACGCAGATGAAATCAGTATCTCCACATAGCCACAGAACTATGAAGCCACGGCTCCATGTTGGTGCTAACTGTTGAGTCTGTGTATAACACCACGGCTTAACTTATACAGTGTTCTTGTCTGGATTCATCCATCAAACCATACTGGTTTGTCTGGGCTGTACCTCAAAAACACATACCAGAATCAAAGCCTTAAACTGGTCGTTCCAGACTGTTGCTGGTCACTGCAGAAAAAAAAAAGAAAAGACTTTCATTATGTTGTTGTTGGGAAAATAAAGAGCAATGTGTTTACCTTCTGTATGACCAAGTCATTCTTTCAATGTGTGATTTTCAGAAACCAAATGCAACCACAGCTATCCAAAATATAGCTAATTATCCCAAATATACATACATACATTAAAGGTCTGGGGCGGCAGGTAGCTTAGTGGGTAAGAGCGTTGTGCCAGTAACCGAAAGGTCGCTGGTTCTAATCCCCGAGCTGACTAGGTGAAAAATCTGTCGATGTGCCCTTAAGCAAGGCACTTAACCCTAATTGCTCATGTAAGTCGCTCTGGATAAGAGCGTCTGCTAAATGACTAAAATGTAAAATGTACATAAATGTATATGTGGGAACTGGAAATCCAGCTTTCAGGTCAGTTAAATACAGTTATCAAACTACTGTAGAATGGTTTAAATGTGAATCATTCAATTAGACAGAGGTACAGAGACAGATGGAGAGAGAGACGAGCAAATCCTTCTACTAAAGTGACAGATTGTTCTGATTAGATTGCCCAGTGGTAAACAGCTAAATCCTGTCTCATGTAGCAGTGGATCAGTGGATTATGAAACATTACTCCGTTGGCTGCTGGCACCTGAGTCCAGCCAGAGGTCAATGGGCCAGGTGGGGCTCTCTCCACAAAATTCTTTATTTTTTATCATAATTTTCAACAGAAAACGGTTCACTTCCCAGCCACTCTACATGTTCTTATCTCATATAGGGGCACAATATTGAAAATCTGCAGCACAATGTAATTCAATATAAATGATCACCGACCTTCTCAATATAGTTGGCTAATATAAAGAGGATCCCTATACTTACCATGAAGACGCAAGTGCACTGATTGGTGATTAGGATGAAATGAGTAATTGGACTATAATAATGTATATAAAAATCTATTGGTTAAGATTTCCAAAGATGTCCAACGTTTTGCTGAATAAATGCATAGGGCCTAATGTATAACAATACCTTGGCTGTGCCTACGATGTATCTATCCGTTGTACCTACAGTATGTATCTCTATCCATTGTTACAATGTATCTACCAGTTGTTACAAATCCCTCTCCAGCATCTGTGGTCCTCTGTAGCTTAGTTGGTAGAGTATTGCTTTGGATGCCAGGATTCAATGCCAGGATAGTTTGTTCATCCCCATGCATAAAATGTATGCACACATGACGTAAGTCGCTTTAGATAAAAGCGTCTGCTAAATGGCATCTATACACTGAGTGTACAAAACATTAAGGACACCTGCTCTTTCCATGACAGACTGACCAGGGGAAAGCTATGACCCCTTATTGATGTCACTTGTTAAATCCGCCTCAATCAGCGTAGATGAAGGGAGGAGACAGGTTAAAGAAGGATTTTCAAGCCTTGATACAATTGAGACATGGATTGTGCGTGTGCCATTCAGAGGGTGAATGGGCAAGAAAAATATTTAAGTGCCTTTGAACGGGGTTGTGTCAAGAACTGCAACGCTGCCGGGTTTTTCACGCTCAACAGTTTCCCTTAAGTATCTAGAATGGTCCACCACCCAAATGACATCCAGCCAACTTGACACAACTGTGGGAGGCATTGGAGTCAACATGGGCCAGCATCCCTGTGGAACGCTTTCGACACCTTGTAGAGTCCATGCCCCGACGAATTGAGGCTGTTCTGAGGGCAAAAGAGGTTCCTAATGTTTGGGATACTCAGTGTATATCTCACAGCCAATCCGCTAGAACGAAGTTATTTACATAATGATAAGTCTGAACCAATCATCTTATGGTGGGCGTGGAGTTGTCCTCTCGCCGGCTAAATTCGTTCCTCAATGCGCACTATCAATCATTCTATTACTAGAATGGCGACTGCTGCGTGCGGTCGTCAGTGTAAAACAGACAGTAATCCTGCCAAATCACACAAAGAACACCTCCGAAAAGGTAAAGACTCACAACGGAGACAGGCGGCTCTTTCTTTTCTGAACAACATATCTCTAGACGGACGGCCTTTATATCATCTCAGCAATGGAAACCTCGGTCAAAGGGACGCAGCCGAGCTCGGAAGTCGAGACGCCGCTGGGGCACATACGACTGGACACCCTCAAATTTCACCGAGTACCTACGGAACCTTCCCCCATGTATCACCTTACTTGGCCGGTGGCGCTGCTACTACTGTGGCGGGGATCTGGGGACTGAGCCCAGTCCCTCCTAATTTGGATATGTCTACAGACACTGGCTCAAGTGCTGCTGTGGGGTGCAGTGAGGTGTTTTTTGAGGGTGTAGACTCCATGGTACCCCCAGATACTCCCCTGTCCCCCACTTCTGGACCTCAGACCTTCAATCCAATTGCCAAATCGCCATCTGTGCTCCAGACTCTGAATTCCGTGCCGGGGGATACACGTCAAAGGTGGGACATATTAGCTACTCAATTTTTATTAGGGTGGGAAACAATCAGGGATCTGTCATGATGACCAGCAGTCGGGTCTGTAGGTGTAACTCACTGCTTTTGTATTCATTGTAAGCAACATTGGCTGTTTCAACGTTTGACAGAATAGGCCTGATTTATAAAGGTGTTCTTACTTCCGCATATTTCCAACAGGTAGTTTCATTATAGAAATCAATGGTTATTCAAATGGTCACAGTCTACCAGACCTACCTTCGAAATTGTAGTTGTTGTTTTTTAAAATCAGCGTTTTTCTCAAGGCAATAATATTATGATTATATATTTTTATATTATCAGCTGCCCCATTTGAGAAAATCGTATCTGCCTGTCAAGGTCCGATAAAAAACGTTGCAGGCAGCTACAAGTGCTGCACAATATATCACTAAATAAAACTAAGTGCTCATACAATTATCTGATATAGTTTTTCCATATTTTGTTTATTGGTTTGCTTATTTTAACAACATTATCTGCTGTGGTTTGTGTAAGTAAACATTAAAATCATTGTCAGATCTTGTCCTGTGTTTTCATCTCTCCCTTCCCCACCCCACATATATTTTTCTGTCTTTCTCTCCCGCTCCTTCTCTCTGATCATCTTTAGAAAAACCAGACAATTACTTAAGCTCCCTCTCACCTAAGATTGTAATTTTGGCTTTGTTATTCAAATATGTGGTGTAAAGAAATCTACAAGGTCTTCCTTCATTTATTATTTCAAGAACATTGTTAATTCCCCTCATGCACAGAATTGGTCTACCTCCATATTCTAAAACTCACTGAGAAATGATATGGTACTGCTTGCTATCTGTTGGTCCAGACATTAGACATTTACTAATGTTGACGTTTTAATTGACACATCTTTTTGGGTTCTCCATTTTGTCTTAGATCACGGAATCATTTGGGCTCTCCAGGACCCGCAAGGGTGGCCAAGAAGGTCCACTTTATCAAGAGTATGAGGCAGTACGACACAAGAGGCAGCAGGTGAGTTAAAGTAGTAGATGAGAGTGTAGGAGATGTTGCGCAAACCATGTATTCTAATGAAATTAACAACCAAAACATAACACTTTCTTCTGTAGGCTCAATAAGTGGGATCGAGAAAGGCATTCTAAATGGCATTTAAGTCAACTCCATGACATACAGTAAATTAGTTAAATTGAATTGATAATTGTACCGTCTATAGAAAAGAGGGAAGAAGATTGCGAAGGCCTTAAGAGTTTTCCATGAAGTAGTTTTACAGCCAGTTCTATACTAAGCCCGTGCAATGCAAACACATACGTTTGGCTTTTAACTAAGAGACCTGCTGGAACTAAGATCGCTCACTTAGCTAGCCCCCTAAACGAGTAACAGCAGGACTGGGTGAATTGCAACAGTGAATTTAACCACCCTTGGAAACAAATCAAAACACCAAAGAGGTGTCCTGTGGAAATATAACCCTCTCTGGCAATAACAGTAAAACACCCCTTATGTAAGATGGGACTGAAATATCACGCTCAGGCTGCACCCAGACTATTCGCTCTCTGTTGAACTTTGTCTCTTCCTCAATGTGTTTTCATGAGCTATAGCTACAGCCTAATGTTAGGTTGTCTTTAGAAAAAAAAGTTTCCCTGGAGACATAAACATAAGACATGCATTTTTGTAATCTTATCTGTTTCAACAAGGCAAACACCGTTTTAGAACCCCTCTCATTTCACCCTACCTGAACATTACTTAATCATAGACAATATCATGTCCATAGTATCCTGTGTGTCATGTGTCCAAAATGCGAATACAGTATCACATGTTGCTGACGTGTTGTAACATCGTTTAGCAATAACCAGAGCCATGTATTTAGAGAGTTGGGTTTCTGCATTATGTGACCATTTACATGGCACTGCAGCCATGTTAGCACCCCATTAATATTTACATGCGGAAATAAACACTGTGTACAAAACATTAGGAACACCTTCCTAATATTGAGTTGCACCCACTCTTGCCCTCAGAACAGCCTCAATTCGTCACGGCATGGACTCTAGAAGGTGTGTGTCGAAAGCGTTCCACAGGGATGCTGGCCCATGTTGACTTCAATGCCTCCCACAGTTGTCAAGTTGTCTGGATGTCCATTGGGTGGTGGACCATTCTTTATACACACAGGAAACTGTTGAGCGTGAAAGATCCAGCAGCGTTGCAGTTCTTGACACACTCAAACCGGTGCGCCTGGCACCTACTACCATACCCCGTTCAAAGGCACTTCAATATTTTGTCTTGCCCATTCACCCTCTGAATGGCACACATACACAATCCATGTCTTAATTGTATCAAGGCTTACAAATCCTTTAACCTGTCTCCTCCCTTTCACCTACACTGATTTGATGTGGATTTAACAAGTGACATCAATAAGGGAGCATAGACTGACCAGGTGAAAGCTATGTTATGGAACAAGCAGGTGTTCCTAATGTTTTGTACACAGTGTAATGTCTAAAATGAGCATTATAGTGCATTTACATGACACTTCAAAATTCTATGGCAGCCATGTTAGTGCCCCATTAACATTACATGGGAAATATTTAAATAATGCTATGTAACTGAATGTCTAGACTTGGAACAATATTAACAATTCTAAACGTTGGCCCAACTCTCTAATATATGGCTCTGGCAATAACCAGTTACACAACAATTCTGGCTTTGCTTATGAACTTGTATTTAGGCTATACAGAGCATTGAAGTAACTGTGTAAAACCACTGGAGAGGATGAGAAGGGGATTTAAAAGGTTTCTGTATTTCCCCCAAGGTGAGATAAACATCTCTTATCCAAGGTCTGGCCCCAGCTTTAGCTGCAAGGCTGAGATCCCAAAGGAGAGGCTGCTGGGCTGGCTGAGGTTGTATGTTATTGACTGGTGTGTTGTGAAGACTGGCGCCTTTAGCGGTTGTGTGTAGATTTAGCTTGTCTATAGATAGGCCTAAGTGCTATGGCTGGCTGTTTACAGTTGCTTTGAGCTACTCAGTCGTTTTTAAGCTGTTAGCAGATTTATACTGCATTGGTTGTGTATGAACTTTGTGTAGTTTGTAGTTTCTCACAAAAAAAAATTTCTCTAGTGCTGCTGTTGACTGGCTGAAGTAGCTTTGTTGGCTGACGCTGTTGTTTACAGTATACCATGTTTTTGTCCTGGTAATGTACATTACATTTGACATTTTAGTAATTTAGCAGATGCTGTTATCCGGAGCGACTTACAGTTAGTGCATTCATCTTAAGATAGCGAGGTGGGACAACCACATATCACAGTCATAGTAAGTACATTTTTCCTCAAAGTACACTACATGGCTAAAAATATGTGGACACCTGGTTGTCGAACATCTCATTCCAAAACCATGGGCATTAATATGGAGTTGGTCCCCCCTTTTGCTGCTATAACAGCCTCCACTCTTCTGGGAAGGCTTTCCACTAGATATTGGAACATTGCTGCGGGGACTTGCTTCCATTCAGCCACAAGAGCATTAGTGAGGTCGGGCACTGATGTTGGGCGATTAGGCCTGGCTCGCAGTCGGCGTTCCAATTCATCCCAAAGGGGTTCGATGGGGTTGAGGTCAGGGCTCTGTGCAGGCCAGTCAAGTTCTTCTGCACCGATCTCGACAGACCATTTCTGTATGGACCTCGCTTTGTGCACGGGGGATTGTCATGCTGAAACAGGAAAGGGCCTTCCCCAAACTGTTGCCACAAAGTTGGAAGTACAGAATCGTCTAGAATGTCATTGTATGCTGTAGCGTTAAGATTTCCCTTCACTGGAACTAAGAGGCCTAGCCCGAACCATGAAAAACAGCCCCAGACCACTATTCCTCCTCCACCAAACCTTACAGTTGACACTATGCATTCGGGCAGGTAGCATTCTCCTGGCATCCGCCAAACCTAGATTAATCCGTCGGACTGCCAGATGGTGAAGCGTGATTCATCACTCCAGAGAACTCGTTTCCACTGCTCCACAGTCCAATGGCAGCGAGCTTTACACCACTCCAGCTGACGCTTGGCATTGCGCATGGTGATCTTTGGCTTGTGTGTGGCTGCTCGTCCATTGAAACCCATTACATGAAGCTCCCGACAAACAGTTCTTGTGCTGACGTTTCTTCCAGAGGCAGTTTGGAACTCTGTAGGGAGTTTTGCAACCGAGGACAGACGACTTTTATGCGCTACGCACTTCAGCACCCGTTCTGTGAGCTTGTGTGGCCTACCGCTTTGCGGCTGAGCCGTTGTTGCTCCTAGACGTTTCCACTTCATAATAAGGAGAGCACTTACAGTTGACCGGGGCAGCTCTAGCAGGGCAGACATTTGACAAACTATGACGGTGCCACGTTGAAAGTCACTAAGCTCTTCAGTAAGGCCATTCTACTGCCAATGTTTGAATATGGAAATTGCATGGCGGTGTGCTCGATTTTATACACCTGTCAGCAATGGGTGTGGCTGAAATATCAAAATCCACTAATTTGAAGGGATGTCCACATACTTTAGCTATCAGCAAAGTCAGTGCTAGTAAGAGGGAAAAGAGTCAAGTATGATATTTCTTTATTTTTTGGGGAGGTGCTGTGGGATTATTTAAGATGTTTTTGGAAGATGGTCAGGGACACTGCTGTCCTAGCTTCATTTACATTTGAGTAATTTAGCAGACACTCTTCTCCAGAGCGACTTACAGGAGCAATTAGGGTTAAGTGTTTTGCTCAAGGGCACATCAACAGATTTTTCACCTAGTTGGCTTGGGGATTCGAACCAGCAACCTTTTGGTTACTGGCCCAATGCTCTTAACTGCTAGGCTACCTGCCGCCCACAAAATGCCGCCCTATTCCCTTTAGTGCACTACTTTTGTCCAGGGCCCATAGGGCTCTGGTCAACAGTAGTGCACTATATAGGCCAAGGAACAGTGTGCCATTTGCTGACTAGGACTTCATTCCTTCCCTGAACTCTGGGCTTCCATGGCCTTCTGCATCTTCTTAATCATCCACCCGGGAACCGTAAAAGGATTCAATTCAACTGGGGTCATTTTCAGGTCAGGACAATGTTTGTAATCATTACTCAGAGACAGGTCCTGGACATTCTCTTCAATAAGGAGATAGGCCATCTTTTCATCTGTGGCTCTCATATGCTGTCTTTCTGCCAACCAGTGTTTGTCCTGGGTAGCGGCCGCATACTTGAGGTCAGCATGTTTGATGTAAGTCCTTCCTCTGGTGCCACCCATTCCTAAAGCCTTGTTTGCTCTGGACCCAAGAACAAACGTGCTCCCTTCATTCACTCTGGAAGGGTCCCATTTTGGTCCCTCATGCGTTATGGACTGATGTCTTGGGCTTAGGGATATTGCTATATGTAACAGGCTTGTCATAGGAACCGACAGGAGCTGTTGTGCGCCCTTTCCGCTTTTTTGGAACAGGGCTGGTCCTTTGACTGGACCTCCAGTTTCGCCTGTTTGACTGGAGGCTCACGCCCAGGACTGAGTGGGAGCTGCCCTCCCTTAGGGGTGGGAGGGCCAAGAGACCAGAGGTAGCAGAACGGAGTACTCTGGTTGGGGTGTAGGGTTTGAGCAGAGCCTGAAAGTAGGGAGGGGCAGTTCCTCTTGCTTCTCCGTAGGCAAGTACCATGGTCTTGTAGTGGATGCGAGCTTCTACTGGAAGCCAGTGGAGTGTGCGGAGGAGCTGGGTGACATGGGAGAATCTGGGAAAGTTGAACACCAGGCGTGCTGCAGCGTTCTGGACAAGTTGCAGGGATTTGATGGCACAAGCGGGGAGCTCAGCCAACAGCATGTTGCAGTAGTCCAGATGGGAGAAAACAAGTGTCTGGATTAGGACCTGCGCCGCTCCCTGTGTGAGGTAGGGTCGTACTCTACAGATGTTGTAGAGCATGAACCCGCAGGAGAGCGTCACTGCTTTGATGTTTGAAGAAACTACAGGGTGTTATCCAGTGTCACGCCAAGGTTCTTTGCACTCTGGGAGGGGGATACCATGGAGTTGTCAACCGTGATGGAGAGGTCTTGGAGCAGACAGGCCTTCCCCGGGAGGAAGAGCAACTCCATCTTGTTGAGCTTGAGGTGGTGGGCCGACATCCAAGCTGAGATATCTGCCAGGCACGCAGAGATGTGTGTCACCACATGGGTGTCAGAAGGGGGAAAGGAGAAAAGTAGTTGAGTGTCATCTGCATAGCCATGATAGGAGAGACCATGTGAGGATATGATGGAGCAGAGTGACTTGGTGTATAGAGAGAAGAGGAGAGGGCCTAGAACCGAGCCCTGGGGGACACCAGTAGTGAGAGTATGTGGTGCAGATACAGATCCTCTACATGTCACCTGGTAGGAGTGGCCTGCCAGGTAGGATGCAATCCAATAGTGTGCAGAGCCTGAAATGCCAAGTCCTGAGAGGGTGGAGAGGAGGATCTGATGGTTCATGGTGTCGAAGGCAGCGGATAGATCTAGGAGGATGAGAACAGAAGGAGAGAGTCAGCTTTGGCAGTGCTGTGAGCCTCCGTGACACAGTGACATAGAGATGAGCAGTCTCGGGTTAAGTGACCCGTCTTGAAGCCTGACTGGTTAGGGTCAAGAAGATCATTCTGAGCGAGATTGCGAGAGAGTTGGTCAGAGACAGCACACAAGTTTTTTGGAAAGAAAAGAAGGCATACATGTCTGTAGTTTTTTTTTTACATCAGAGGGGTCAAGTGTTCTTGAGGAGGGGAGCGACTCGGGCCATTTTGAAGTCTGAGGGGATGCAGCCAGTGGTCAGGGATGAGGAACGGGAGAAGGGAGGATGGGGTCGTGCGGGCAGGTTGTTGGGCGGCCGGATCTCACTAGTCGCAGGATTTCATCTGTAGAAAGAGGTCAAGGCATAGGGTAGTTCTGTGTGAGTGGGACCAGTGGATTCAATAGGCTGAGTGAACGAGGAGTGGATGTCGTCAACTTTATTTTCAAAGTGGTTTACAAAGTTGTCCGCAGAGAGGGAGGAGAAGGTGGAAAAGGGTTTCCTAGAGTTACAGAGGAAGAGAAGGTAGAGAAGAAGGAGTGAAAGGATGATAGGTCCTCCAGAAGTTTTAGCTCAGCTGCCCGCAGCCCTGTTCTGGAAGCTCGCAATGAGTCACTCAGCCCTGTTCTGGAAGCTCGCAATGAGTCACTCAGCCCTGTTCTGGAAGCTCGCAATGAGTCACTCAGCCCTGTTCTGGAAGCTCGCAATGAGTCACTCAGCCCTGTTCTGGAAGCTCGCAATGAGTCACTCAGCCCTGTTCTGGAAGCTCGCAATGAGTCACTCAGCCCTGTTCTGGAAGCTCGCAATGAGTCACTCAGCCCTGTTCTGGAAGCTCGCAATGAGTCACTCAGCCCTGTTCTGTAAGCTCGCAATGAGTCACTCAGCCCTGTTCTGTAAGCTCGCAATGAGTCACTCAGCCCTGTTCTGGAAGCTCGCAATGAGTCACTCAGCCCTGTTCTGGAAGCTCGCAATGAGTCACTCAGCCCTGTTCTGTAAGCTCGCAATGAGTCACTCAGCCCTGTTCTGTAAGCTCACAATGAGTCACTCAGCCCTGTTCTGTAAGCGCGCAATGAGTCACTCAGCCCTGTTCTGTAAGCGCGCAATGAGTCACTCAGCCCTGTTCTGTAAGCGCGCAATGAGTCACTCAGCCCTGTTCTGTAAGCGCGCAATGAGTCACTCAGCCCTGTTCTGTAAGCGCGCAATGAGTCACTCAGCCCTGTTCTGTAAGCGCGCAATGAGTCGCTCAGCCCTGTTCTGTAAGCGCGCAATGAGTCACTCAGCCCTGTTCCGTAAGCGCGCAATGAGTCACTCAACCCTGTTCTGTAAGCGCGCAATGAGTCACTCAACCCTGTTCTGTAAGCTCGCAATGAGTCACTCAACCCTGTTCTGTAAGCTCGCAATGAGTCACTCAGCCCTGTTCTGTAAGCTCGCAATGAGTCACTCAGCCCTGTTCTGTAAGCTCGCAATGAGTCACTCAGCCCTGTTCTGTAAGCTCGCAATGAGTCACTCAGCCCTGTTCTGTAAGCTCGCAATGAGTCACTCAGCCCTGTTCTGTAAGCTCGCAATGAGTCACTCAGCCCTGTTCTGTAAGCTCGCAATGAGTCACTCAGCCCTGTTCTGTAAGCTCGCAATGAGTCACTCAGCCCTGTTCTGTAAGCTCGCAATGAGTCACTCAGCCCTGTTCTGTAAGCTCGCAATGAGTCACTCAGCCCTGTTCTGTAAGCTCGCAATGAGTCACTCAGCCCTGTTCTGTAAGCTCGCAATGAGTCACTCAGCCCTGTTCTGTAAGCTCGCAATGAGTCACTCAGCCCTGTTCTGTAAGCTCGCAATGAGTCACTCAGCCCTGTTCTGTAAGCTCGCAATGAGTCACTCAGCCCTGTTCTGTAAGCTCGCAATGAGTCACTCAGCCCTGTTCTGTAAGCTCGCAATGAGTCACTCAGCCCTGTTCTGTAAGCTCGCAATGAGTCACTCAGCCCTGTTCTGTAAGCTCGCAATGAGTCACTCAGCCCTGTTCTGTAAGCTCGCAATGAGTCACTCAGCCACTGAGCAGGAGGGGAAGGCCGAGCCGGCCGAGAGGAAAGGGGACAGTGCGAGTCATAGGATGCGGAAAGGGAGGAGAGTAGGGTCGAAGAGGCAGAATCAGGAGGGAGAAGGATTTAGCAGAAGGGAAAGATGATAGGATAGAAGAGGGGAGAGTAGTGGGAGAGAGAGAGCGAAGATTACAACGGCGCTAGGGTGGGAGGAAAGGGAGACAGAAAACAAACTAGTGATCAGAGACCTGGAGGGCGGTTGCCGTGAGATTAGTAGGCGAACAGCCTCTAGTAAAGATGAGGTCAAGCGTATTGCCTGCCTTGTATACTTATTGTACTAATAAGTGCAGTACTAATGCTGTAGTTTAGTAGTGTGTGTGACTGTAGCTGTTGTTTGTGTAGCCTGACACTGTATGTTTTGTGTGCCTGTACTTGCTATCTATGTCCTGCAGGATTATGCTGATTTGTGCCAAGCGGTCTCTATGTGCTGTTTTCTCAGTGCTGCCCTATGGAGAATGTATTCACCTCAGGTACAAACACACAGCCCCAACCAACTAGAGGTGTCATGTATCGCCCTCAGGAAAGGAGTTGTGTTATAATGATCACAGGCTTTAATGTGGAGCTGCATGATGGTGACATGAGTAGTTTCTCTTCCTGCCCACCCAGTGACCCAAAGCTGGAGGCTCAGAGACAACGGCTGTCCACTGGGGTGGGCTCTGACCTGTTCCCTGGCCTGGAGGGCCTGGGGGTGGAGCTAGGTGCATATGGAAAGGTAAGGTTGAACTGGAGAGTGTGATTACGTACTATCTGTCTGTGCTTTGTGTTAGTTGACATGCATCTTTCCTCGTCAGACGGTATCGTACGCCCGGTTCCTTTTTCCCACTAATGCCCTGGTGAGGCCGAAGAGCAGTGGACCACTAGAGCCCAGCACAACACAGACCCCCCTGTCCCGTTACCGAGGCAACAGCCAGAAGAACTACACCAACCCGTCTCGACTCAACAGCACCATAGGACAGGACCCTAGTACGCTCCACTTCACTAGAATAGAGGCTTACATACACTCTCTCTCTTCTCTGGCAAATTGTTTTTGCAATCATTACTGTGTGTGTGTCTTCTCATTTGATTTAATACCCATTTTTACAGGTATAGAAGACCTGGCAGACTATGATCCCTACCTACTCAGTGACCCTCAGTGGCCTTGCGGGAGACACAAGAGAGTTCTTATATTTGCATCATATATGGTAAGCATTCATATAAAATGATACATGTAACACACACCTCAACACATGACTTTGTAACTAGACAATATATCACAAGACACACTGACATTCCAGAATGCACTGATTTTGTACAGTAGCACCATTATAAACATAAAACAATCCATATCATAAAGCAATTTTATGACAAGTAATCTTTACTACACATAATACAAATTACATCATATTATAAACTGGGTGGTTCGAGCCCTGAATGCTGATTGGCTGACAGCCATGGTATATCAGACCGTATACCACGGATATGACAAAACGTTTATTTTTCCTGCTCTAATTACGTTGGTAACTAGTTTATAATAGCAATAACGCACCTCGGGGGTTTGTGGTATATGGCCTATACCATGGCTAAGGGCTGTATCCAGGCACTCTGCCTTGCGTTGTGCCTAAGAACAGCCCTTAACCATGGTATATTGGTCATATACAACACCCCCTGGGCCTTATTGCTTAATTATACCATGGCATTGTTGAATACTCGTTTTTGATTGGCTTGAAGGGAATTCTAGAACATGCATTATTTGCCTATAACGCACAGTATAATTAAATGGCTATAGTTCTTACATGTTCTATGTTGGAGCTGCTTTTGAAAGCAAAAGTCGAATTGTTTTTCATAATAGCAAGCTAGGACTGATGGTTTGGTTAGCTAAACTACCAAGTCTGTTTGCTTACCAAGGCAACTACTGTCAACTTGCTAGCTACTTCAGTGGATGTTGAACACATTTCTACCTGCAAATGAACACATTTCTAGCAGTAAATTAGTTAAATTATAGCCATGGTATAAAAGGGATAATCAACTCGGGGCTCTATGCGTTCTCTGGAAAATAATGCAACTCCGTGGAAGGTCAGTTCCACTCCGCTAGCGCGTCGTAGAACACACATTCCACGTCGTTCATTATTTTCCAGAGAACGCATAGAGCCCCGAGTTGATTATCCCTTACATGGAATCTCTATGAATAGGATGAAAGCAAAGTTCTCATATTTATCTTGTTCCCCGTCTTCCAGACGACTGTTATTGAGTATGTGAAGCCGTCAGACCTGAAAAAAGACATGAATGAGACGTTCAAGGAGAAGTTCCCCCATATCAAACTGACCCTCAGCAAGATAAGAAGGTGCAGACATGAGCACACATAAGTCAACACATTCTTTTTTTAAATCCACTGTCTATATCGATGTCTGAAACTCCCCTTTGTATCTTTGTCTCCAAACCATGCATTTACAAATGCAAATCCTGCATATCTGCCTACCATGCACAACCATAACCTCCCTCCTGTTTGACAGCCTGAAGCGGGAGATTCGTGCGGTGGGAGAAGAGTGCAGTCTGCAGCCAGTCACGGTGGCGATGGCCTTTGTGTACTTTGAGAAACTGGTGCTGCAGGGCCGCCTGAACAAACAGAACAGGAAGCTGGTGTCTGCTGCCTGCGTCCTGCTAGCAGCCAAGATCAGCAGTGATCTGAAGAAGCAGGAGGTCCGACAGCTGATTGACGTGAGTGAAGCAATTTCTTACATGTACATTTTAGTCATTTAGCAGACTCTCTTATCCAGAGCAACCTACAATCAAGTAGCTCTACTAACATAACATACAATATTATTCAACCCACCCATTTGAGCGTGACATACATTTTTCTAAGAATTGAAAATACCGTACTATTCAGATTCTTAGCCATCTTGTTGCTCCCCCCCTTCCTCTATGGTAGAGCAGAAGCTGGAGGAACGTTTTCGTATAAACCGGCGGGAGTTGATTCCATTGGAGTTCCCTGTCCTGGTTGCCTTGGAGATGGGGCTCTACCTCCCTGACAGCAAGGTCATGCCGCACTACCGCAGGCTGGTGCAGCAGGGCTAGGCTGGAGCCTGGAAGTGGCCTGGAGCACTGGCCTGGGGCCAGTTTGGATATTGATTGGAAATGCTGATCCTGGATCATCACCCAGAGGGAGGCATCTTCTACCCTAGAATCTGTTTAGGTGTAGCAGGTCAGCCCAGCCGACATGCCCCTTATTCAAACTGGGGGAATAAAAGGGTTTAGGGACGGTACTCAATATTTATTTTTTATTCTTCTTTATCATGAGTTGAACCCCTTGATATGATGGATTAAGAATATTTTCTGCAAAGATATTGGACTATGATTTTTCTTTGTTTTGATTCTTGTTGTGTCCGTTTGTTCCGAACTTTCTGGGGTGTGTATTGCATTCTGATCGATAAAAAAACAAACATGTTTATTTGTACAAACAGTACAGGTTAAATATTGACTGAAAAATAGCTCAAACTGGGTGTAGGATGGGTAGGGTAGCATCCCAATGGGGGTGTCTGTAAGAACACAAGAGAGGAGGCTTTGATGTTGATGGTTGCCATATCAGTTTGAAATCATTTCATTTACCGTCCAAAGGTGCAGAAAAGTCATTTTTATGTGTAAATGGTGCCTGGTGTTGCTATTTTTGCTCATTATAGCTCAAATCAAAGTTTATTGGTCGCGTACCCTGATTTGCAGATGTTATCGCAGGTGCAACGAAATGCTTGTTTCTAGCTCCAACAGTGCAGTAATGTCTAGCAAAACTATATATGTATGTATCTCAGTACCAGTCAGATGTTTGGACACACCTACTCATTCCAGGGTTTATCTTTTATTTTTACTATTTTCTACATTGTAGAATAATAGTGAAGATATCAACACTATGAAATAACACATATAAACAAATCAAAAATATATCGGAGGTTCTTCAAAGTAGCCACCCTTTGCCTTGATGACAGCTGAAATAAAAGAACCCAGAAATGTTCCTTATGCACAAAAAGCTTATTTCTCTCAAAAGTTGTGCACAAATTTGTTTACATCCCAGTTAGTGAGCAATTCTCCTTTGCCAAGATAATCCATCCACCTAAAAGGTGTGGCATATCAAGAAGCTGATTAAACAGCATGATCATTACACATGTGCACCTTGTGCTGGGAACAATAAAAGGCCACACTAAATTGTGCAATGTCACAGATGTCTCAAGTTTTGAGGGAGTGTGCAATTCGCATGCTGACTGCAAGAATGTCCACCAGAGCTGTTGCCAGAGAATGTAGGTCTCTGGTAGAGGTCTCTACCATAAGCCACCTCCAATATCATTTTAGAGAATTACATCCAACCGACCTCACAACCGCAGACCACGTGTATGGCGTGGTGTGGGCAAGCGGTTTGCTGATGTCAACGTTGTGAACAGAGTGCCCCATGGTGGCGGTGGGGTTATGGTATGGGCAGGCATAAGCTACAGATAACGAACACAATTGCATTTTATCAATGGCAATTTGAATGCACCGAGATACTGTGACGAGATCCTGAGGCCCATTGTCGTGCCATTCAGCCGCCACCATCACCTCATGTTTCAGCATGATAATGCACGGCCCCATGTCGCAAGGATCCGTACATAATTCCTGGAAGCTGAAAATGTCCAGGTTCTTCAATGGCCTGCATACTCACCAGACATGTCACCCATTTGAGCATGTTTGGGATGCTTTGGATCAACGTGTACGACAGCATGTTCCAGTTCCCCCCAATATCCAGCAACTTCGCACAGCCATCGAAGAGGAGTGGGACAACATTCCACAGGCCACAATCAACAGCCTGATCATCTCTATGCGAAGGAGGTTGCATGAGGCAACTGGTGGGCACACCAGATACTGACTGGTTTCCTTATATGAACTGTAACTCAGTAAAATCTTTGAAATTGCTGCATGTTGCGTTTTTAATTTTTGTTCATTATTTATATCTATACTAAACAAAAATATAAACGCAACAATTTCAAAGATTTTACTGAGTTGCAGTTCATATAAGGAAATCAGTCAATTGAAATAAATAAATTAGGCCCTAATCTATGGATTTCACACGACTGGGCAGGGGCACAGCCATGGGTGGGCATAGGCCCACCCACTTGGGAGCCAGGCCAACCCACTGGGGAGCCAGGCCCAGCCAATCAGATTGAGATTTTCCCCACAAAAGGGCTTCATTACAGACATAAATACTCCCCAGAACCCCCTCAGACGATCCCGCAGGTGAAGAAGACGGATGTGGATGTCCTGGGCTGGCGTGGTTACACATGGACTGTTGGACGTACTACCAAATTCTTTAAAATGGCACTGGAGGCGGCTTATGGTAGAGAAATTAACATTCAATTCTCTGGCAACAGCTCTGGTGGACATTCCTGCAGTCAGCATGCCAATTGCACACCCTCAACTTGAGACATCTGTGGTATTGTGTTGTAACAAAACTGCACATTTTAGTGGCCTTTTTATTGTCCCCAGCACAAGGTGCACCTGTGTAATGATCATGCTGTTTAATCAGCTTCTTGATTTGCCAAACCTGTCAGGTGGATGGATTATCTTGGCAAATGAGAAATGCTCACTAACAGGGATGTAAACAAATTTGTGCACAACATTTGAGAGCAATAAGCTTTTTGTGCATATGGAAAATGTCTGGGATCTTTTATTTTGGCTCATGAAACATGGGACCAACACTTTACATGTTTAGTTTATATTTTTGTTCTGTGTGTGTATATATGTATGTGTGTATGTATGTATGTATGTATATATATTATATATATATATATATATATATATATATATATATATACACACTATATATATATTATATATTATATATATTTATATATATATATAATATATATTTATATATATATATATATATATATATATATATATATATATATATATATATATATATATATTTATTTATATATATATATATATATTATATATATATATATAATATATATAATCTCGCTAGCTTGTTGATATGACGTTCTTCACTTGCTGTGAAAATGACAGATCAATCATTGGACTTAGTCGCAATATGATTGTTTGCCTATGTGTTTGTGAGGGAGTTCTGGGCTGGCCAGAGTGCCACTTTAAACTATACTGTAGAAGCATCAGCCATTCCTTTGTTTTATTGTATCATTTGTTTGGAACTTGTGGTTTTGTACGGCTTGGATGTTTTTGTATGGACCTTTTCGTGGCTTGGCACTGTAGCTGCTATTAACGTCTGAACTGTGTAGACTTTACTTCCTCACTCACTGTGCAAACTGCCTCTGATGGCTGGAAACATGTTGGCAGTGTCGATCTAGATCACACATTACTTTTCCTCTGTGATGGTTAATGTTAAATGAAACTTCATATCAGTACTTGGTTGGTGTTCTGTCAACATCCAGGAATAGGATTTGCAATAAGTATTCTTACCGTATTGTTCAATGTGCTGGATCATCCACGAGCCAGTTGGCATATTTTTAAGTTCTCAGGAAATATCTTTGAAATAAAGCTTTTTTTTCTCCCATGGATCTGGGGATGTATCAAACAAACAAAAGAAAATCTCTGGAACGAGTGCAGGTAGAAAGCAGTTGTGTGTGAAATGTCCTAAAGTTTCATTTATTTTCCCATTTACAGTATTTCTTATTTATTTTCATTCGTGTTGGATCATGCCACTCAACATACAGTAAGTGCCTAAAACCACAGTTTAATAATCTAGCTGTCCTATCCAGATGTTATTCCCTTTAATTTAACTGGTCTTGTTGCTGTTGCGTGTTCCACCATACCTGTGAAAATCATGGAAAATTGCAGACTCTGCATAATGTACCTTAGTATCTGGACAGACCTACTGTTATGTGAATCTCATTGTTCTGTGAGTGATATTGGAGAAAACATTTTGTGGAAAATTGCTAATTTCTGCTGTGGTGTGAATTGGTCTCTCTGTTTTGCAAATGTATGCTTAAATTACCTCATGTCATTTGTTAATAATGTGAAATTGTTGGAACTGTTCTGAAAATGTTGTGCCTGTATGGATGGTGTCAATTTTGTAAAAGTAGTGTTTCTTAAATTATCAAATGTTTTTGAAATATATTTTCTGACCATGTGACAATTTTTTTTGTCAGGAAGCTACAGGTCACAGATTGGCACATGCAGCTATCACTAGTCTACCAAGGGCCAAATCCTAAACAGCCACGGTAATCTGGTTCGCAATATATCAGGGAACACATTTAATGTTATGTTGATTCAAGCTCTGAGGATGTACATAATTAATTTGTTATAAATGAACACGAGAGGTTAGGAGCTCTATTCGATGTGTCGCTGAAGTGTGAGAGATTGAATAGAGCCTTTTAGGTGTCTTACATTCCTTTAAATATCTATTCTGAGTACATGTACAGAGGGAAATGGTCTACAGCTTCAGTGCTCTGAATAACAAATCACAGCCAGTAAATAATCATTTAAATAAAATACATTAAGTTAAACTGAACTAACAGAGGGTCCTAATCCAAACTCATATCTTCATCATCCTTATTGTCTTTGGAGTCATCATCCTCATGGTCAGACTTTCTGTCTGTCTCCATGGCTTTAGCAAAAGCCTCAACGTCTGGAATAGAGGAAAGTTCAATTTCACTCATGATACAAAACAGCAGGAAATAACCTTAATGACGTTATGGAAATCTTATCAAAAATGTTATAAAGAAATGTCTGCACAGGCAGGAGACTGCATGCTTGTGTTCTATTTAAACAATGGAATGTACAGACAAACAAGGCCCCTGTGTTACGTTCATGTATTGTGCGCAGATACAGGACACTGACCTCCTTTGTTAGCTGCATCCACAGCTTCTGTTGGCAGGCCAAACTGGTTCATTAGAGGCCCCAACTGCCCCGACGCCAGGGCACTGCTGAACAGACTCATGGCCTACAAAGAGAATAATCCCTGCTTTACATCGTACATACAGCATTAGACCAAATGTGGCACTCAAGCGGTAGCTAAAAAAGAGACCAAGATCATTTCTATCGTAGTAATAGTGTACTGAGAGAACACTGCTACACAGTCTGACAACTGAAGCTCTAGTGTACTCTACACAGAAAGAGAGCACTGCTCAACACTTACTCAGAACAGTGTGTGTTATACCTGCTGAAACTGTGGGGAGGTGAGTGTGTTGTGGAGCTCGTCAGTGCTATGAGGCAAGGACTCTCCTGACGGCAGAAAGGGCAGCAGCCTCTCCTGGACCTCAGCATTGGCCAGGATAGGAGCCATGATCTCAGGGGTCACAACACTGGCCAGGTCCACTGTAGCGAGAACAAACACAGTCAGTCAGACAGACACAAATATTATTGCTCTCGCTGTCCACTGTTCTAAACTGTTGAGCTGTGATGTGCGCTGCTCTATAATTTCTATGTTTAGTCCCTCACCTCCCTGCCCAGCCGCAGGTACGTTCATGGTTGCTAGGATACTCTGCAGGTCACTCAGCTGGATGGGCTGGGTGGGGCTGGCTGCCCCGGCTGCGATGGAGGGGGCAACTGGAATGGTGGGTGAGGCCATGGGTGATGCTGCACTGGTGGCAGACGGGGTGATGGGTGTGGTTGGCACCTGGGAGGAGCCCAGCCGGGTGGCAGCAGAGGTGGAGGTGGGCGTGACAGCAGGAGACTGAGATGGACTGAGAGGGAGAGGGAACAGAAAGAGAGAAACTAAATTGACAGGGGTTGTAATAAATGTAGAATAAGCCATCTGCGGAAGTTGGCTAATAAGTAGTAAATGTGTAGTCTGAGCTGGAGAGAAAGTGCATAAATGTACAAAATTATTTAATTTATTAGTGAAGTGACTCCGTAGGCTTGTGGTACCTTGAAGAGGAGTTGCCGGCTGCAGGACCTCCACTACTCAGCAGGCTGGCCAGGCCCGGCCCAGCCAGAGCCCCAAGACCTCCTACAGACAGACACATTCAGAAAGACAGGTGGACACAAGTGCCACTGACAAAATTACTGTACCGAGAGTACAGTACAGACTGCAGACATTACACTAAACAACAGCCACTTACCAAGACCTCCCAGGCCAGTTGGTCCAATGAGCTGCATGAGCTGGTTGTGACTCATGTTACCGAGCAGACTCTGCAGTCCACCCTCACCTAGGACAGGAGGAAGAAAGCAAAATGTTCAGAAAGGATCAACACATCATGCACAAAGGAGAGGCTGAGTGGGAAAGGAACTATCATCTCTGAGAATGCATTGCTAAAAACAATTGCAATCTTCCTGTGTCAACATGCCACAGCACCTTTGCTCTCTGTTTGTGAGTGTGTGCACTGTGCAGTGCATTCTTCCTTAATCCTTACCCCCCAGAGCAGACAGTTCATGCCCGCTGTTGCCTCCACTGCCAAGGGCTCCAGGCATGGGAGGGTTGTTCAGATACTCATTCACTTTACGACAGTACTCCTCATCCTTATCAGTCTTGGGCTCCTAGAACAGGGAAATAGAAATATCTGAGTTTATTACATCAGGAAATTATTTTCTCATACAATCAACTGCTGATAACATTACCTTCCTCTGCAGAGAAATATACGAAGGAGGCAGAGTGATATAAAATATACAAAAGAGGCAGGGGTGTGGATCACATAACTTTAGGATCTTCAAACTGCCTTACACACCTGCATCCAGAAGAAAAGCCTCTTGGAGCCAGCCTTGAACTTCAGCACAAACACCCGACCAGTACTGCACTGGTTCACTCTCTTGAACTCACAATCATCTGGGAAGATGATCAGGTCCTGAATAGGGACAACCATATTCATCACAAGGGTTAGTTAGCCATGACAACACAAAGGATAGAGAGAGAGTGAGAGAGAGATTGTGTAAGAGATATGGTGGCGCAGTTTCAGCACCAACAGAAAAGTGCCACTGACATCATCCACGTTTCCAGAGGTCCGATCCTTCCAACATAAATGAATGAGGGAGTCGTCGGTCTGCTGAACATAGACTTGTCCCTTGCGCTTGTCTGGTGTCACTGTGCTACCCTTCATGGTCATCTTCCCGGCCCGAAACTCTACCAGGAATTTGCTGGAGGAGCCGCGGGACCCCGACACCAGACTGGGAAACAGAGCTCCCGACATGATGATGATCTGGCGTTGTGCAAATAGGAGAGAGATATTGACAAACAGTGACAAACGTTAGCTTGCAGATAGCTGCTAGCCTACCGTTACTCCGTTAGCTAACGTTAGCCAGTGAGTCAGCTAACGTTACCGAATTTAGCTAGCTAGCTATGTCAACAATGGAGCAATCGAACCTTAAATTGCATTATTATGGTGAATTCAACACGTAGCTACTCTCTTAGCTAATAGAGCCAATATATAAAAATATAACACCAATTTACATTTTACTTTGAGATCGAAGATACCAGATGGCCTTGGAATCAGATGGCACCAATAGTTGCTACTAGAGACTAGTAGTATTCTGCCAGCAGCACAAAAGATAACATCACGTTCTTGTGGTAATGAGGAAACCTTCAAAATAAATCCCTGCATTTCAAACCGTTGCAATTGGGATAACTCAATCAAAATATATTGATTCTGCCAATAAGAAAAGCCAATAAGTAATTTATGGAATTGAATATAAAATAAAAAATAAAAATAAGACCAATAATGAAATAATACAACGTTGACACTGGTATGTTCAGAATTTTGGGCTTGTAGAGAGAAAACGTTTCTACCTGTCTCAGCTAAAGTGGGGTGGAAAATACTCAGTAGGGTCTCTACTAACCAAATATGGTTGGTTTTGGAGGTGGACTGTGTAGTACATACCCAGCAGCACTTCGTTCTCCACCCCCTCCATAGCCCCCAATGCAATAAACTGTAATAGACTGTACATGGGACACCCTACTGAGTATTTTCCACCCAACTTTAGCTGAGACAGGTAGTAAAGTTTTTTCTCTACAAGCCAATAAGTATCCCATATAACATGTATTGCATTGCAGTGAATGGAGTGGGTGGAGTAAGGAGTTCCCAGCACTCTGTATTAAACCTGTTGCCCAGCTCAAGAGACCAATTTAAGTTTAGCAGACTATGGAGTAATTCAAATAACATATATTTGTATTTTATTGAAAGTGTATTTCTTTAAATATAGCCTACACAATACCTTTCAACATACCAGCATGTGTAAACTTTCAAAAGAAATGCTGGCATAAATAATACAATACAAAGAATAAAACATGTCAAATTATCCATTAATTTTTTCAAAAGGTGGCTGCAATTCTGTGAAAAACAGTTGTACTGCGCTGGAGTGCTAAAATGTTTAGCATGTCTTTGCAGAGGGACTCTTATCTTGAAGGAAGAAAATCTGTGCCAGCATAATATCCTGCTGCTAGGAAAACTGTAATCTACTAGAGCAGGAGAAAACAACAGGAGGGTGAAACAAACGTTTCTGAAAAATATTGTTGTGATTGGCTGTGATTGGTTAGAACATGTGTCAATGTTATCCCTTTAAACGATACAAAAATGTTTGTTTTTTGTGCTGTTCAGCCAGATATAGAAAAACCTTATTTTACCGGACATTCACATTTTCTAGACTGTATATTCGAAAGTGAAATCAAAATGACATCTTCTTTTGATATCATTTTTCATTAACAATAATAAACACACCATTCTCTATTATGGGTCCTGATAATTTATTTCATAAATGTTGCTTCTTTGCAAATGACCACGTGTACAGTAAGAACATCACAATACAGTACAGTAAGGCGTGTTTCAGTAACCTGGAGATCGATGTGTGTAATAATAAAGAGCTCTGTACAGGTGCAGCAAAACAACAGAAGCAATAGTATATCTGCCAGTACATTGACAAGGACTGACATATAAACATTTGAATAACATTGCTACACTACATGGCCAAAAGTATGTGGACCCCTGCTCATCGAACATCTCATTCCAAAATCATGGGCATTAATTTGCTGCTATAACAGCCTCCACTCTTCTGGGAAGGCTTTCCACTAGATGTTGGAACATTGCTGTGGATACTTGCTTCCATTCAGCCAAGAGCATTAGTGAGGTCAGGCACTGAAGTTAGGTGATTAGGCTGGCTCGCAGTCGGCGTTCAATTCATCCCAAAGGTGTTCGATGGGGTTGAGGTCAGGGCTCTGTGCAGGCCAGTCAAGTTCTTCCACACCAATCTCAACAAACCATTTCTGTATGGACCTCGCTTTGTGCATGGGGGCATTGTCATGCTGAAACAGGAAAGGTCCTTCCCCAAACTGTTGCCACAAAGTTGGAAGCACAGAATCGTCTAGAATGTCATTGTATGCTGTAGCATTACGATTTCCCTTCACTGGAATTAAGGGGCCCAGTCCGAACCATGAAAAACAGCCCCAGACCATCATTCCTCCTCCACCAAACTTTACAGTTGGCACTATGCATTCGGGCAGGTAGCCGTTTCCACTGCTCCAGAATCCAATGGGCGGCGAGCTTCACACCACTCCAGCCGACACTCGGCATTGCGCATGGTGATCTTAGGCTTGTGTGCGGCTGCTCGGCCATGGAAACCCATTTCATGAAGCTCCCGAAGAACAGTTCTTGTGCTGACATTGCTTCCAGAGGCAGTTTGGAACTCAGTAGTGAGTGTTGCAACCGAGGACAGATGATTTTTACACGCTACACGCTTAAGCACTCGGCGGTCCCGTTCTGTGAGCTTGTGTGGCCTACCACTTTGAGGCTGAGCCGTTGCTGCTCCTAGAAGTTTCCACTTCATAATAACAGCACTTATAGTTGACTGGGGCAGCTCGAGCAGGGCAGAAGTTTAACGAACTGACTTGTTGGAAAGGTGGCATCCTATGACGGTGCCATGTTGAAAGTCACTGAGCTCTCCAGTAAGGCCATTCCACTGCCAATGTTTGTCTATGGAGATTGTATGGCGGTGTGCTCGATTGTATACACCTGTTAGCAACGGGTGTGGCTGAAATAGCCCGAATCCACTAATTTGAAGGGGTGTCCATATACTTTTGTATATATAGTGTATCTAACCAGACCTTTGAGTGTTCCACTGTGCACCATAACCCTGACAGCTAATTAATTATACCTATCAATATCTGAGGGGATACAAATGTTAAAAACATGCCAAACGTAGCCCACTTCTACATAAAACAATATGAAGGGTAACAAAACATAATAAGTGTTGTGACAATATGAGGGTGGGGGAAGCAGGTCAGATACCATCATTCTGTGCATAGGACTGGAAGCATACTCAGATTGTAGTGTTAAGAGATAACTAGTGCTATCCCATCTGAGTACGACACCCTCCCAAATCCCAAGTACTGTATGTTCAGTACAGAATATTCAGTGGTCAGATACCAATGTCAGGGAGGCCCATAAGCGGTGTTTGTTTATTTTCAAATTATATGTCTCCTGGTTGTGGAGTAGACAGACAAAAATGGTCATGTTTGTTTGCATAGATTTATGATGGCTGACATTTAAAAGGTGCTCCAATATATTTATTGTCGCTGTGATCAATACCAGAGCTTTACTTCATGGAAAAGGGGCAGGGATTTGGAGAAACAATCTTTCAAAAGATGTATGGCTTTCGTTTATGTAAATAATTGTTTTGGTGACCATGCACACACACACACCCTGGTCACACCAAATTATCATCTGCATTTGTTACAGTTTTCAATGCCATAACAATCATTTACAAACAATACTTAGTTTACTAAGCTAGTATAAACATGGTCATTAGCAGCTTTCAGTTCTAGACTTCTAGTCACAAAAACACATTCAAATTCGTAATATTACAGAATTAACCAGCACGTTAACAATGTGCACATCATGTTTTAGTAACATCTCAAATAAAATTCCACACAGCTTATGAAAAAAGTAGTGTAAATGAACCCTGATATTTGAATGTAACTGTGTTTGTACAGTGAGTATGTACAAACTCCTCCTTCCAATCTAGCTCTACATGATAATTTATGTCGATCAGAGCAGAGTACAGTATTCCACTGCTGAACAATAGCCACCACCACAGATGTCACATTATCGGATATACAGTACCAGTCGAAAGTTTGGACACACCTACTCATTCCAGGGTTTTTCTTTATTTTTACTATTTTCTACATTGTAGAATAATAGTGAAGACATCAAAACTATGAAATAACACATGGAATCATGTAGTAACCAAAAAAGTGTTAAACAAATAAAAATATGTTTTATATTTGAGATTCTTCAAATAGCCACCCTTTGCCTTGATGACGTGGCGGCAGGTAGCTTAGTGGTTAAGAGCGTTGTGCCAGTAACCGAAAGGTCGCTGGTTCTAATCCCCGAGCCGACTAGGTGAAAAATCTGTCGATGTGCCCTTGAGCAAGGCACTTAATCCTAATTGCTCCTGTAAGTCGCTCTGGATAAGAGCGTCTGCTAAATGACTAAAAAATATATTAAAAAATTACAGCTTTGCACACGCTTGGCATTCTCTCAACCAGCTTCACCTGGAATGCTTTTCCAACAGTCTTGAAGGAGTTCCCACATATGCTGAGCACTTGTTGGCTGCTTTTCCTTCACTCTGTGGTCCAACTCATCCCAAACCATCAAAATTGGGTTGAGGTCGGGGGATTGTGGAGCCCAGGTCATCTGATGCAGCACTCCATCACTCTCCTTCTTGATAAAATAGCCCTTACACAGCCTGGAGGTGTGTTGGGTCATTGTCCTGTTGAAAAACAAATGATAGTTCCTCTAAGCCCAAACCAGATGGGATGGCGTATCGCTGTGGTAGCCATGCTGGTTAAGTGTGCCTTGAATTCTAAATAAATTACAGACAGTGTCACCAGCAAAAGCACCCCCACACCATAACACCTCCTCCTCCATGCTTTGCGGTGGGAAATACACATGCGGAGATCATCTGTTCACCCACACCGCGTCTCACAAAGACACGGCGGTTGGAACCAAAAATCTCCAATTTGGACTCCAGTCCAAAGGACAAATTTCCACTGGTCTAATATCCATTGCTCGTGTTTCTTGGCCAAAGCAAGTCTCTTCTTCTTATTGGTGTCCTTTAGTAGTGGTTTCTTTGCAGCAATTCGACCATGGAGGCCTGATTCACAGTGTCCTCTGAACAGTTGATGTTGAGATGTGTCTGTTACTTCAACTATGTGAAGCATTTATTTGGGCTGCAATTTCTGAACTTATCCTCTGCAGCAGAGGTAACTCGGTCTTCCTTTCCTGTGGAAGCCCTCATGAGAGCCAGTTTCATCATAGCGCTTAATGGTTTTTGCGACTGCACTTGAACTTTCAAAGTTCTTGAAATGTTCAGTATTGACTGACCTTTATGTCTTAAAGTAATGATGGACTGTTGTTTCTCTTTGCTTATTTGAGCTGTTCTTGCCATAATATGGACTTGGTCTTTTACCAAATAGGGCTATCTTCTGTATACCCCCCCCCCCCCCCCCACCTTGTCACAACACAGCCGACTGGCTCAAACGCCAGTCGACGTTCCTCCTTAAGAAGGAAAGAAATTTCACAAATTAACTTTTAACAGGTGACTACCTCATGAAGCTGGTTGAGAGAATGCCAAGAGTGTGCAAAGCAGTCATCAAGGCAAAGGGTGGCTATTTGAAGAATCTCATTTTGATTTGATTAACACTTTTTTGGTTCCTACATAATTCCATATGTGTTATTTCATAGTTTTGATGTCTTCACTATTATTCTACAATGTAAAAAATAGTACAAATAAAGAAAAACCCTTGAATGAGTAGGTGTGTACAAACATTTGACTGGTAGTGTAGTTTTATAAAACCATGGGTACAATAAATAACACCATCAGAGATGAGAGGGATTCTTCCAGTTAATTAGCCAGGCGGCCCAGACCATTTAGGAAGACTGAAAATGGTCTTTCCCTCATCTAACCGCCTTAGCCTTGATTTTCAGTCTTTCACATTGCTAAAATGTTCTCTTTGTCACTTGCAAAATACAAATAAATAATTGTCACATACATATTAATTTCTTGATTCCATCGTTGTATTGGGGGAGAGGTTTGTCTAGGTTGGGAAAACCGTAATAATTGTGGCCTCAGCTGCCTCACATTGTAATGCTGAGAACAAACAGGATAATCAGGCCTACATGAATCCACTATGGGTGGTGATGGAAACCCTTCTAGTCCCTCCTACCCCATCAGTAAATGTTAGGACAGTCTGTGTAATTTCTATCAAAGTATCCCCCTGTGTACAGCAAGTCCTGGGCTCCTGTGTGAGGGTTTGTTCCCAACCGAAACCACCTGTAAAGTTCAAAAGAAATGGTACAGGAATTTGTTTTAAGGGAATTATTCAATTAAAATTGGAATCACATTAACATGACAACACATTCACATTTCAGGGCATACTTATACTTATTATTGTTGCATAGCGAACACACCTGGTTGACCACTCTTCTTCATCCTTGGAACGTTCCTTGCGTGCAGCTCTCTGTTTTTCTTCTAGCCTGTCCTTCTCTACACTTGCTGTGTCTGCAATATACAAACCCATGTGCTCCATTTTGTTTGGTTATCAATTAATCTTGAATGTTGTTATTGAATCGTGTGTGTGCGTCTGTCTTTCAATGCGAGTCATTACCCAGGTCTCCATTCTCCATGGCTCTGACGTCAGGTCTTCGACGGCAGTCTGTGGGTGCCAATAGCCTCTCCATACCAGGCTCCAGCTCATTCAGAGTCATGGTGAAGCTAGTGAAGTTATACATCTATACCACAGAGAGACCAAGGATGAGAGTCAGGGTTAATTAGGTACACAGGAGAAACAGTAAGTAACACAGATAAACACCATATCCCGAATGGGTCACTGTGTGTGTGTGAGAGAGAGAGTGTGTTACCTCTTCAGAATGTGCAGGTCGTGGGGTTATTCTCCACAGTAAGGTACTTCCTGTTATCACAGAGACGGTCTCTTGAACCTCAGGCATATTCTCAGTCTCCTGTTCTCCAGCACTTGGCTCCTACATACAAGACTATACACATTAGCCTACTATAAACTACAGACAGTTGCATTTACACAATCTTTAAAGCAACATAAAGAGCCATCTACCATAACACACTATACGACAGTCATAACTAGAACTGCTGTAGCACACTATGCCTACAGTATTTACAAATACAATACCTCCACCAATAGCCACTGCATGTTTATGTGAATGGAAGAAACACCATTTTAGGAAAATCATTTCACTTTTTTTTTGTTGTTGCCATTGGGCTGGTTTAAGAACAATTCTTGGACAAATCACAAGTCTGAGTGCTCACCGGTTTATTTTTCTTAACATTTCCCTTCTCTGCCTTCTTCTTGTTGGCTTCATACACCTTAGGCTCCACACTGTACATACACTCTGTCCACTTCCCATACAGCACACGTCGCTTCTTCTTACTGTTTCCAACACAATGCAACCAAAGTTAATTTAGGACCAACCACACGAAACAGTGAGATACAACTTAAAACATGCAGTCGTATTGCACGTCAATGCTGACAGAATGCATAACAACTGACATATTACTATGACTTAACAAATTCCTAATTGTGGGATGATTAAGGCTGATGATGTTTGACTCCATTCTTCTCTCACCTCTTATCCTGAATGTAACCCTCCACTTTGTGCAGATCCTTCCCAAACATGCCGCACGGCTTGAAGTTCAACACACACTTATCTCCCGTGCTGACCAATCCGAAGAGGCAGGAGGGAGAATATTAACATATTGTAGTAAATTCAATCAAATAAATAATAATAAACGTTTGTCGTGAATAAAGGTTTGGTATTTGCTGTCTTACTTATGGTTGACTATTTCCACAGTTCCGTATTGCTCAATCCAGAGTTTGCCCATGATGATGTTATGTACACAGCAGAGAGGGTTTGTCCATGTATACGCCTCTTTATGTCTGCAACAAAACAAGTCGTTATTAAATCACTAGCTGTTGATGTGAGAGAGTCTGTATGTATGCTTAGTAAACACAGATGTCAACATACATACTGCATACACTTTCTTACACACACACACTCACTTGAGCAGCTCCAGGGTCATGGTGCCTTTAGGCTCCGCCTCCACGCTCTTGCCCCAGAACTTGAGTTTGGGGTAGATGGAGCCATGGAACTCAAACTCCTGCTTCAGAGACTGGGCATGGAAGGCACTGATAGGTGGATGGTGACTCACTTGTTCTGAGATCAACCTGTACCCCTCGTCCTCACTAAGACAGACAAAAGCACGTTAAAAAGAGCATACTCGACACCTCAACAATAAATAGATTATCCAAAGAGATTCTACTTATTTAAACTGTCCTCTGAAATCAATAAAAATCTAAAAAAGGTTTCCAGAAAAAGAGGTACAGTATGTTTACTCTTTTGAAAAATGCAAACAGTACCGTGTGAGTTCATAGGTCTCTCCCAGCAAAGGATTAAATGGCTTTCCAGTTCTGTCCCATTGAGATGCCACAGAAGAAACTGCAAAAGCAGCTACCACCTGATAACACAGGAGAAAACAAAGTCTGTCATTGTGTGATCCTATTCTTCACTTCCCCGTGAGTGATCCTATTCTTCACTTCCCCGTGAGAGCAGGTAAAACAATAGGCTTTGTGAGGAGAGGGTGTCAGTGTCTCCCATCTGTTTTGTTTACCTGCATGCGGTCTATGGAGTCTGACAGGGTGCAGGCTTTGTGGATGAGGTAAGTGTGCTCCATGTACTCTGACATTCTCTGGAGGAAACTCAGGGGCTCGTTGAACACGATGGGCATCGTTATCTTCGACAGCTCCTGTGTAAACGCAGCAAAGACAAATTAATAGAGTCATTAATAGATCATGCTTGTTTATTACATTTACCCTAAAGCATTTGTATGAACTCCTCTGTAAGATGTGGCTAAAACAGAACGTCATCCATTTTGTATCTTTGTTATGATTTCTGTTTGTGCGTCTGTATAGTGAATGGTTTTAGGGGCATAGAAGTGTTCCAGATATCTTAAAGGTATTATATCTACATCCTCACCATGCCAATGCATTTCTTTAGTATGCCCCATACACTGTAGTCACATCTGGAGATCATTGGAGCAGGCAGGGTTTTCCTGTAATAAACACCAACACAAAGACACAAAAACAATGGACACTGAATACATATGCAAACTGTGATGCTACAGGACATAGCATCCTTTGCAACCTCACCTGCGCTCCCACACTCCATTTTCCTGTGGTGTGCTGGCATTGGATGAATGCTTGCTGTCATACACTAGGGCATCTTCAAAATTGACCTCACAAGAGTCATCATCTGATTCAAGACCTGAGAGATACAATAAAAAAGGGTCACACATACACTAAGCAGTCTCCCTTAAAGACACACATACACCTCCCTTAAAGACAGTCACAGACGTCCGCTATTATAAAGACATAGTTATTATTCTCCCACCTATTACCTAATATATTTTGTATTACATTTCTAATGCATGCACCCACCCGTCTCAGCATCGTAGAACTCCTCCTCGCTGTTCATTCTGAGCAGTATTGTGCAATGTCACTCAAAACATATCTTAATTTTTTGGCCTGGTACTTGTGGTTCAGGCTATCCAAGCCTCACAGACACCTGGAAACAAAAACACACATTACCATCCATCAGTGAGTGCCACAAGAAAAAAAGAAAAAGAAAAAGTTATTTTTACAATTTTAAATCAATTTACTTATCATTGCGAAATACCCTAGCTTGTTGACCTGTGATGGCTGGCTAGCAACTAGGACCACTATCTAGCTACAGTACTACCGTAGCCAGCTCCAGCTAAAGTTAGCCAACCAGCCAGTTACTCCAATGGCTTTGGATTTTGCGACAACTGCGCGCCAAGTGAGCTGGTGCTGGATCACAGATTTAAAACGGTTAGCAAACGTCAGCTAACGACTGAAAGTGCCTAAATACAATGTAAAGAATTTAAGAAATGTAGTAAATGTGATTTACCAGCGTTTCAAGGTCCAAATGTGTTGCTGTACGAAAACATAAACAACGAAGAGTGCACTCGGCTTGAAGAACTCTAGGGGGCGGAAGTGGGCGGTAAGGGCGATGCTACTGATAGGCCTGTCAGCCAATCCCAATCTCGGTTTCTAGTCCTATCATAGACAGTGCAAGAAAAATAGAAATAGAATGGACAGAACGAATAAAGGTCTAAAATTAATTTCTGCATTGATCATTAAGAAATGCACCAGATTCTCAGAGTTTAGTGATGGACATCAATTCCATATTGCCTAATATGGGTATCTATTCAGTAGCCTAATATAGGTCTAGCTGTTTATTTGGAAAGCCAGTTCAAATTCAGATTTTAATGGACAACTATCCTAAATGATTGACATCAGCCTAGAAAATGTTTTGCACAGAACCATCTCTTGACCCTCCTACCATTATGTCCAATGGGAGAATAGTGAATCATGATGGGTAGGGTGGAGTACAGTGCCTCTCCGTGGACAAGACACTGAAAAAGGGCAGGATAACGGGTGTTATTTATAAGCGCTATAATAAATCACGTTATCTGATATTCTATCTTGACAGGTGTGCGTTCAAGCGTCAGTGTTGCAAAAGTTTTAGTTTCTATTCTGGCCACGTGAGGGCGTAATTGATCGAAAAATGAACATGGGCGCACTGGGGACTACTGGACCTCAGCAGACGGAGCTGAATTGAGGAGGCCTACACACACTGGATGGGCTGTTTAATTTTCCCATACATCTGTCCAGAAATAATAACCAGTTTCCATGGCTAAATGTAGCCCATCACAGCAATTGAATAAATTAAAATCGGGATTCCAATGGTAATGCCATTGACGTACCCCATCATTTGCAACAGTACACGCGCAAAATATGGGCGGGGTGTGCTTAAATGTCTGGCCCGGTTTAAATCAAGCAGTGTGACAGCATACTTGATCGGCTGACTGAAAGAAGGAAGGATAGATCCACAGCGCACTTCAGTTCATGCGCGCTCTGTGCTAAAGTCTGGATTTTGCGATTCCACAGAAAATAGCTGTGGCAATTCTGTTATAACTCATTGTTTATTTTGTTGGACTCAACAAAACATGATAGACTGTATAGATTAATTTAATGAAATTCTTCGTTTTATGCACTCCTTTCAATAAAAACGGACAAGAAATGAACAGCAGGGATGGTGACAGTCCCGTGCCAAAACAGGCGCACCGGGGACAAAGACAGCCCAAGGCGCATAAGGTTTTCAGCATGAAGAAGAATCGAACCCCATCGAGTGTGCAAACCAAAGATGCCCCTGGCTCATCCAGGTCAACCGGGACTATCCGGCGCATCGTGGGCAAAGGGAATGAGATGAAATCGGAGAAAGGGACGTGTACAGGAAAAGGCGCGCCATCCGTTACCGAGTGCCAAAAGAATCAAAGCACACCTAGGAAACTATCTGATGCCAACAATGGTTCGGAGGATTTGAGCAAGGACTCAGATTGCGTCTCGGGGAAGCTATCATCCTCGGACAGCAGTTCTGAAATTTCTGACTGCACGGAGGGATTTTTGACTGCATCAGAGGGAAACCAACTTTCTGCGGACACTCTGTCTCCAAGCAGCGAGACTGGGTCATGTGTTCGAGACGGAGTGGCAAATAGTGGCAGGTCGAGTGGGAATGCTCTAAACAGTGTATCCGATATGAGTACTGGAGGCAACCCATTCACACGGATAGGCCTATCACAGGACAATTCTATCATGCATTCTGGTAGGGATGGAAACCATTCTCCTGGAAGTGGAGGGTCCCTTCTTGCAACCCTTCCCTCGCTGAATGTCAGCGTAGCATCCCTGTCTTATTCAGAACTGACCGGGGAGCTCGTGGACGAGACGCTGGAGGATCTTGTCAGAGAAAACGACGATTTGAGATCAGAAAATGAGTATTTGAAAGTAAGATGATTCACTTAATTGGCATGTCATTACGCGTAACAGATAGCCCTTTTATTATTTCACACATTTCCTCAAGTCTAGGGGCTTGGCCCCCTTATCATAAAGAAAAAAAAGTTGAATATTGACTGATTTGAATAGAGTTGAATACTGAAGTAGGCTATTGAAACAACAACGCAGGCACGCTCGTGACATTAATTGTTGTCAGGGTTAGAGGGCCAGACTTTCCTTAGCAGAGCCGATTAGATAAGTTATGTAATTGGCCGTGTCAACCTTAATTACTTACACGTGATTGCAGGAGCAGCACGCTCAGGCAAGGAGCATCAAAAGTCATTATTCACAGTGGTTGTGTATCCCAACCTGGGTAGTTCAAGTTTGGGGTAAATCAAATACCGTATAAGCCTGCACATTGATCTGGTACTGGTACTCCCAGTATATTGCTTTTTAAAACTGCATCGTTAGAACGGGCAAAGTCTACATTCGTTGTATTCGGCGCATGTCATGTTAAAATTAGATTTGATACACACACAAACATTAGGAGCTTGACTAAGAAAAAAACGATTTAAACAGTTCCACCTTCAGAACTGACACTTGGTTGTGCATAAAGTAGCCTAATAGAACCTAATAAAGTAGTCTGATGATGATGGCGATGACAATACTGTTGTTGATGTTGATGATGCTGCTGCTGTTGAGGAGGCTGATTGACATTATGTCTTTGGTGTCATGTCCAGGATGAGATGGAGGAGCTGCGCTGTGAGATGCTGGAGATGCGGGACCTCTTCCTGGAGGATGAGGTGTATCAGCTGCAGGAGCTGCGGCTGCAGCTGGAGCAGGCCAATAAGATGTGTCGTATCCTGCAGTACCGCCTCCGAAAGGCCGAGCGCCGCAGCCTCAGGGTGGCCCAGACTGGCCAAGTGGACGGGGAACTGGTCCGCTCCCTGGAACATGACGTCAAGGTGAGGCATCTCTGTGTGTGTGTGTGTGTGTGTGTGTGTGTGTGTGTGTATGAGTGGCGTAAGTTCAGCTAAACCTAGGGCATGGCAAAGTGGGGTGTGTAGAAGTACACCCAACAGTTGAAGCTCATTTACTGTGTTTCTACACAATTTAGAAACTGTAAAATGCTATTTGGAGAACAGCAAAAATAAACAAAAATGTCCCACAGACATTATCACCGCAATATTAGGTTTATAGGTCTGTGGTATGGCGTGTACAATATACTACTCAACCTCATTATACATAGGCAACATTGACTCATTTAGCCTACTTGTGGAACAGTGCATACAGTGCAACATGAAATAGATGCATAATACACGCTATCAAGGCCGACTTCAAATACCGACATTAATGTGAAAGTAACCGGAGCATAAAACAGTTGACTGCGAATGCAAACAATACCAGATAAATCCTAAATATGCATTTAAATAAAAGGCATACATCAAAGGAATTACTTAGGCCTACAATCGACAAGGATGCATAAAGACAAACAAACTCGTCCAAGGAATGAAGAAAAATCTACACATTAAGGCAGCGCCCGTGATTAAGCACCGCTGAATGGGCAGCGCCTCCGTAGGCATAGTGGAGCTCCGTGGAGTGTGACTGAATGGACAGCGTCTCTGTCTAGTAGCCAGCTAGAATTAGGCTATTCAGTTTGTGGGCAGTTAGACATTTTTTGTGTACAGTTGAGAAGCCTACAATGCTTATATGAAAATCATAACTGGCACGCAGATCTTTAGAAATTGTAGGATCAATTGTAAATTGGCACGCATATGAAAAAGGTTGCAGACCCCCTGATATGAAGTCACCCTTGTGGAACGGCGCATACAGTGTACTATGACAGTGTCATTGTCTTATGCGCTTCCCACCAATATGTATAATGTAATCTGGTTGCTGATTATATACAATAAAACAGCCCTACATCGACACTATAGCTAAATTATTTAGCAATATTTAATGACGTTTTGCCAGCAAGATTGATCTGTTAAAATATCTAATTTTAATTCAGGAAGCTGGACAAGCAAGACTGATAGAGTGAGAGGTGGTGTAATTAATACTCAGGGAGAAAAAGGTGTAGATTCACGAGCAGAGCGCGGCAGGTGTTTATTACGCCTTCGCAAAAGGCAGGAATCGTGGTCACAGGCAGGCAATGGTCATACACAGGTAGGCAAACAGGCAGGAGAATTAAAAACTAGGACTGAAGGCTATAACTGCTTCTCACAAACGAGCTAGGAAAAAGCTTAGTAGAGTCAAAACCAACAATACCTCACAAGGCACAAACAGAATGAACTGAACTAAATAAGGAGCTAATGAGACCAGGTGAGTAACAAACACAGGTGAAAACAATGAACAAAAATGAAAGACAGGGCTACGTTCAAGAACACAAAGAAACAGGGCTACGTTCAAGAACACAAGGTTGACTAAGAAAATAAATACAGAACCTTACAGGTGGAAATGCATCATACCAGACAGAGGCAGGTAGGTATACAGAAAGAAGTTTAAAAAGCTCATTAATTAGTCATCATTAATTATTTGCATGATCTCAATTATCATTCTGTCACTGCATGACAATGCACATTTTTTATAGCCTACAATTGTTATTGTCTTTGAAGCCAAAAACAAGACACGTATTTTTGGGAAATGCTCTAAATACCAAGCGGTTCAGTTGTAAATGTTCATACCAATAGGCTTACATGAAACCAAAATTGCACTAGCCTACTGGGTGAATAAATTAAAATACAATTAGGTTTACAGCTATCACAACCTATATTTTAATAGCAAATTAATAGATCAGTTTACTACTTTTGTGAAATAATTATTATCCCATTATTATAAAAAATTAATAATATTCATATTTATTTTTATTCCGATTTTTCAGGGTGTGCTGCAGCACCCTCAGCACCCCTACTTCCCGCGGCTATGTGTGCGTGCATGTGGATTGCTCACTCAAAGGAACTTTTTGATTTTCAGGCATCTTTCTCCTATAGGGATTGTACAGTAATCCCTCCATCTTTCGCTATGTTGCACAATGTTATCAGTGGGGTCGAGTGAATCATTATGATTCCAGTCAATGTACAAAGCCCCTTGAAAAGCCCTTTGAATGGCTGTACCAAATTCCACTCTACTGTCTCATGAGTCCAAAACGTTTTAGAGCAACTGCACTGCCCACATCCTATGACTAGTGCACATTAAACTGTAATTAGAGTATTTAACAATGTTATGGCTCAGCTACATCCTGTCAGATGTGCTTCAAAAAGTTTGAAGTATGTATTTTGAATGAATGTGTGCGGCAGCTTTTGTTTGTGTTTATATGTTGTGGTGGAATAGTCAACTTGTGTGACAAAGAGACATTATATCAAGCACACAAAAAAATGCTGTGTTGTTTGGATGACCCAACTGCTGGGCTGCAGGCATTGGGTCACTTAGTTGGGTTGTTTAAAAAAAGAAAATCATCAGAAGACTGGAGGCGTGGCTTAGTAGGGACGTGGCATTCAGATAGTTATTTTTGGCCACCCATGATAAGATGACGGCGCTGAGGAGGGCGCTCGTCTTGCCGTTTCCTGCTCGACGTTCCTTTGTTATGGCTATTTTTGCATTAATTATTACTTTGTTTGCTCAGAATGTTCATGCAATAATTTTCTATGACCGACAAACACGTCTGGATCATGAATTGGAAGCTACACACTTATCTCTTAGCCTCCCAGATCTTGAATACTACATTCGCTTCTTTGTTCCCCGCACAGCGGGCTTAATTGTTTCTCCTGGCCCAGATGACCTAAGGCAACGCCAACAACAAAGAAGAGGAAGGAAAAGGGGACTCCAAGCTAGGCTGAAAAGATGGGCTACACTGCCTCCTCTTCCTAGTATCCTGATGGCTAATGTCCAATCGCAGGAAAATAAATGTTGTGAACTCAGAGTAAGGCTTCAATCGCAACGGGACATCAGGGAATGCTGTGTCTTTGCTTTTACTGAGACGTGGCTCACGGACAATACACTCGACTCTGCTATTCAACCAGACGCCTTTCCATATTCCGAATGGATCGAACGGCGGCTTCTGGTTATAGTCAGGGGGGAGGGGTATGTTTCCTCATAAACAATTACTGGTGTACTGAAGTTGAAAATATCATGAGCTCCTGTTCAACCGACCTGGAGTTTCTGATGCTAAAATGCCAACCCCACTATATGCAGAGGGAATTCACTTGTGTTCTTATAACAGCTGTGTACATACCACCACAATAAAACACCAAGGCGGCACTCAGTGAACTTCACAAGATCATTAGCCAGCAAGAATCCTCTCACCCGGAAGCAGTCTTTATTGTCACGGGGGACTTTAACCAAGCCTGTCTAAAACACATTTTCCCAAAATATCACCAACATGTATCCTGCCCCAAAAGAGGATCCAGCATGCTTAACCATATATACACAAACATCCGTGACGCGTACAAAGCCATCCCCTGCCTCCACTTCGGCCAATCAGATCACGTCTCTCTGTTCCTACTCCCCACCTACAAGCAGCAACTCAAGGGGAATCAACCAACACAGAGACTAGTGAGGCGCTGTTGAGGATGCTGATTGAGATGATGTCGTCTTTGGTGTCATGTCCAGGATGAGATGGAGGAGCTGCGCTGTGAGATGCTGGAGGATTATTTTGAGAACAGTGATTGGAATATGTTCAAAGATTCATCCACCCAGGACTCATCCATCAACATTGAGGAACACTGAGTGTACAAAACATGAAGAAAACCTTCCTAATATTGAGTTGCACCCCCCCCCCCCCCCCTCCCCCTTTGCCCTCAGAACAGCCTCAATTTGTCGGGGCATGGACTCTACAAGGTGTAGAAAGCGTTCCACAGGGATGCTGGCCCATGTTGACTCCAGTTGTGTCAAGTTGGCTGGATGTCCTTTGGGTGGTGGACCATTCTTGATACACATGGGAAACTGTTGAATGTGAAAAACCCAGCAGCGTTGCAGTTCTTGACATAAACCGGTGCACCTGGCACATACTACCATACCCCGTTCAAAGGCACTTAAATATTTTGTCTAATATTTTGTCTTGCCCATTCACCCTCTGAATGGCACAATCCATGTCTCAATTGTCTCAAGGCTTAAAAATCCTTCTTTAACCTGTCTCCTCCCCTTCATCTACACTGATTAAAGTGGATTTAACAAGTGACATCAATAAGGGATCATAGCTTTCACCTGGATTCACCTGGTCAGTCTATGTCATGGAAAGAGCAAGTGTTCATTATGTTTTGTGCACATCGTCAGTCACACGCTTCATTAGGAAAGGTGTCGATGTTGTTGTACCCACAATAACAATCCGGACATACCTCAACCTAAAACCCTGGATGAACGGAGATATCCGTACAATGCTGAGAGCCCGTACTATAGCATTCAATGTCAGCAGAACAAACCCCAATGACTCGATGGCATGTGACGCATACTATGCAAGCAGGTATGAGCTCTGCAACTCCATTAGGGACGCAAAAAGACAATACAGACTCAAACTTCAATTGATGTTCGACAACTGAGACTCGCGTCACATGTGGCAAGGACTACAGACTATCACAGACTACAAAGGCAAATCCAGCTGTGCGGTGCACACCGAAGGCTCCCTCCCATACGAGCTTAACACATTCTATGCTCGCTTTGAGGCAGACAATACTGAGCCATCCAGGAAGACTATCACTGCCCAGGACGACCAGGTGCTTTCGCTCTCCGAGGCTAACGTGACGAAAACGCTAAAATGAGTGAATGCTCACAAAGCCGCTGGCCCAGATGGCATCCCTGGCCACGTCCTCAGAGTGTGTGCTGACCAGCTGGCGGGCGTCTTCTCTGACATCTTCAACCTTTCCAGGCTGTAGTCCCCACCTGCTTTAAGGAGACCACCATCATCCCAGTGCCCAAGAAAAACAAGGTGACATGCCCAAATGACTAGCGTCCTGTCACGCTAACCTCAGTC